CATTTCTTAATAATGAATTCTTTTTTATTAAAATGTGTCCTCCAAATAAAGAGATCCATTATTTCTTTACTAATCCAATACTTGGTGTTCAATAAACAGCTATGGATTAAAATATTAAGAATATATAAATTTAATCTATTCCATTTTTATACAATGATGAAATCTTAGTTGATGGGAATGTAATGGATTAAGTTAATATTTTAAGAACAACAAATAAATAATAATTATTTGATAAATATATGCCAATGGTATAATGTAAACCTAGAGAACCAATGGCTAAATTTGATTTTTCTCCTTATTTGAATATAAAAAAACATAGATGGTCAGTTGAAAATTCAATATTTAAACATTTTTAACCAGATACACCATAATTAATTGATGAATGCTTTGAATTTGATTTTTAGAATTCAAAAGTTACTCGTTTAGTAAAAGATACAGAATTATTAGAAATTAAAGAAAATTTAAAAATCTTGTATCGTCAATTATTTCATATATATAAATATCATGCGTCGGGTTCATTAACATCCCCAATTCCATGCATAATGATTTAAGACTATATCGACTTTTTAGTCTAGACTTCATTGATGGATGGATATAAAACAAATGATATTGATATAAGTTTCACATCAACAACAGCAGCAAAGGATGTTCAATTTCCATAAGCATTTGATAAAGGTTTAGTACGTTGTTAATTATTAGAAATAATGATAAGAATGTGTAATGATAAATATATTAGACAAGGAATCTGTACTACAATGACTGAAGCTATAAATTTAGTAATAAAATAGGCTTAAGATTATTTTGCAAAGTTTGATTAAAATTAGATGTGGAGAAAGAGTAGATTATGGAATTAAAAATGTGATATCATACTCAATGATAGATTGGCTATGTTAAAATCTTTATTTAAATATATATGTAAATTAAGTAAGAAAGATAAATAATTGTGTAAATATGATTATATATCTGTATAAGATTTTAAGGATTGGATTGTATAATCAAAATTAATTTGTGATGATTTAAGTGAAAGAGAATGTTATTTAATTTATTTATAATCAATGATAACTTAGAAGGATGAACTTTATTCTAGTAAACATTACTAGATGAATTTTCATGAATTTATAGAGAGTATAGCTAGATTAGCTGAAAAGTTATCAATTATAAGAGGAGATAAACCTATGGATATAGATGATAGAAGAGCTAAAGATTTAACACCAAAATTAGATGGATTTTTATTATATGTTTATTTGGTTATTGGAAATGAAATGAAATAATTATTGCCTCCAAATGATCCAGATATAAGAGGTGTAGACAAATGTATGATAAATGATTTCAAATCTTTGAAATAAAAATTAGAAGATTCATTTACTGATGGAGATGAACCACCTTATGATCCAAGAGTTGAATTACCACATCTATCTAGTTAAATAACAAATCTTTTAGGAAATACAATTGGTGGCAAAAAACAAACTTTACGATAATAATTAAAATAAGTCAAAAGAGAAGAATAAAAATTTTCTTTAATTAATTTTGTTTAATACTTTAAAAGTATTTAATAAGTTCATGTGGATCATGATGATTGATAAGTTATTCATATTCAGATCTTTTTTAAAAATTCTTTTTATTAATCTTTAATAACATTCTTCAATTATCTTAAACATAGATATTCTTATTAAGCTACTTATCTTTCTTTAAAAGTTGATAAAATGAGTTATTCAATAACATCTAATTAGACTCCAAGTTTCTATGGTAATTTTTATTTTAATTCATTTCTAATAATAATATTATAATTAATACTTATTAAGTGAAATTACTTATGATATATTTAAATTAATTTGTTATTATAATGCATCTATACAATCTCTCTTTTCTTTAATTTGTTCTTCCTATATTATTATTAATTTATATTATTTACATTCTTTTATATAGTCTATTATTAAATTTCTAATTTTTTAGATTTCTGTAATAATTGTGAATGTTTTTTATTTAAATCAATTTCCAAAAGGTCTAATTTATTATTTAGAATCTTTAATTCTTCATCTTTAATTTAGTAATCCTTCTTCATTTTTTAAAGAATCTCTTTTTCTCTATTCAAATCCTCTGAATTATCTTCTTCATTTTATTATTTCAATTATTCTAAACGTTCCTATATAATTTAAATTTAATTATACTTATAATCTCTGGTTTTCTTTCTATAAAATGTCAACTTCATAATCTTTAGCATCTTCAAAATCTAATTAATATGGAGATGGAGAATTTGATCCATTTTGAGTACTCATTTTAACACTACATTTTTTAGAATGATAACGAGATGTTCGTCTTTTTCTTGCTGAATCCTATATCATTAAATTCTTTTCAATTGCTTCTAACTTTTTTTGAACATCTTTTATTGAAATTGTCTCATTTTTTTAACCTAATGGTTGAGTATTCTATTGTATCACTCTTGCTTATCCTTATACTATTTTCTGTATATTCACATTTGAATTTTCTATTAATGTTTTTTAGAACAATTCATATAGTTTGTCGTCCATCTTTAACGAATTTATATATATATATATTTATTTATATATAAATAATTAATAACGGGAAAAATATAAAAATTAATAAATTAATTATGGGAAATTCAGGAATACGAAAATTATGGTTTTTGGATTCTCCTGTTGAAACTCCATTTAAATCCATTCATGAAATCAATGTCATCAATATAAATAAGTCTGAAGAATCACTCTCTCAATATAAGGGTTAAAAAGTTGTCATAGTTAATGTTGCTATAGATTCTCCTGAATTGAATGATCAATTAAACTATTTGAAATCTCTACCCTATTAAGTACTCCTCTTTCCTAAATGTGATCACACATACACTTATTAATAGATTGCAGATAAATTATAAGGATTTAAAGTCTTTTAGAAAGTGGAATTGAATGGTTAATTCACTCATCCATTATACAAATTTCTAAAGAGACAAACTCCTCAATTATATGATGAAAAGTTGGCTAATGGCAGATAAATCAAATAAGACTTCTGTAAATTCTTGATTTCAGAAGAAGGTTAACCAATTAAGTACTTCTTACAAAATGAGAAATTATGAATTATTTATGTATAGACATTTATATCGAAATCCAACCATCTTATCTAAAATTCTTATTAAAGAGTACACCAACTTAAAAAGTGAAGAGCTAGCCTTCCGATATGCTGCATTAGCTAAATTACGCACTTAAGAATTAGAATTTGAAGCTCTACATCAATTGGATCCAATCGAACATTGGGATATTAGTAAAATTTCTTTATTACCACAAATTTTTACCTTACTCGCCAATCTACATAGAGCCACCCGTTCAGATAGCTTGATTTAGTATCCATAAATAGAAGCAGTCAATCGTATTACAGCACTTTTAGATCCTAATATGTTTCCTGTTTAAGATCTCTCTTTGAAATTACATACTTCTGATACTATGACAATTTGGGAGAAATCAAAGACACAAAGAGTGACTAAAAATTTAGGATTCAAACTCAATCTAAGAGAGAGTACTATAGATCATTCCGATGCAGGAGAAGGAGTCTTCTTAGAGACATTACCAGCAAACAAAAGGCTGTTACTTATTTTATTTTAAGTGTTCCTGCAGGTACCCTTTTGGGCTTCGTACCAGGTTTGATCTATGATAACTATAAATCATACGGTGAGAAGACACCTCCAGATATGCATTTCTTTAGATTCGATGGGCCCATCTTTGATTTTACATCCAAGATATTCTACCCTTATGTTCCAGGATTTGGTTATGATGAATACGAATAAAAAATATAAGAAATAGATGATTTAGCTGCTCGTTCTAATAGACCTTATAGAAATAAATCTAAAGGAGGTTATGAATTAGTAAAAGGAGAAGATATAAATCCATATGCTTTAGGTCATAAAATCAATCATACTCCTAGAAATAAATCAACTAATGTATGTTTAATAGATATATTTGTTCCTAAAAATTTCTTTCCTGAAGAATTAATGAAATTTTGGCCAACTTAGTATTTCTCCACAACTCAAGATTTTTTATAAAGCAAATCTATTCTTGATAATCATTACAAAAATCATATTAGAGGTTTAGGATTTATTAGTGTCACTGATATTAAAGATGGAGAGGAATTATATTTAGATTATTTAGAATCTTGTCTTTTCAACATGGAAATTGAGTCACCTGATTGGTTAATTAAACCACCTCCATTACATCCACAAATTTGCAAATGTAATCTCAGATAAGAAAGTTTATTGATGATGCTTTTAGAAGATTATGCTTTTTAATAAACAAAAGATGGAAAAAATTTTGACAAATTTTATAAGAGTGTTTTAAGAGAAAATCACTAATATTTATGAATGATAAATAAATACAATTATAAAGTTATATGAAAACTATTCTCTATAAAAAAATGATGTTTTAATTTTACCTGATTTTATTCTTTTTTTTTATATTAACAATTTTTAATGAATATTCAACTTAAATGTTTTAAGTATCTAAATTATGTGTTTATGAATTAAGCTCTAATTAAATACAAGGGATGCATTTCTAAATGTAATTTCTTATTATCACCACTATTGAAAATTCTTAGTTAAGCTATTCATAGATCATCAAGTTACAAAACGATAAACCTGACCTTATCTAAAGATGAAATTTCTTGTGTAATAAATATAGAATTAGAATTTTAGTACAAAATAATATAAATATGAACTCAATTCTCTCTTCAGATAGAATCATCGATTTCTTTTTCTTTTTATCGTTTAAATGAATTTAAAATTTGGAGATTCTGGAACAATAATATGAGTGTCATTATCTAATTATAATTGATAATCATCTTTCATGCACAATTCCTCTTATTATTTACAAAGTTCTTTATTCTTAACGAATTTATTGTTTTTGATTCCTAAAAAGTCCATGATTTTTTAATTAAAAAATTTATATGATACTCTATTAATTAAAGAAATATATAAATTGTATAAATTAATCATTCTGTTTATTTCATTTTGATTAACTTCTACTCCTACTTCTATTATTACTAATTTTTTTATTATTATTATCCTCTTATTCTTATATCCCAATCCTCATTCTAAGAGGACATCCTTTTAATTCTAAATCAAGCATACTAGTACTCTAAGCTTCACTAACTGTACTATATTCAATAAATGCTCTTCTCTTAGTAAATTAAGATCCTTCATTTCGAGGAATTTCAATTGATACGATTGTTCCATATTATGAAAAGAAATCAGCAATCTCTTTATCACTTATTTTGAGTGGAAGTCCTTATACAAAAATAGTTTTATAATCATGATTAATTTCATTAACATCTTCAATTAATTCTTCTTCATCATCTATTTCATCAATTCCTTCAATATCAGAGTCTAACCATTCAATTTTTTTAGATTTCTCATTAGATTATATATTTATCACTTCTTTTTCTTCTACAATATCAATCTCACTTCCTTCATTTTACTTAGTTTACTCTAATTATTATTCTTGTTAAACTTGTTATTCTTCATCTTCTGAAGGTGGCAATTCAACTTTTTCTAGAACTACTTAATCATCTATGTCTTGAAATTCTTATTGCCATTCTTTATTTTTTTTATAGAAATGAAATTATTTTTTCATTATAATAATAAAATATATCAGTGATTCATAAACTTAATCTAAACATAATACATAACCCCTCCAAACATACCTCCTCCTAATCCTGACATCATTAAGCCTTTCCATCCAACTGATTCAGCAGCTAGTACCATAGATGAAAACATGCAAGAAAGAAATGAATTTGTAGCATCATCTCTAATTCTTAATTTTTCTAATTAACATTCAAATATTGAATAAAAAGCACCAAAAATAGCAAAACCTTTTGCCATTCCAAACATTTTGTTTATATCTCTCTAATTTCAAATGATTATATACTCTCAAAACATATCTTGTTGATTATTTTGTTCTACCATAATCCATGTCTCTCATTTCTACTGCATTCATAAATAAAGCCATTAAAAAACCCATTGCACCTCCAGCTACAGTGACCATTCCTGCTTTTGCTGCACAGTTTGTGTCCATAAATGTCACATGCTCTTAATAATATTTGTATATAATTACTAAATGGATTAGGTTCTTATGCCATTATTTAATAATTAATTTATATGGCAATACCATTATAAGTATATAATTTTTGGAATTAAAGTAAATGGTTTCTGTTTTCAACAGAGGTAATAGGAATGTTTACACTTATTATATTTGAAAATGAATTAACTCTATTTATTGTAATTAGATTATTCATTGAAACATTTGCTGCAGGATATTTTTATCTTTAATGTAATGATTCAGCAGGTGAGCCAATAATTGTGTAAAGAAGATTAAGAATTATCTGAATTATCATTTTCTAGTTTTAGAGGAGATAATGAGTAATTTGAATGTCAAATACCTGATAGAAATGAATGTTAAGAATGTAAAATCATTTAATCTTACAGAACAAAACACTGTATTGAATTTTAGAAATGTATACCCAAATATGATCATCATTGTTTTTGGATTGGAGGATGTGTAGGCAAATTGAATCATGGAATGTATTGGTTATTTTTGAAATTATAATGTTTGCTTTGTTTTGATGGATTATTTTAATTTAGTAAACAATTTGTTTACTATTCCACTTTTGATGAAGAATTTGGAAATGATTAATTCTAATATTAGTATTTTTTATTTTGCTAATTGCAGCAACATATTTTGGGTTTGGAATATTTACTGGGGTGTTACTATTATATCTATTTTATAATTCACTCTATCACACTATGTTAATATTGACTGGTAAAACTACTTGGGAACACACCAATAGAGATAAGATTTCATATCTCAATGTTTATCCAAAGTACTATCATCCTTACAATTATGGTATCATAGAAAATATCAAATTAACATTTTTTCATAATAGTATTCAATCTGATTGGATACCTCCCTCAAAAGATTAAATTAAAAATTAATGCAATATATTTGATAACAAATATTACTCTTGTTGTTGATACATTTTATATATTTTTCTTTAATATAGATTTTCTTATTTTGAATTTGGATAAATGGAATTATAACAAGTATTAATTATCAGAAATAGTAAATGTAAATACACTTGAAATTAAATTAAAGTTGCTTTGATATTTGTTTTCATTTTAAACAATCTTTTTAGAATAAACTTCATAATTAAATATTAATAAAAATTTGATCAAAATTTAATCAATAATGGATGATTGTAAGTTCATTTTTTCCGATTATTTCTAAATTTGACTTAAGGAGTTAATATCGATCCATAAGTTTAGTAATAAGGCGAATTCTTATAATTTGATTTGCTGATTGTTCTATTTGATGGACTCTAAGGTTAGTTATGGTAACTTTGATTTTCAGTTTTGATTCTACTACAACAGCATTGAGTAAGAATTGGTAATTGAATATGTTTTTGGGTCATTGGAATCAGACATCTCATTCTCTATTCCAATTTATTCAAACATTAAGGTCTACTGATTTTATTAATTTATTTAATCTATTATTCTCTTTTTCCAATAATATTATAGAGAAGAGAAGATTTAGACTGCAAATTGAAATTAAAATACTATGTCTTCTATTCATCTATTTTATCACCAGTAGTGCTGCTTTCAATAATCGTTTTTATCCTATCTGTTTTTTTTGTAGTTCTCTTTCTTTAAAAAAAAACATCTTATTCTTTAGATATAAGAGTAAGTTTATACTTGTTAGCGTTAAAATTAGGGTACTTTCTGTATTACCAACTTATCCTTTCTAATTGTTGCATAATTCCTTTCTTGTGTTCATATTTTCGAATTAGAACTTTCCCAAACATCCACACTCAGTACAATAACAGCTTTTTCTTCTAGTGTGTGTTTTCTAACAATCTTTAATAATCCCTTTGATATTTCTTAAATGCAAACTATTAGATCTTAGATTAGTTCTTAAAGTTTAGATTCTGATAGATGAATTAGATTGTTAAGCATTAGAAAGAGAGGATGAACAAATAAGAATATCCATATATCTAATAATTAAATTAAAGAGAATAATTTANTATCACACTATGTTAATATTGACTGGTAAAACTACTTGGGAACACACCAATAGAGATAAGATTTCATATCTCAATGTTTATCCAAAGTACTATCATCCTTACAATTATGGTATCATAGAAAATATCAAATTAACATTTTTTCATAATAGTATTCAATCTGATTGGATACCTCCCTCAAAAGATTAAATTAAAAATTAATGCAATATATTTGATAACAAATATTACTCTTGTTGTTGATACATTTTATATATTTTTCTTTAATATAGATTTTCTTATTTTGAATTTGGATAAATGGAATTATAACAAGTATTAATTATCAGAAATAGTAAATGTAAATACACTTGAAATTAAATTAAAGTTGCTTTGATATTTGTTTTCATTTTAAACAATCTTTTTAGAATAAACTTCATAATTAAATATTAATAAAAATTTGATCAAAATTTAATCAATAATGGATGATTGTAAGTTCATTTTTTCCGATTATTTCTAAATTTGACTTAAGGAGTTAATATCGATCCATAAGTTTAGTAATAAGGCGAATTCTTATAATTTGATTTGCTGATTGTTCTATTTGATGGACTCTAAGGTTAGTTATGGTAACTTTGATTTTCAGTTTTGATTCTACTACAACAGCATTGAGTAAGAATTGGTAATTGAATATGTTTTTGGGTCATTGGAATCAGACATCTCATTCTCTATTCCAATTTATTCAAACATTAAGGTCTACTGATTTTATTAATTTATTTAATCTATTATTCTCTTTTTCCAATAATATTATAGAGAAGAGAAGATTTAGACTGCAAATTGAAATTAAAATACTATGTCTTCTATTCATCTATTTTATCACCAGTAGTGCTGCTTTCAATAATCGTTTTTATCCTATCTGTTTTTTTTGTAGTTCTCTTTCTTTAAAAAAAAACATCTTATTCTTTAGATATAAGAGTAAGTTTATACTTGTTAGCGTTAAAATTAGGGTACTTTCTGTATTACCAACTTATCCTTTCTAATTGTTGCATAATTCCTTTCTTGTGTTCATATTTTCGAATTAGAACTTTCCCAAACATCCACACTCAGTACAATAACAGCTTTTTCTTCTAGTGTGTGTTTTCTAACAATCTTTAATAATCCCTTTGATATTTCTTAAATGCAAACTATTAGATCTTAGATTAGTTCTTAAAGTTTAGATTCTGATAGATGAATTAGATTGTTAAGCATTAGAAAGAGAGGATGAACAAATAAGAATATCCATATATCTAATAATTAAATTAAAGAGAATAATTTAAACTAAATATTATTATATAAGATAAAATAGGGCAAAGAAATAGTAGAAATGATAAATGATAAATTCATTAGTCAATAATATTTGTAGTTCTGAGAGACTTATTTGTTTTAGCATCTAAGCTTTAATTGCTTTTCTTTTGCTGATATTATTATTGATTATTTAACTACTGTTATTATAGTAAAATTAGATTTTCTGATGGGAATTAACTATCCTATTTCTCATAATCTGTTTTCTCCATTTTATTTTTTAAATAAGGATGATCTAAAGCTTATGCAGCAGTTATTCTTTTGTTTGGATCCACTTCTAACATTTTCTTCAAAAGATCTGCTGCTTCTTCATCAGCTACAAATTTTTATGCATTATACATTTTTGATTTTAACATAGGTTGATTAGTTATTCTAGTTATTTATTATACTTTACAAATTAAATAAAACAACTCCAACACTAAACATATCTGAATTAAAACTTGATTCTTTTTATCTCAATACTTCTGGAGCATAATATCCTGGAGTACCACACACACTACTGACTGATCCAAACTTTAGATTTGCAGCAAATCCAAAATCTATCACTTTTATAGAATTATCTTTCTATATAATAATATTCTCTGGTTTAATATCTCTATGAACAATTTTCTTAGATTGTAAATATCTAATTGTGTTTAATAATCCCTAATCTTTATTTTATTTAATAATACAATCATAATTGTCTTTATTTAATTGGTTGGAAGCTTTTGTTTTAAAATCTTGCTTAATGGAGTTCCTGCAACAAATTCTTAAACTATCCAAAAAGTTTGATCATTCTCATAAACTTCAAGTACTTTTATAATGTTTTCATGGTTTAATGACATTAGTATTGACACTTCAGTTTTGACTATATCCTAAAATATATATATCAATTTAGTTTAATTACCAAGGCTTGATCTTCTCTTCCAAATTCCTATTTTATCATTTTTACAGCAACTTCTTTTTTACTCTTCTTATCAATACTTTAGAATACCTTAATTAATAAATTAATTACTTTTGCTGACAATCCTTCTCCTATAAATTCAACTGGTTAATAAAATGATGCCATGTTCCTATAAATCACTTTACCACCCAGAGCTATTTTTAAGGATTCGAGATGTATCTATTATGCTTCAAAATATTTAATTTTATTCTGGTAAATTATTCCAAATGCTTTTAATGATTGCTTTCCCATTTTCCATAAAATTTATGTCGTTAATTTAAGTTCTATTCGATATTTTGGGTTCTAATAATTGTTAAACTGATTATATTAGAATAAAAAAATTACAGCTGATATACAAACTTCATCATCCATCACTTTCAAGTAATATGTTTTAGAAAAAAAAGTATGTGGTCTAATACAAGTGAAACAGAGCTAATCCGTATTCATTATAATTTGTTTCTTCAACTAAATTGATTTATATTATTATTATTTTTATATTTCTATTCTCAAATATGTAACTCTCATTCTACTCTTATAAAATTAATTATTCAAATTTTAATCTTTCATTCATTATCAATTACTTACAAAATCATTAAATAAATCTAAAAAAATAATTGTATTTTTTATTTTATCAAAAAAATCATTAATTTTATACAAATTTGATCTATTCGTATTAAATTTATATCAATATAATTAAAAATAAATCTATTTTAATTTGTTTAAATATTAATGAATTCTTTATAAACTTATTTAGATATATATGTTCTTATATTTATATAAATTTAATTATATATATAAATATTGTTAAATTAAAGTAAATATTTATTTCACTATAAATTTAAATTATTGCTCATATTGAAATAGTAGTTAAAATCAAAACTATAATCATAATTAAAGCATTAATTTTAAAATATTTTAACAAGAAGAGTATTAAAATTAGAGAAGGAATGTCTATTTAACTATTTGTTAATGAAGAAAATTAGAGTTCTTCATTTAAAGTACCTAAATTTTTACTGTTCATTCATTCTTAATATTGATATAATATTAGCATTTTTACATTTTTACATTTAATTTCAATAAACAAATATCTATAATTTTTGCTAATTCAGCTAAATTATTTTTTATTTCAGGTAAGGTACAAAAAATTAGATAAAATATCACTAATATTCATAAATACAGATATGACAAAAGATGTTATTAATATGATCTTGTTCTTAGGAGTGAATCATTAAATTAAGCAATAAAAACTTTATGTATTTCCATTATTAATAAGGTTTATTAAATAATGAGGTATATTAAATCGTAAAAATAGCTTATATCTGAGAATTTGAAAATAATATTTGATCTTAATACTAAAATAAATTTGGAAGTTATGGAGTAGTGATGATTAACCTTCTAACAAAAGATTGTTTAATTAAATTTAATTCCTTTTTCGTCAATAATGCTATGGATGTAAATTTCCCTAAAAATTCTTTTCCTTTAATTTTTTTTTAAGCTCTCCTTGTAGACTCTTAGAAAGAACACTTTGATATTATACATTTTTAATTCCAAATCTAATGTTCTGTCCTTCCTACTTGAATTATATGAAGGGCATTCTAAAAAAATTATTAAATAACATATATATCCTATCCATTAAATTTCTTATTGAAATATAAGAATACTGTTAAATCAAACCTTGATAAAATTTAATTTGCAATCATATATTATCAAGATTCAAAATAATTTTAAGTTTTATTATCTAAAAATGAAAGCATAAACTGTTATATTAAATAGTTTTATGAAAAATTACTAAAATTCTTATTTCATTTAACTTTTGATCTTTTTTATGAGAAATTTATTTGTATTTACAATTAGATTAAGTTATTAGGAGGAATAAATACGGCATTCTTTGTTTATAGGATAAGTTGCAGTGTTGAATAAATCTATAGAATAAATATATAATTTTTATTATTATTAATTTAATTTATATTTTTAATCATGAGAATCCAAATTTTATAATACTTTTTTCGCAAGTCAATCTATTTTATTAATTTCCTTTTATCATTAAATAATAAAGCTTCTTGATTAAATAATTGTTGATGTTAATTTATAATTTTATACGATAACCTGTATTTTCCTATAAATTTTATTAATATAGTTTGTAAATATGATAATGATTAATAATTTTTAAATAATTAAATTTCAACATAGTGAATCCACTATTAATATATAACAAATCCTTTACATGAATTTTATATAATGTACTAATATTTAATAAAATATGACGCATCAAAATATCTCTTTATATTCAAGACTAAAGTTGATAGGATCAAAATTATTATTTATAATGAACATTTTTAGTTGTCCTAATGAAAAGGAATACTCAAATGATGTTAGTTCTGAAATTGAGAAATCGTAAGAAAAAAAGGAACTTAGGCCTCGAAATAATTTATGCCCAGGTGCCTTTTAAGAATATAAACGAACTTACGTTAAAGTACCATCTAATTCAAAGGAATAACTTGCTTAATTAGTATTCATGGAAGGGTTTAAAATCAAAGATGTATAATACTGAATTAAGTATTAAATAGGCTGCTCAACAATTGAATATCAAATACGCAACTGCTAAGACCATAATATTTCATATGCGTAAAGAAAACATAAAAAAAATGAATATAAATTCAAAAAACTGTAGATATACCTCAATATTGGAAAATAGACTCCTAAAATACAAAATTATTTCAACTCTTTCAAGTAGGATCATATCATCATAGGAATTTATTGGTTATTTTTAACAAAATGGTTAAGATTAAGAATTTAAAATGATATGAAGTCCTTTGATGATAGTATTTATAAAATTTGTGTTATATTTCTTAACAAATTATTTTTAATTCGTTAAATATTTAATGAATAATACATTCAAGTTATACTTAGAATTATGAATTAACGTACATTATCTAATGTATATCTTTTTGATAAGTTAGAAATCATGGATATGATGTGATAAATGATACTAAAAACTTACTTTATTTATTTAAATCTACAGAGTTGCATCTTGAAAAAATTAATTATGATTAGATATATCGATTAAAACGATATTATTTAAGAAAAAGGAATATAATCTACAAAATGGTTTGAAAAAATATTGAAAAATAAATGATGTTATTAATATTGTATTTATAATATAAATATTGTTAAATAAAATATCAGGTCAACATATGAGGAATGTATAGTTGATAGAAATTTTGAAACATAATAAAAATTACACTACATAAAAATTTAATAAGTTCAATTTAAAGTCATGTTTATTTTTTGAAAAATTAATATAATTATTTTAATGAATTTGTATTTAGAATCAGCTGCTGAAGAGTTTGAATAAGCTATTTCAGATGCTGATCAATTGTTGGCATTAACAAAAGCTACACTTCAAAAATTTACAAATTATCTAAAAAGGAAATAATAAGAAAAAATGGAGCGAAGATATCATTTGAATAATATTACTGAGGACTCTAATAGTATGAAACAATTAGATAAATAATCATATAATTAATTGAAGATATTGGAATATTTTAATAAGTTTCATAAGGAAGTTGATAAATAATTAAGAGATTTGAAAGAGATGGTTCCCTCCAATCCTTAAACATATGTAATTGAGGAATTAAATTAATAAGAGAATATCAATAAATAAATAGAATAAAAGATTCCTCAAAAAGTTATATAACAAGAACAAAAATATTATCCATTATTCAAGTAAGCAAAAAATTCAGGTTAATCAATTCAAAATTCTTATAATCAAAGTTAATTGATTTTAGGATAACATTAAACACATCCTTAATTATAATCATAGAACTCAACATAATTTTAAACATAATAAAATTAAAATAATAATACATAAAAAGAAAATAATTAATAAAGGATTACAACAACTTAAAATTAAAATTCATCTGAATAGTAGACAGAAACAATTAAACCAATATTAAAATAAAGATAAGAAATAAAAGAATAATTAATAACATTTGGAAGATTATAGAAATTTTAATATTAGAAATTAATATATCCAAATTAAAATGAGGGAAATTGTGTATTTTGTGGTTTGGAAGCAAATGATTAAAATTTAGGACCACTTTTATTAATACCATCAAATAATAATTAAAATTAGAAATATTAATTACATGAGATGTGTGGTTTATGGAGTTAGAATTTAGTATTTTTTAATGGTATAGAATAATGTGATCCAAAGAATATAGATGAAGAAGTTGATAAATCTAAAAAAACTGTATTAAATATGATTTATTTTAGAAATGTTTTTTATGTAGTAGATCAGGAGCAACAATTTGTTGTGCAGTGTGTCCTTAATCATTTCATTTTACCTGTCTAATGAAGAGTTCACAAACAGGTAAAGCAAAATATGTTATGATAAGGCAAGTTGATAGAGAATCAATTTAAGTTTTTTTGTGATAAACATAAATATAAGGCTAGATTGGAAATGTAGAATTCAAGTGATGAAGAATAATTACCAAAAAAGAAAAAGAAACTTTAATAAAAATTGAATACATCAAAATAGATGAATAAAAAAAGTCCAAAAAGAGGGAAATCTCCAGCATCATAATAAGCTATATTATAATAATGTTTAAAGAATAAGGATGAAGATTTAAAACGTTAATGGATCAATTCTGATCTTATTTATTTTAATTTACCCTAATGGGCATCTATTGAATAAAAATTTAGTGATCTTGATCAATCATTAATATAGAATAAACAATATGATCCTTAAAATAATATTTAATCAGATATCAAATAGGAATAAATCAATTGACTTTTGATAATATATATATATATAATTAAATTAATATTGATTTTAAAAGATGGAAGGCAAATATTTACAAGTAGGTAAACCTACAGGGGATGATTTTGATGATGGAATGATAGATAAAATAAGTAGAATCAAAATTTAATATAATAAACAATATATTGTTGCAATAGGAATATTTTATGAATAAAGATAAATCTATAAATTTCATAACTTTTGTGTAAATAGTATAAGTAAGTTTTATTTCTATGTTTGGGAAGAGGAGTTTATAATAGAAAAAGATGATTGTAAAAATAATTTTGTTATTTAGATTTATAGTAAGTGAGTGGTACTTATGATGGAACATATATCACATCATTATAATTTCTTACATATAATGGTTAATCAATGCATTTTAAAGCATCTTGTTTGGGAGATTAATTCTTTATAGAAAATTTAGGTATATTAATTCAAATTATTTTAGGTGATACATTTTCTAGTTGTAGTGGTTCATTTGATAGAAATGGTTTAACATCATTAGTCTTTAAATTAATGCCTCTAAATTGGAATGATTTTGAGAGAGTACAAAATAAAATTCTCTTATTATCTTATGGTCATCATTATCCTTAGAAATATGTTCCTCAATTTTCATAATATTTAAACTATCCATAAAATTGAGAGTTATTCATTATTTTACTAAAATAATTTTTCAAATTTTTTAAACTAATAATTAAGTTTTTAATAAGATGAATACAAATGGACCATAATAAGGATTATTTGGTAATAAACCTCCTTAAACAAATACTATATTCTCTGCTACACCTGCTGTACCATAATAAAATAACCTCTTTCCCAATACATAACCAACACAATAAAATAATATGTTGTTTGGATAAACAACTAATTAACCTTAACCAATGACAGGTATTTCTAAATATAATATAAAATAGGTGGATTTGGTTAAACACCATTATTAGGATAACCAGTTCAAAATTAGGGTATTTTTGGTTAACAATAACCAGCAACTTCTAATCTTTTTGGAAATACATAACCTGGTTTTGGATAATAAACTAATTTATTTGCTACAACACCTTAATAATAATAACCAGGTATAATGTAGAATGGACTATAATATCCTTAATAAAATTAAATTCAAGCTTTAATTAATGATTCAAATGCCTTTAAAGAAAAATATAATGCATTGACTTTAAAGATTGGTGAAACAGAAAAAAGCTTTGCTAATCAACCTGGTTAAAATTAATAATGGTAATAAACAATCTAACCAATTTCACAAATAGTCTTTCAAATGGATACCAAATCTGTTCTAGATACCTCTGAATAAATATTAGCTGGTTAAAAAGATTTGTCTAAGAATCTAAATGAATATATTTCTACTGTTGGATTGGTATAGAAAATTACAGAAGATGGACTAGAAGTCTTAAAAAAAGAAGAGGCTTAATGCAATGATTTTTAAAAAGCTTAATAAACAATGAAAGAATCATATGATTAATTATCTGGAACTATTAGAATTAATTAATAATTTTCTGTTCCCTAAAAATATTAAGAACAATTAATTCTTCAATAATATGAATAATTAGAGCTGTTGACTACTACTGTTAATAATATGATAAAGTATTATGAAAAATAACCAAATATGGATGTCGATGAAGCCTTATAATATAAATTAATGCATCTATAAACGTTGTCAAATTATTAATGTATGCTTTCATCAAGAATTAGAAATATTTAAGAAAAAAGTATTAATCTATATAAAATTAGTATCTACATTTTAAACTAAAACATATTCATAAATTATGCCAGATAAAAAAATTGATGAATTTTATACCATAGATACACACAAAGACCTTCTAGATCAAATTATTTCAGAAAAAATTTGATTCTGATTAATTTATATTAATTTTATAAAACAATCAAAGATCATTAAATATTTTATGATTCTAATTATATCATCAAAATTTATCATTATGAGATCTAAAATCAAATATTAATCTAAATTTAGTGAATCATTAATTTTATATAGTTAAAGTTTCTAGATAACATTGTTAAATTTATAATTCTTCTCCAAGAATAATAATAATTAAATAATATAGTAGGTTATTGATATATCCTATTTTTTGTTTCAATATAATTAATTAAATAGATTTTCAAGATTCATAAAATCATTTAAGTATTTTTTTTAATTTAAAAATTTTATTTATCAAATATTAATTAATAATGAAACTAATAATAAAAAGAGTTTGACCCTGCGGATACTAACCGTTACTTTCAGATCTGTGATCTATTGCACTCCTTGTGTGAGGATCAATAATTGAATATATTATCTCAATATTGAAAAGGATAACCTATTTTTTGATTTTATGAAAAAAGATAGTTTTTATGGAAATCTTCAGTCTTTCAAACTCTGTGTTAATTTACATCTATAGTTAAATTAGTCAAATAAGATTTATTAATTTGAGTAGATTTATATATAAGCCCTTAATTTTTGATCAATTATTTTGAAATTTCAAGTTCATAAATTCAAAGATGATCTAGAAGTTGTTTCCAGATGAAGTGTATAGAATCAGATAAAATAACAAGAGATTTTATCATAGAGTAAATTTTAAATCATAAATTTAGATTGATTTTTATCTTAATAATAAGTGTGGGTATTAAGTGATTAAATGATCTTAATCAGATGAAATAGATATATCAAATTATTTTAATTTATTGCTTAATAGACTAATCAAATTATTATCATTTAAATTAATTCATTTTTTGACTTAATTTCTATATTCTGATTAAAAAAAATTAGAATAAGAGAATTATTTTTTATATTGAACAATCATATATAAAATTAATTTAATATTTCATATTTTATACACAATATAATATAATATTAATCATTGTTTTTATAATGTTGATTAAACTATTTCTTATTCCCACAATTAAGCCATTTAAATTCTCATATTTTGTAATAAATGATTTAATTAGTCTTCTGATTTTATTTATGGATTTAAAATGATATTTCCATATAATTTGGCCATCATCTAAAAAAATACTTCTACAGGTTATTAATAATTATCTTTCCAATTATTTCCTAATAAAGATTTTGCTCTATCAATAAGATCAAAATATTGAGGTTAAACACCTGCATTTGCTAATGTCCAAATTGATAATAAATTATCATACATCAAAGAAGATGGTTACATTATTCTAATTTTAATTTATTAATTTGAAATCTAGAATTTACTCAATACTTCATGATTTAATTCAATGATATTTACAATAAATGATTTAGCTACTTGACAATTTTTGTAAGTTTTTTAAATGAATTAACTAACATAAATGTAAGCATTTTCAATCAATTCAAGAGGTAAAGAATCTTCTGTAAGTTTAGAAATTTATTTCCAACTTGGTTATTAATATTATGGATATTCCAATCTTTAAGGTTAAGTTTATTCTTCTTTTCTGAAATAATTGATTATCCTTTCACTTACTATTACTAATGGTTTGAGAATATTAGACATTGGTTTAATTTCTTCTTATTTTATTTGATCTAAAGATTTGAAAGATTCTTGTGAAGGTGGTCTACTCAATCTCATCTTTTACCATAATTATTAAGCAGAATAAAAGAAACCATCAAATACAGGTCTAAAATAAACAACATCTAATTTAAATTTATTTTATTGATACCTATATTGTAAGGACTTATACGCTATATTGATTATTCATAAAATTCTGTATACTGTGAGTCTTCATTCTCTAACCAAGCAAAAAGTAATTTTTCAAAACAAAATTGCCATGCAAAATGATTGATTTATCCATCTAATTCTATAGTGATTGCTCGTCCTGCATAAATACGCCATTCTTCTCCTAATGTTTGTAATAATGATTTAACAAACTTATCTCTCTTCAATAATTGAGATGTGCTTTCAAATAGATTGAAATTGCTATAATAGCAATATTGAGTTTCTAATTATTGCATAAGAGTTTAATTAAATAATATTTTTTTAAAGTTTTTCTTTAACATTAAATTTGCATTATTGAAATCAAATTTATTATAGAATTGCATTCATAATTAAGAAAAAATAAATGAATAATGTTAAAGAAATATCTAAATATAAATCATTAAAATTAATCTTTCAATTATAAGACTTACTTTTTCTAATTCAAAACATCTTATTTAAATTTTCGTAGATATTGTTATTCTTATTATAATATTGATCTTTCTTTTAGAATGTATTAAATCAAGAATTCTATAGCATCAAATTATATGGTCAATTAATTTTCGACTTTATTTTTTGAATTTACCAAATTTAATAATTGGCTAACGTATTCATTAAGTTTCATTTACAATCCTTCCATATGTATTCTTCTTTCATTTAATAATTCATCCTAAAATTAATAATAAATTTTATTACATTTTTTTATTGTTCTTATTCATTGTCTTATATAGATAATATCTAATATTGCATTTATTTTTCTTATTTTTCTAAAATCATTTGTTTTTACAATAGAGTTTATGATCTTTAATTAAGCTTTTATTATTTTTGATTTAGATTTGTATTGTTCTCTAATAATTACTCCTTCTCTTATTAGATTTATTTAATTTGATTGCAATTTTATAAGTATTGTTCTCTTTATTTAAATTCCAAAGAGGCTATAAGAGTTTATAGTTATTTATTTTATAATTTTAGTATTGATTGATCTCTCTAATCATCATTATTATTATTAATTATGATTTTTTATGAATTTTCATGTTATGAGACAGTTTTGAATATATTATCATTTTTTGATTATCTTTTACTTCTAAAGCTATCTTTATTAAGAATCTTTTTATCTAAGGTATCTAATTTTTATTATATTGATGATTTCTAAAGTACAATAGTTGGAGTGACATTCTCTTTTTTTAATTGTATAATCTTAGTTTGACTGGCTAAGATTGTTTATAAATGATCATTGGCATTAGAGTCTAAGGTTTTATCAAACAGATGGAGAAGAATTTCTTCTAAAGACATTGATAAATTTAACGTATATATAATTGATTGTATATTTGATGAATTAATCATTATTATATTAATAATAGAATAATTATATTTGATATTAACATATACATATTATATAGAGTATTTATATAGTTTATGAATGTAAAAGAATGATAGAATATAAAGATTTTAGAAAAAATAGCTTTTAAGTAGTGTTAAGATTTGATTATTATAAAAAAGATTATATTTTAACATTTTCTATGCAAAAATGGAAAACTGTTTAAAAAAATATTGTTTTTTTATTAAATTTAAGAATGAGTAATAAAGATAGTCATAGTGGGATGTATATTTAATCATCTAATGATTTGGCAAATGATGAAGATTAATTTATACCTAAAGATAATGATTAAAGTGGGGACATTAAATAGGAATTCTAAAGAGCACAAACTCAAAGTTAATTGTCATCTGCTGAATAAATAGAGGATATTCCAGTACCTAGATTAACACTATTTGTGTATAGATTAGCATGATTTGAATAGTTCATAAATGTCTATAGATGATTGCCAATAAAATAAGAAACAAATGTCAATAGAATCAATGAGTCCAATTAAATATTCACCTTAAAAGAAATAGGAAATGAAAGTTGAATAAAGTGTAGAAGATATAAAATAGTTGGAAATATAGGAAGTATAAACTATTTAATAGATTCAAACAAGAAGAAAGACAAATAAAACAAATTATAATGTTGATGATTCTCCTATAGAATAAGATGAAATGAAACCTTGTCATTGTACAAAAACTCATTGTTTATAATTATATTGTTCTTGTTTTCATAATAGACGTCAATGTATGAGTGAATGTAAATGCAACGACTGTTATAATGATGGAAAACATGAAGAAGATGTATTAAAAGCAGTTGAATAAATTAAAATAAAAGAATAAAGAGCATCACATCATGATTTAGATTCTTTTGATACAAAATAAGTATGGGGTTGTAAATGCAAAAAAACTAAATGTGTAAAAGGTTATTGTGAATGTTTTATTAGGGGAAAAAAGTGTACATCTCATTGTTAATGTACAGAATGTGAAAATAGAAGATAACCTTAAAAGAAATAAAAAAATAATTAATAAAATACACAAATAAATAAAAAGATAAAGAAAAAATCTTAAGTTTGATTAATTTTGCCATTTTCGATTTTATCATTGAAATTGAAAATTTTATAACTGCTCAAATATAAAATACATAAACAAATTATATTCTTTATAAAATATTAAATAATTCTTATCAATAAATATCTATTAAAATTCTTTATATTGTTTTTCAATTAATCTAAAAATATTCATATTAAAGTGTAATATTTTATTAATTTCATTAGTATATATAGTTTTTAATGATTCTTTATAATAAAAAGTAATTGTATTAAATAAATATAACCAATTGTTATTGATTGATTGTACACATTTATATAATTAAATTATAATAATTAATGAAAGAACATTAAGGGTTAATGACAATTGAATTTAAACCAATCAAATAGAAGTACTTCTTACATGAGAAAGAACAATTGAAATAGGATCCATTTGTAGAAAGTTTATAGGAGTATTTCTAGATATTCCGTAGACGAATAATTTTGCATTTATTACTGTGTATATTGAAATCATAATAGCTCATAGCATTTTTCTTTTTGGCCCTTATGATTCCATCTATCATACTATAAGCAGATTATATTGAATTAGATGTCTCTGAAAAAGGTGGAATATTTACTATGGAATAAACATGGGATCCTCCTATTAGTATACAAATGTTTTCAAAAACTGATATTCTGTTGCTTGATGTGTAATTGTCTTTAAATGGCAAAGAGATTGAAGAGTTCACAATTTATGAACGATTGTATATGAATACTCAATACAACTTGACTAGTAATACAAATTACAGTTTTAGTAAACTAATTTATTAATGAGGCAGCAGTTAGATTGATGGCATAGTTTGATTTTGTACCCACGTCTTACTTGATTATCATAGTTGTAATGCTTGTCATCTCCCTTTTGTACTCTATCCTTACATACACTCGTTACAAAAAACTTTGATCTTTTATTGTATTTAGTTTCTACTTTTGTTTCAAGTAAATCATAACTCATTTTATTCTATTTATTTAATTTTATTTCATCATATTACTATCAGACACTCTCTCCTCTATCTTTTTTAATTTAATTATCTTAATCTACATATCATAAATTCAAAATAAAATAGACAACTACTCATACTATTTTAACAATTAAATGTCATAATCATTATTAATAATAATGACTATCCTTATCTAACATAAATAATAAATATATGTAATAACCAACAGAAGAATTAGATTAATTTATACAAACCTTAAATAATTAATCAACCATTCCCTACCTATAATAAGCCTTAACTTAGGATTAATTGTTAGCATAAAATGCTCGTCTACTCTAACAATTACATGAATAATAGAGAATGCTTAATTTGCAAAGTCTATTCACTTAGAGTGTACTATAGAATCCCTTTATAAATTAATAAATTACTCATGAGAGTAAAAAGATTAAGAAGACTAAATCAACATTACAAAGAATACAATCTAATGCTAGTATAAAAGAATAAACCCCATAAATATAGGAAATCAAAGGTAACGTCAAAAATGCATACATTAAAAAAATTACATCTTTACTTAGTGTAGAAGGTGAAAAACTCTTAGATGAAGAATTATAGGAAGATTTACAAGGAGACAGTTCATCAGAAGAAGTATCAAAAGAATAGAAATTTGGTTTGGCTGGACTCTTAGGATCTACTATTGATTTATTAAGTGCTGAGTCAAAGAATAAAAGATTAAGATAGAGTGCCAAGAATTCACGTTTAAGAAAGAAGGTTTATTTGAAATTATTAGAGAAAAAAGTAATATTTATAATTAACAAATTAGGTTTCTGATTTAGATTAGAAAATATAGGAATATAAAAAAACAACAAAATAATCATTTGAGTATTTGACTTAATTACTTATATCTCATCCAATTCTAAATAGTATGATTATTGGTAATTCAAATGCAATTGATTAAATTATATAATGTAAACAATCTGATTAAGCTTAACTTATATTAGATTCATATTTAGTATATATAATAATTAATTATTAGATGAGATATGGTACATGTGGAATTAAAAGAAGAGATTATCTTAAATATGCAGTTAAAAATATTCAAAGAAATTTTTTAAAAGGAAATTATGGTTTATAATTGATAAGTGTAAATAAGGATGTTAATAATTGTATTATAGTATCTTATATTATTTTAGATGATGATGAATTCAATAATTATGTTGAAATTGTTAAAAAATATACTAAATTAGATGATGAGAATTTAATTTATAAGGTACTTCCTATAATTGACAAATTATTAAATCATAGAAAAACATCATAATAGTATTTTTATTTTTTATAATTAGATTATTATTAAAGTTTAATACAGAAATGAAAAAGTTAAAATTAATACAATAAGAAGTGGAAGAGAATGTCAATTAATTCACTTAATAATTAACACCACTTCAATAAATTGAATTAATTAAAAGTGTAGAGAAATCAGCAATTTTTAATAGATCACTAAAGTGAATAGTTTATCATATGTATATAAAATGATTATTTTTATAATAATATATAATATTATATTAGTAAATAACAATAAAAAAAAATGGAATTATTAAACAATTAAGAGAAAGAATTATTAAGTAGATATAATAAATATATTTAAAATACAAATACCTAAGAAACAATAAAATATTCTGATATATTTGTTGGAAAACATGATATTGATGTTGGATAATTAAAAGATTAGATGAAATTTCAAAATACAAAAATGAGTGTTAAATCTTCTTCAGCTACTAAAAGAGATGAATTTAAAAATATAATGTCAGAACTAAGAAATAATTAGATTTAAAAAAGAGAAAGTGTGAATACAAATAAGAATAGTTAATTAATTGAATAGAATTCAAAATAGAAATAATTTGAATAGAATTAGAAATAATTAATAAAAGAATGTATATTAGATAAACCTGAGAAATAAGTAAGATAGAAATCTACTTTATCATAAGATTATCCAGAATAAAAAAAAAGATCATAGAGAATAAGTAGTTAATAAACTACAATTGAAATTTAAAAATAATTTAATGAGTATTAATAACAAATTAAACAGTTAGAAAACTATTATAATAACTTGAAAGATTGATATAAATGAAAAAGATAGATAATAAATTCTTCTTTTGTTTAATCAAAAAACATATTGAAGAATGTCCTTAATTTGGTAAAAGAGTCAAAGAAGAAATAAAGCAACTTTTAAATTAATTATTATGATGATTCTAATATTATTAACTTATATGTAAAATTCTGTATAAATTTAATATTATCACATATTAATTTATTAATGTGGAAATTACTATTAATTGCCTTGACTTTTATACAACTTAGAGCCCAAGAAGATGAATTAAGTGAAGAAGATTAAGAATCTTAATTTTCATAATAGGATTGTATTAATAAATGATTAATTGATAGCATAACAAAATTATTATTAACAATAACAATATGGATGCATTATTTTAACAAAATATCATCTTTAGGAAAGAAGTCAAGAATTAATGTAGTTATTTAAATCCATTTCAAATGATTAAGATAAAAGAAATGCATATGAAAAATTATAAGTTTAATTAGTCATGTAATGCATCTCAAAAATCTAATATTAATAATTGGCTGATCTTTTTAATTAATTGAGACAATAAACTTTTAAATATTAAGATTTCTAAGATGTTTTTATGATGGCTGATCTGAATTTAGAAGATGATTACACATTAACAGATTAAGAAAAGATATTATCAAAAGAAATAGAAGTATTCATTATTATTATTCATATAGTAATTTGATAAAAATATGTAAGAATAATAAAAAAAATATAAATAAGAATAAGGTTATGATGATGATGATGATGATGAAGAAGTTGATCCAAGAAGAAGATAATAACCATAAGGTTATAAATTATTTGGAGTTGATTTATCAAAGCTATCAAATACAACTTAGATGACTATATTTGTTGGTCTGATATCACTTTTTAGTGTCATTTTATTTTTAGGTATATTTTATTATTTATTTTTATAGGATTAAGATTTGTTTAATAACATACATAAGGCCCAGTAAAGAGAGTGAAAAAAGACAAAAAAGTTAAATAAAAATGAGGTTATAATTATCAAAGTTTATTCTAATCAATTTTTATTTTAGGTAATCTATTTTTATTTGATTTAATTAACTCTTCTGTAAATTAATGAGGTTCTATTTCATAGAGCAATTCTGATTTGATTACATATACATTCTTTTGTATTTAAAACTAATTCAGGATTAATTACCCCTTCTGGTTTTTATTAAAATAATAGAGAAGAAGGAGAAATTTCTATTTTATGACTATTCTTGAGTATTCTATTAGTGCCACTCTATTATTTTTTTGCTGAATTATAATTGAATCCAGAAGTTATACATTTTCTGATATTGAAACTAATATCTTTATAAATAGACAAAGATTCATTCTTAATATCAATTTCTATTTCAATGTTTTACCATCTTCTTTATAAAAAATCTGCTTATTTATAATATTCAACTACATTATCATTATCTTTTTGAATTTCTGCTGTTTTCAATATTTTTTTATTTAATTCTATATATTCTTTTTCTTTTATGGTCAATTCTTGTTGATCAAATATTATAATTTCAATTATTTCAATTCTCTTTCCTTCAAACACTTCATCCTCGACTCTTCCTTAGCTTTCTCTAATTCAATCTTTTTATATAATTCTTCTAATTATCCATCTAATGGCTTCTTAGTTTATAATTTTTTATGTAATTCCTTCTTTGCCTTTTCATCCTCTTCCTTATTCATAATTAGGATAATGAACTTAAAGTTATTAAGACTTATTAACTTCTACTAATTCGTATTCCTTCTACTTTTTATCCTTTTCCCATAACTCATGTTCGGAAAGATAAGGAGGTTTAATTCCAGCAAATCTGGTTAATAATTCTTAACAAAATTCATCATCCGCAGAAAAACTTGAATCAATCAATTTCTTTTTCAAAAATCTGTAAAAATAGTTGAATCTTTTCGCATTCTTTAATAAAATCAGGTATGATATTATCATGCAGGTCTTAACCAAAAATCATCCAATTTTGTAATCAATAGTTAAAGTTCTTATATATATAGTTTAATATTAGAATAAAAAATGTATAAAATAAAAATAAAATACACTTCTTATCCTTTTACTTTTTTTGATAAAGACAGAAACACAGCTTACTCCTATTTCTGATAATGTCCATTTAAATAATTATTTATAACATCCATCCATTCCTATGTCTGAATTAACTTTTTAATGTTGTATTATAAATCTTGAAAATAAATTACTTATATTCTATTCATTTATTACTAATTTATTACTTAAATTAATTTTTAACTTAAAAAAGAGAATAGATCTATTTGTAAAGAATACATATAACTTTTATTAATTAAAATAATTAGTTTATATACAAAATGCAATAATTTAAGAAAATATCAATAGTAATAATTATTTTTTGAAACTTAAAAAAGAAAATTAAAAAAAAATAATAAAATTAAGCAATAAAAAATTAATTACATAAACATTTTTAGAGTCATAAAAATTATAATAATTTAAATATATCTTGTTTAATGAAATTTTAATTAATTATATTAATAATTGTTAACTAAAATAATGTTTGATTCAATGAAGTGATTTTTAATTGTGTTCTTCGATGTTTATATCAATTGTTTATTTGGGCTATTGCTCTGCCAATAATTCTAAATCAAGTGCTTTTTAGATTGGTAGCCAACTTATATCATTTTGTAAGAATTTACTATAGACATATGATTCTGTGCCTGTGTGTTCAGTTTTCTATTTCACTTTTAAGTATAATAAATAAGCCAAATAATTCCAAGGGTTATGATATTTTTAAACATGATTGTCAAATGATATACCTTCTTTTTCAAATATAGTTCTTGTTAAGTCACAAATATAACATCTATTTTGAGAATCGAAATCTTTAATAATATATTATTATTACCTTTTTGATTCTTTTAATCTCTCAATTCAGCAAAGGTATCAATAATGATACCAAAGATAATGTTCAACCATATAATATTAATGAGAATAAAAAAGCTTACATCATAAAGAACTCTTTATGAATAATAATTTAAATTTGAATGTGTTGGAGGTGCTTCAAGAACATCACCTATTCCTCCACCTGCTCGTAAACCTTAGTGAATTACAAACACAAGACATTAAAATGCAGAATAACAGACTGTCTAATCATAAGAATCAGAACCTTCGTCTATTCCATTATTATCACCTTCTTTTAATTATTATTTAAAATCAGTACTTTAATAGGCTACCAAAGAATATAAATACCTAAATATATATTTTATATTAAATACATAATTAAAACTCCCAATAATGCTGTCATTAAGAGTTGTTTGTAATTGAGTGAAATACTTTTAATAACATTTCTTAAAACTTATGAATGATCTATAATATCCAATAGTAGAAATCCATAAAATAATTTATTATACAAAAGACCCAACAAATTGATTACAAGTAATAAAAACCAATAAAAAGTATAACTACTAAATAACATTCTTTTAGTAATTAAGAATGCTTATAATAATGTAATTTAAAAAGGATATATAACTGTTTATGGATTGAATTATTAAGCTTATCCTTAATTTGATTTCTTATTATAATTTAATTAGATTAAATCTGACACTTGTTTATAGATTCTATCATATTCCAATTACATTCTAATAAATACCCAAGTGAGCATAATTAATCCATACAAAATACAATCTACTATAGCTATAGCTTTAGCAAGATTTGCAAGTTTTTCTTCAGTATCATTTATTGTAATTAAAATATTCAATAAGAGTGCTAAAATAATACAAACATTTCTTAAATAAACAATAAAATTATTATTAAATCTAATTCCAATTTTTCTTAATTTCATAAAATGAACCATTTCCATATAAAAGTTATCCATATTATCTAATAATCCATTAATTTTATCATTAATAGAATCTCTTTCTACTTCTTCCATAAATTATCTTTTAGTTTCCTCTGTTAAATATTTCATTAAAGTTGGTACTTAAAAATATATTTTCTCTAATTTTCCATTCATATTAACAATTTCAATAGATGCAGTCTCATTTTTATAATAATTAAGAGCTCTTCTTAATTTAGGATTGTTTTCACCATCAGTTAAATTTTTGATTTAAGGAATATAATTACTGAGTTTTTTGAGTAATAAATACATCATAAAAGTTTCACCAACCATTTCTTCCATCTCTTCTTCTTAAATAGCATTTACTTAAGTTTATTATGAATTTCTTAAATGAGACTAAGAACGAGGATTATGAAAATTCTCTGAAAAGAATTCCATAAATAAATTTTAATTTGGCAAAGTTTCTTTAGTATCCTTAGTTTATATAATACCATGTAAATTTACTGTATCTTCTGCCTCTGTTTTAACTCGATCCAATACTTTTAATTCTAAATTTATTTGCATTTAAGTATTTCTTATCTTTTTAATAATTTTCCAGTAAACTAATTATATTCTTTCAAAAAGAATTTAAGGATTGAAATATTAAGATATCTTATTTGCAATTTCTTAATCACTATTACCTTCCATTAAAGATAATTGAAGTAAGAACACTTTACTTCTTAAACTTGAAAATACTATGTCTCTTCTTTAAAACTTTTCTTTATCTACTCTTTATTGAAATATAATTTATTCAAGAACCTCCAATATTTTAGTAGATTAACATAATTCTGTTTAGTTCTCTAAACAAGGACCTTAAACACATTCAATTAGAAAATCGAGAATTTTTTAACCTAATGCAGCATTATGTTCATTCATTTTTTCAACATATTTGTCAAATAATTCAGCTGTAAACATAATAAAATTAATTGGTTATTTACTATTAGGTTGAATTCTTAAAAAGTTTTACATATCACTAAAATGATCTTCACAACCTAAACGAAACATTTCAAATATTAAAATACATCCATTAATTTTATTATTTAATATTTTATTGATATTTCTATTATTTCTTTCTATTTTTGATATCTCAGCCATTCTAACATCTTAAAACATATCTGTTATAAAATTTTACATATTTCTTATAAATGTATTTTATACATCTCTTTATAAATATAATAAAAATGAATTCTAAATTTCTCTTGAAGAATCATCTATATAATCTACAAATGCTTTAATATATTCTAATTTTTATTCTGAATCTACTTCTTATTTTATTAAATCACATAAAAAATCTGTAAATCCAAGTTCTCCTAAATCTTTAAGAATTTACTTAGTTATTTAAAAATCTTCTTTATAATTAGATAGTTTTCTTACAATATTGATAGATTTTAATTTGATTGATGGAGAAACTGAAGTTTCAGATAACATTTAAATAAGTGCAGTTACCATTCTCTTAAATTTAGTTGTATCATCTCTTTTTAAAGTAATAATTAAATTTACTAATTATTAAATTTCATTTTCTCTTTCTGAAGCTACAAGATGTTCATCTACTAATTTTGTTCTTTAAGATTTTATAGAATTTGTCCATTTATCTAAAATTCCTTATTCTCCTTATTGTAAATCATTTCTTAATAATTAAAATGCAATTTCTGATTTCTAAACAGATATTATTGTTTATACTATAAGAATAATATTAATTTTATCAACTTCATTATCTTCTTTAGCTAAAATACTTAATTCTTAATTCTATTCATCTTAATTACTAGATAATAATTTATGTGTTAAATTAAATAATTTAGTTGTTTTTTATCCACTTCTTCTTTTATAATTTGAATTTTTCATTTTACCACCTGTACCACCATTAGGAACATTATTAATAAACTCTTAAACTTTTTAAACTGTTTCAGATATAGCTTATGCCATAAAAATAATTTCATTTTAAACATCTTCAAAATGCTCTTATTCATTACTATCAAAATATTTTGGAAATACTTTCTTTACAAAATTCATTGTTACTTCTAAAACTCCAAAAATCAAATAATTAAAACTAGCTTTCTCAAGTGATATTGACATAATAAATTCTTAATTTGTATAATAATTTCTTATACCAAATATATTGAATACAACACTATTTACTAATTTTGCATTTGCCATTTTCTTAAGATTTTAATTATCTATAAAACTTACAGTCATTTATTTAAATATTACTTCAGTAATAGTTTTAACAACTTCTTATTTTTCTTCAAAAGTTAAAAATAATAAATTATCTAAAAATACACTTTAAAAATAGAGTATAAGTTCTGATTTTAATGGATACCATTCATCCAATTATTTCAACATTTCAGCTACTCTTGTAACTGGTAATATTTTATTGACAAATTCATTAATAAGAATTGATCTTTTGGAACAAATTATTTTCATTAATCTTAATAATTCTGTCATGAATAAAACTTCTAATGGCATTTCAATAAATCCATTAAATTATGTATGTTTTTATTAATAATGAGATGTTTAAGGAGCAGGTGCATGATTACCAGTAAAGAATTATTCTAATCTAAATAAATAAATAGTATGAATAAGAGTTCCAATATCTTTAGCAAATGTAGTTAATTATTTAGTAGATTAAAATAATTATACAATTACATAATTATTTTAAACAACTTCACTTTCTTTTACTTTCAATAAGATTTATAAAAATTAAAGAAAATAAATTGCAGCTTCATAATTTTTATTAGCAAAATTATTACCAAAAATAGAGAACAATTTAGCCAATATTGAATTTTCATCATTATATTTATCTAATGAGAATAAAATATTATAATTATCTCTAAAAAGTTCAGCAAATAATATATAAATTAATGTTTATAATTATTTTCTCTTTACATTAGACATTTCATGAAGAAATGAATCTTTTTTCTTACTTAAATTTAATATCATTTCTTAATTTTCTTCATTTCTTATAACAAAATAGATTAAAAATAGAATACTCTTTTCTAAAATATCACTTTTTATTTCCCATCCTTTTTTATTTGCATTACTTACAAGTACATCTTTTTCTCTAAATAGTGTACTTGTTTCTTATATTAAATTTTCAATCAATTTTTACATCAAATCATGAAATCCCAAATATCTTAATAATTTTTATCTATAAGATATAGTCAATACATCAATTGATAATGAATTATTGATTTTCCATACATATTTTTATTATTAATCCATAGTTGCAGATTTCAATGATTATAATTATTCTTCTTATTTGTCTCTCATTGGACTTTATGCTGAAACATCAATTAAATCAAGTTCTGCTCTTGATACAAATTATTCTAAAACAGCAACTTCTTATCTTACTTTGCTTTTAACCATCTTTTCTTCTTATGCTTAATAATGTTTTTCTTCATTTTCCAATTAATTTATTTCCATAAACATTTACATATCAGATTTAGCTGCATAATCAGGAAAGAATATTACTAACATATCTGATAAAGCATCATTTATTGATTCATAATGTTTACTAGAATCTTTTTCTAATGATTCTTTTAAATCTATTATTGCAAAATGTAATTTCCAATAAATATTAGAAAAATCTGTAAATATATTTTAATTTACTTATAATTCTAATTCTCCTTAATCAAATGCTTCAATTAAAATAGTTTAATTTAATGTTTAAAGAAAATTACTTCTTGATGAATAAATAAGCCATAATAATTCAGTAACTTTAGCTGATAATCTTATTTAATTTAATGTAAGTAATTCAATTAAAAAATACACCAATGATATATCTGTTTATTTTATACCTCCTAAATATTCTAAAATTACTGTTTTACGTGCATAAGAACATTCTCTTAATATTGTTGTTAATTCTTATGTTGTAAATATATCTTTTTAATTTAGTTAACTTTAAGATTATTATACTCTAGTATGATAACTTGCTCTTTTTGCTTATCTCAATCTCTAAACTACATCTGCATACTTTTTATCTTTTGCAAATTTCTACAAATATTATAGATCATCAAACATTGTTTAGTTATCATCTGTTATAATAAATTAATCTGCCATTCTAGATTACTAAAATTATTCTAATAAAATTAGTATCTCTATTAATTCATCTAACCAAATCATACTCTTTGCATAAGTTGTTCTAGATACTGCCCTTTATGCTACTGAGCTTTCAAATAAATAATCCTTCACTTCTAAAGGTTTTTATTCTTTTGATTTATTATTATCTTATAATTAATGTTTGATGTATTTCTCCTCTAAAGTAGCTGATACAACAGAATTCTTAAGAAATTCAATAAATTAATGATACATATTATAAAAATTATGAGCATTACTAAGATATTCAATAAATAATCCTTTTTTTAAGAATTCTGTAAATGTTAAAATCAATTATTTGATATAAATATGATCAGTACCTTTTATTTCATAAATAGATTTGTTTGTCCAAAAATTTGAAATAAATTCAGATAAAAATAACCAAAAATCAACTGTTGTATCACTTTCCACTAAATATTTTTTAGCTACTTTTTAATAAACATCAGCAATCTTCTTTTATGCAAACATATACAAAATGATATCATACTCTTCTTTTTTAAAAAGTGATAAGAATCCTTTTCCTTTGTTTTATTTAACCACCATTTTTAAATATTAAGGGAATTATGCCCTTGGTAAAGGATTTAAATGTTTAGCCATATATGAATTTTGGAATAATTCTAAAAAGTATGATTTTGTTAAAGATGATATACTATTATCTTAAATTATCTTGGCAACTGTATAAAAAGGGAATAAATTTTTAATTTCCTTTAATGTTAAAGCAGGGGATGATTTAGATATTTCTGAAGCCAATCTAACACATGATATAATATAATCATGTAATGCTTATCTATTTGCAAAATTTAAACCATCTATCATTATTGGACTTGATACTGGATTACTTGAATCTATAGATTATTTTATGGTCTTTTAAAAATCCTATAATTTTTCTCTTAAAATTAATTGGATATTACCATCAAATATAAGTTAACTAAAAATGGAATCCTTATTTAATTTAAAAATATGATCTATTATACCTTCAATACCTTCTTTTTTTCTAAATTCAGTAAAGAGACAAAATGCAATTAATAAATTAAAAGCATGTTTGTTATAATTTGTATATTTGGTTTCCTTAGATAATTGAGTGACTTCAAATTCAAATGATACCATAACATCAGATTATTAGAATAATTATGTAATTAAGATATCTAGTCTCATCAAATCATTTACTTATCCTCTAAGTAATATATGTTTATAAAGACAATACCATTATACAACATATAAAGAATTATCATTAGAATTCTTACATACCAATTATAAAAATGAGGAAAGTAAATCAATTAATTGATTAATATCCTATTGAAACATTTCCTCATCTTATTTAATAGAATCTTTATCTTCATATAATAATCCATTGATATTTAATTCATAGATTATTTTATTTACATAGTCTATGCAACCAATTTCTCTGGCTATACATTATCTTCTAGCTAAAGGTTCAGAGATTAAATTTTCTTAAGCTAATGCTTCTTGAGAGGCAGTTAACCATAACATAATTTTGAAAAGTGATTTGACTGCTTGATTTACATTTTAAATGGTTTATGCTTAACATCTTAGAAATTATGATGCAAGATCTTTTGATTCTTTAGAATCATTAAATTTATGATTACTAAATTTAAATTTTAAAGTTGATAATTAAATAGAGTTTTTAGCTAAAACTGTAAGAGGGAATATTAAATCTAAGACTTCACTTAATTCTTCAATTTCACTTTAATCTACAACTTCAAATTTAAAATTTGAACCTTAAAATTCTTCATTTCCTAATACATCTAAATATTTAGTATTTAGAGGATTCAAATTAATAAATGTAGGTTTAAATGTTTCATCATCAGATTTATAATGTCTCATATCAACTTTATTTTTTGCTTATCTTTTCTTTTCATTTTCTATAAATTCAAGAACTTCTTTTTCTTATTATGTTAATTAATATTTATTTTTTTTTGTAAAAGAATCTAAATCAGGAAACAAAGTTACCCATTCATCATGTAATTATCTATATAATGTTTACTCTAAATTATCTTCACCATATTAATTAAACATTCCTAATTTTGTAATTAATTTAACCTAATATCCACCCTCTTCTTAATTATCTACTTCAATTGGACATTTACCATCTTTAGTAGCAATATTAAAAGTTGTATCATTAGTAAAAGGTAATTAATCTTTATAGAAAATAGGATTATTGCCCAATTTAGTAACAAATAGTAATTGATGATCAGATAAACATGAATCTTATTCAGGTTCTTCTTAATTTCCTTATGTCTATTAATACTGTGTTGCAATACGCTCATCTTATATAGATTAAATATTATTATTTTAATTATTGATATTTGTTTAAGATATTATATTTCTATATAATTTTATACCAGGTAAGTTTTTTGTAATGGTAGACTTTTATTCAGTTTATTTAGTAGCATCTAATTTTTTAGATGATGTAGTATTAATTGATCTATATTTATGAATAACTTCTTTAGATAATTATAATTTATGATCAAAAGGATTGACTCTTAAAAATTCTCCTGTTAACATGTGTCTAAGTAAGAAAGTAGTATACCCAACCAAATTTGGCTTATTACCAACATTTAATTAGATTTCATCACTATACTTTTAATCATTTTCTGGTAATATCTAAAAAATAGATGCTGCTTTTTCAATCAAATCAGAATTCTAAATATCATTAATCTAAAGATAAACAGATGGATAACATCCAACTGCATTAATTGATGATGTTAAATAACCTTTATTAATTTAATTTTCTTATGCTTCTTCAACCTTTATAGATCTTCTTCTTGATTCTTATCTTTCTTTTTTTATCTTCTATTACATATGCACTATCCTTACATATTAACCATAGAACAAATGATGTTTATCTTTATCTTATTTCAATACAATTGCTTAAAGAGTATTATGACTAATAGATTCTTTTGAATCTGTAATGAATTGTTTATATTAAGCCTTATAAAATTTAAATTAGAATTGATTTTCAATCATTGCTGGTATAGTTAAGAATTCGTTATTATGATCAAGATTATTTGATTTTAATACTTCAGGTAGACGGTAAATTTCTTATAAGGTATCAAATTTTAAAATTGTATCACTTTAAACTAATAGAAATTAATCAAAAGAGTGTACTGGACATCCTTATTTTATATCTAATGCCAAAGGATCAGGTTGAACTGTAAAATACATTGAAGAACTCAAAATTGTTCCGATATTTGAATTTGAATTATTATTCTCTGCTCTTAGTAAAAATACTTAACTCAATGGTTAATAGAGCATAATAGTATCACCATACATTATTTTTTGTCCTCTTGTTTGTTTCAACAGATTTTGATTATATTTTTTTTCTGTTTCCATTCTTGTGTATAGAAGTTACTTTTAAACATCAAAAGAAGCTCCAATTGACTTATCTGAATTATATTTTTTTTGTGCTTCATATAAAAGTTTTGGGAATACAGTAAATACCATATGTTAAGGGAAATTATACATATTAAATGTGCAAGAATTACCTAATTACAGCTTTGTTTCCATAAGGTACTATTCATTTCTAGCGAGTAAATAATATATCTTATTATCTATTATGCATCTAAGTATAATATTATCTCCATATTTCAAGATTTATTATTCTTCCTCCATAAAATAAATGAATTAATTAAAAAATTTTGTTGTAATGAGCGAGATTGTTTTCTATACCTATTACTACTAAAACTTAATCAAGTATATATGATGTTAAAATAAATATCAATTATTCTATACTTCAAAATGTTTATGATATTAAATATGTATTTCATGAATTTGTTATTATATAAACAATCTATATTTAATTCTAAAATTATTTATTAATCGAAATACATCAATAATCTAGTCATTTATATTTTATATTATAACTTATCTTGTTGAACATATAACAAAGCTTAAAATTGAATTATATTTAAGTCTTATATTTGTTCAGTTAATATCATAATATTTATTCTTATTAGTAAGTCAATATCAGATTTCTAGAATATATTCAAATACCGCTATAGTTTAATTTTTATAAACTATTTTATATCTAAATCATAACATGAAAAAGACAAAATACTTGTTATAGTTTTCTTTAAAAGAAGCTAAAAATTAAGAGGATAAGAAGATTGAGTTAGAAGCCATGAATAATGTAGAAAAAGAAATACAAAAGTTTGAGAACAGTGAGTAAATTTATATCATAAGTAGTGTATGGAAAATGAAGCCTCTCAAGATTATTCAAAAAATAGCTATTTTTATCACAAAAATGAAACACTTTTCACCTATTTATAGATTTAAGATTTTGAATAAGAATATATTTTATCTAATAAGGGATCGAACTAGTTCATTTTAATATTACTTATATAGTCGTCTGTTAGAAAATCAGCCTACAAGGGTATTCATTTTTATAAGATATAGTTTGGTTAAATGAAGTATGAAGGCAAATTAACGAATGCTATCTGGTGGAGAATATGGTCATTTCTTAAAAGTAATCAAACTGTTTTATTACCTGCTGACAAATTTTTATTTGTATGGGATGTCATCTTAATGTTTGTGACTATTGTGAATATTTTGTATGTTCCCTTATAGTTGTCATTCGATTTGAATAAAGAAGAAATCGGAAATGCTTATCTGTTGTTTAGTACTCTTCCAAGTTGCATATTTTTAATCGAATTAATCTTGAACTTTTTTAAAGGTTATTATGTAAGAGGAATATTACATACATCTAAACGTGACATTTTTTGGCATTATGTGAAAGGTGAGTTTCTTATTGATCTCACTGTTGTATTGCCATTCATATTATCATGGTTTGGATATTCATTTTCCAATTATTTAATGTTGATACGTATGACAAAGGTAAGAAGAACTATGGTAGTCATAGAAGAGATATCTAATTTTAAAGAAAAAACAGCAGTAATATATTCCTTATTTTGTTTGATTTATTCACTTTTACTAATATCTCATTTTTGTGCTTGTTTATTTCATTACTTTGCCATTCTTGAAGTAGATAATGGATATTCACATACTTGGCTTCATTAATAAGGAATATATGAAGCAGATGCATATGTAAAATACTTTACTTCATTATATTGGGTAACAATAACTTCAATGACTGTGGGATATGGAGATATTGTACCAGTGACTACTCCTGAAAAAATCTTAGTCACTTTTTTAACATTTTTAGTAGTTGGTACATTTGGATATGCCTTAGGAATGATTCAAAGTATCTTCTATAAATTAGCTGAATAATAAAATCTTAATAATGCTAAACTTAGATTAGTAAGTAATCATATAAAATAAAGAGGATTAAATACATAATTACAATTTAGAGTTAGAAAATATATTGAATATTATTTATAATTTAAATAAGAAGAAGAATTAGATTTGGATGAATTGATGGGTTAATTAAATCCAAAATTAAAATAAGAAGTTTAAATAGCAATGTATTATAGTTATTTTAAGAATTCTAAATTATTAGGTTCAAATCTTTCAGAAGAAATACTAAAGAAATTGTGTTTTTGTGTTCATGAAAAAACTTATGCTCCTGAAGAATTTATTATTAAAAAAGATGATCATCCTGATAAACTTTATATTGTATTATCAGGAAGAATCAAATCAGTATTATTAGATAGAACAATTAAGAGATATATAAGTGGTAAACTAGTTTGTGAAAGAGAATTTTTCTTTTAAGATTAAATGTAATTTGACATGGTAGCCTAAACATTTGTATAAGTAGCTTATATCAATTAAACTGATTTTTTGAATATACTGTAAAAAGATACTAGATAGTATGAAAAATATAGACTTATTTTGGATGGAACTTAATATGGAGACAATAATAATCAAATAATTTGTGAGGCATGTTCTAGTCATCATTAATTTAAACATTGTCCACTTGTATTCTTTAGAAAAAATATGAATAAAGTGATTTCCATTTACAATAGTAGTATTGATCATGAAAGATAAATGTATATTAGACAGAGAAAGAAAAGAAGATTTAATTCTTTATTGATTAAAGAGAGAGCTTTAGAATAAATTCTAGAGTAGAATAAATCACTTGGTGTGGTTGATAACAAATTTCTAATTAGATTAGGTTTACAAAGAAATGATGAAGATGAAGAATCATATCCTGATTAGACTGTAGTATAACATTCTTAATAACCTTAATAAAATCAATCAGAACAAAGATTTGTATTTAAAAATAGAATTGTAAGGTAAGTTAGTCATAGATGTATACTTGTACCTACAACTTCTTGTAATAATTTGTTAGAAAATTAAGAGGATAATTAAACTTAAATGATTAATGGAGAAACAAATATTGATAAAGTAGAGGAATACGATTATTATTATCCTCATTATAATATTACAAAAGTGACTAAGTTGATTAATAATTATAATATTTATTCAAAAGTCTTGGATAAAATAAGAGGTCATAAAATAGATTTGCTTAATATATTGCTAGGCAGATAATGTATAAAATTTTATGAATAAATTTCTAAATTTTACATAATTATTATTTGTAATTTAAATTATATAAAATATTATTAGTAGTTTATTTATGAAAATTAAATCATATTTTTATTAGATCAATTATAATTATTATAATATAAATATAATTAATCTAATTGCTTAAAAGAAATAGAAGGTAAATAATATATTCCTAATTTTATTTTAATATATAATTTATATGAATAATTTATTAGTATAATTAAAATTTAGGAAGATTTAAAAATATTAATTAATGTACATTAATAAAAAAAGAGAATAATGATGTATCAAACTTATTTTTTAAAGTGAATATATATAAATTTATTAAGTCTTTACTCTTTTCTTATGTTAATTTGATATAAACAATATTTGTCGAAAGAAGTAAATTATTATGAATTTTTTATTTGAATATTAAAGATTATTAAAATATATTGATTTGATTAAGACTCAATATTCTTGGAGAATTTATATATTAAGACTTATATATATATTAAAAAAAAATAATAATTTAATTCAATATTATTCTTTGTAAAATGGCAAACAAATCGAAAGAACTCTTGTTAGATAACAACAATATGCTTTACAATTAAAATTAATAAATAGAAAACATCGTATCAACTTTAGCCTAAACCAACCAAGTTGCTGCAGTTGTTTAAGATAAACTTAATGATTAAGGAGAAAAAATATAGACTATAGCAACTACAGTATAAAATAACTTAAAAATTAGAACAAAGACATATAAAGGGAGACTAGAAGAGTTGATAAACAAACTAACTAGATTATTAGAAGGGAATTCTATATGAAACTAATTCTCTATCTAATTGCAATCCTCTTATTTGCTGCTAATATTATTGTGCTTGCAATCAAATTGTCTAGTTGAAAATTATATTAAATTAAATAAAATATATATTCATTTTTCTTATTATTTAGTTATTGTAACTAGTCAATAATATTTTTTTTAGATTCATTCTTTTGATTATGGAATTTAAAACAAAAAAAATATTAGTATAAAAATAATAATATTTTTCAAAATACTTGTTAGTAAATTTGGTTAATATACTGTCTTGTGGATTAAATAATTAAGGATTAAAACTTTATATATAAATATATATTGAAAATTAATTTATTTTATTTAAGATAATACCATTTAATTAAGAAAATAAAAAATGAAGAAATTGCCTAATTGTGATAAAAAATGAAATAATTATGTTTAATTCAATGAGAATGAACATGAATATTCATATGGATTTGAAAATGTATATAATAATGGGGTTTTTTTTAATTAATTTCTAGAATATATGATAACACGTGTTTTTGGATATATATTATTTAAGCTATGGTGAATACAAATCATAAATATTTTTAATGAATAGTAAATAGAAGGCCTTTGCCTTACTTTTGCTCTTTATGCTCTCAGGAGTATAAGTGATGACATAGGATTTGACTGATGAACAAAGAAAGTTATTAGAACAATCCTAAGAAACCCATGAATTCTAAGCTGAAACAGGTAGATTAATGGATATTCTTATCAATTCTCTTTATACTTAAAAAGAAATCTTTCTTAGAGAGTTAATCTCCAATGCTGCCGATGCTCTTGATAAAATTCGTTTCTTGAGTGTTAAGAATCCAGAGATTTTGGGAGATAAGACAGAATTAGCAATTAGAATTGAAATAAATACAGAAGAAAAGTCAGTTACAGTAACAGATAGTGGTATTGGTATGACAAAGAATGATTTAATCTCTAATTTGGGTACAATTGCAAAATCAGGAACAACTCAATTTATTGAGGCAATTAAAGGAGGAAATGTAAATTTGATTGGTCAATTTGGTGTTGGTTTCTATTCATGCTTTTTGGCAGGATAGAAGGTTACTGTTGCATCAAAAAATACAGATGATGATTAATATATTTGGGAATCTTAAGCAGCTCATTCATTTGCTGTATCTAAAGATCCAAGAGGTAATACTTTAGGTCGTGGTACTTAAGTCACTATTCATTTGAAATAGGATGCAGTTGAATTTGCTGAAGAGAGTACAATTAGAGAATTAATTAAAAAGTATTCTGAATTTATCAATTTCCCAATTTACTTAAAGGTAACAAGAGAAGTTACAAAATAAGTAGATGAAGAACCAGAATAATAAGATTAATAAGATTAAACTGATGATGATGAAGTCAAAGTTAAAGATGATGATGATGATGCAGATACAAAGAAGAAGGCTACTAAAACTATTAAAGAGAAGGTATCTGAATGGATGCAAGTAAATGAAAATAAAGCTATTTGGTTGAGACCTAAAGAAGAGATATCAGATGATGATTATAAGAAATTCTATAAAGTATTATCAAAGAATTCAGGTGAAGATCCATTCAATTGGGTTCATTTTAAGGCTGAAGGTGAAGTTGAATTTACATCTCTTATTTATGTTCCAAAAAGAGCACCAAGTGATATGTTTGATAATTATTATGGAAAATAAACTACAAATTTGAAATTGTATGTTAGAAGAGTTTTGATTAGTGAAGAATTTGAAGATATTCTTCCAAGATATCTAAGTTTTGTTAAAGGTGTTATTGATTCTGATGAATTACCATTAAATGTTAATAGAGAAACACTATAATAACTTAAAATGTTGAAGGTTATCAGTAGAAAGATTGTTAAGAAAATATTAGAATTATTTTAAGATGCTGCTTCTTATGATGAAGAAGATGAAGATGATACTGAAGAAGGAGAAGAAGATGATAATATGGCTGAAACAACTCCAGAAGAATAATAAAGATTGAAGGATGAAAAGAGAAAAAAGAAGATGGATGAATATAATGAATTTTGGAAAGAATATGGAAAGAATATCAAATTAGGTGTTATTGAAGATTCATCAAATAGATAGAAATTAGCTGAATTAACAAGGTATAATTATTATTTAAATTATTATATGAAATATTTTGGGTATGATGATAAAATTCATATAGATAATAAATGGAATCATTTCTATTTATTATATGATCTATATAAACAGTCGTCTGATTCAATATATTTCTAATCTAATATTATCCATATATTAAATATTATACCTAATATTTTATTTTAGATGGTATTCAAGTAAGAATTCAACTGAATTAACTTCATTTGATGACTATATTGAAAGATCCAAGCCTGGATAAGATTCAATCTATTATTTAGCTGGTGAAAATAAAGAATAATTATTGGCATCTCCAATTATTCAAGGATTAATTAAAAAAGGATATGAAGTATTATTGTTGGAAGATCCAGTTGATGAATTCACATTTTAACATTTGAATGAATATAAACAAAAGAAACTTGTAAATGTAGNTAATAAGATTAATAAGATTAAACTGATGATGATGAAGTCAAAGTTAAAGATGATGATGATGATGCAGATACAAAGAAGAAGGCTACTAAAACTATTAAAGAGAAGGTATCTGAATGGATGCAAGTAAATGAAAATAAAGCTATTTGGTTGAGACCTAAAGAAGAGATATCAGATGATGATTATAAGAAATTCTATAAAGTATTATCAAAGAATTCAGGTGAAGATCCATTCAATTGGGTTCATTTTAAGGCTGAAGGTGAAGTTGAATTTACATCTCTTATTTATGTTCCAAAAAGAGCACCAAGTGATATGTTTGATAATTATTATGGAAAATAAACTACAAATTTGAAATTGTATGTTAGAAGAGTTTTGATTAGTGAAGAATTTGAAGATATTCTTCCAAGATATCTAAGTTTTGTTAAAGGTGTTATTGATTCTGATGAATTACCATTAAATGTTAATAGAGAAACACTATAATAACTTAAAATGTTGAAGGTTATCAGTAGAAAGATTGTTAAAAAGATATTAGAATTATTTTAAGATGCTGCTTCTTATGATGAAGAAGATGAAGATGATACTGAAGAAGGAGAAGAAGATGATAATATGGCTGAAACAACTCCAGAAGAATAATAAAGATTGAAGGATGAAAAGAGAAAAAAGAAGATGGATGAATATAATGAATTTTGGAAAGAATATGGAAAGAATATCAAATTAGGTGTTATTGAAGATTCATCAAATAGATAGAAATTAGCTGAATTAACAAGGTATAATTATTATATAAATTATTATATGAAATATGTTGGGTATGATGATAAAATTCATATAGATAATAAATGGAATCATTTCTATTTATTATATGATCTATATAAACAGTCGTCTGATTCAATATATTTCTAATCTAATATTATCCATATATTAAATATTATACCTAATATTTTATTTTAGATGGTATTCAAGTAAGAATTCAACTGAATTAACTTCATTTGATGACTATATTGAAAGATCCAAGCCTGGATAAGATTCAATCTATTATTTAGCTGGTGAAAATAAAGAATAATTATTGGCATCTCCAATTATTCAAGGATTAATTAAAAAAGGATATGAAGTATTATTATTGGAAGATCCAGTTGATGAATTCACATTTTAACATTTGAATGAATATAAACAAAAGAAACTTGTAAATGTAGGAAAAGGTGACTTCAAATAACCTGAAGATAATGATGAACAAAGAAAGAAATAAAAAGCTTTAAAGAAAGTATTCTAACCTTTGACTGATTGGTGGAGAAAGTTATTATCAGAAAATGTTGATTCAGTAGTTATTTCATAAAGATTGATTGAAGACCCACTTATTGTTGTTTCATCAGAATCTGGATATTCAGCTAATATGGAAAGAATATCTAAAGCTTAAGCTTATTCAAGTAAGGGTAGCAATTCTCAACAATTTGGTAAGAAGATAGTTGAAATCAATCCAAATCATTAAGCTATATAAGAATTATTATAAAGAGTTAAAGATGATCCAGATTAAGAAACTGAAGAAATGGCTAGAGTTCTCTATGAAGCTGCTTTAGTCAATTCAGGTAATATTTATTATTTATATTAATCTAGGTTATTCTATCCCAAATCCTGAAAAGTTTGCTAGTAGATTTTATAAATTATTTAATTCAGCTTTGGGTATTGATAGAGATGCACCAATTAAAGAATATGAAGTTGAAATTGAAGAAGAACCTGAAACTTCATCTGAACCAACAGTTGATTAAGATGGAACAAAATGGGAAAAAGTAAATACAGATGATGCATAATGGGAAACTGTAAGTGATGATAAAAGAGATGATTTATGATTCATTTATACATTTTGTATTGTTAATTTTTATCTTATTTAATATTAAATTCATTTTTAAATCTACAGGGATTTCTAATATTCTCTTAAAATATTTTATAATTCTCATTTATTTAATTATTAACAGTAATAAATAAATTTTTGAAATACAAATGAATTCAAACTCTGATTAGTAATCATGTTTTCTAATTCCTTAGTCATTTCCTTTTCAAAGTATTACTTATAGGAAATTCTGGTGTCGGCAAGTCATGTATGCTTATGAGATATTCTGTATTATTTATTCATTAATTTTTTTAAGGAAAATCAATTCACCAATAATTTCTATAATACTATTGGAGTGGATTTTAAAACTAAAACTGTTGCCATAGGAGAACACAATGTTAAATTGCAAATTGTTTAATATATTTGATAATATAAAAATAGTGGGACACTGCAGGCTAAGATCGATTTAGAACTATAACCTGTAGTTATTATAGAGGTGCCCAAGGTATTATAATTGTTTATGATATTACTGACAGGGAATCCTTTGAAAATGTAAAAACTTGGATTGCAGAAATTGATAAGTAATCTATATAATTAATATAAGATATGCATCAGAATCAGTGAATAGAATGCTAGTAGGAAATAAAGCTGATATTACAGAAAGGAGAGAAGTCTCATATGAAGAGGGTTTAGAATTATGTAATTCTAATTTATATTCTATAATTAGCAAGACAATATTAATTTCCATTCTATGAAACAAGTGCCAAATCATCAATCAATATTGAAGCTGCATTTACTCATATTACAAAAAATATTTTGAACCGAGAAATTCATAATTCAAAAGCTGTAGTTAGAAAAACATCAAATATGAGATTATAAACAAGATAATAGCAATAATAATAGGAAAAAAAGAAATAAGAAGATTTATGTTGTTGATAATAATCCTTTATTTTCAATAAACAATACTTAGTTTAAACTCAATTTATTGTTGTTTCCTTTCTATTTATTCAATTTGATAAATATACTTTACATAGTTAGTTGACTATAGAATTTATGAGTTTATCTATCATAATTATATATATAGTTGACATCACAAACTGTAAATTTTATTTAGATCTTTTTTCTAATTCTATAAAATTAATTTATTTAATTCTTATAAATATTGTGTAAAATTATAATAAATCTAATTTTCACTTTATTATCATGATAATCAATTAAATGATATTAATTTACAATATTCTCATTATAATAAAGAATAAAACCTAATAAAAAATTCACAACTAAAACAGTAAGAATTAATATCTTTTTTATGATAGAGAAGCATATATAAATATAATGAATTTTAAATTTTCAATATTATATATAATAATTATATAATATATCACACTCTTGTAAAGAATACAATAATAAGAGTGAAATAGTTAATAAACTTGTTAAATTAGACTCATAAAATAAGAATAAGTGTATTCTTAATGTTTTTGTTAAAATCTATTTTTTTGGATTATAATTTAATTGTAGAACTTAATTTACTTTAATTTAGTAATAAATTTAGATATTAAGAATTCATGTTACAAGTTTTGGCATTCTAATGACAGAATGATGAAATCAATTCAAATTAAATAATTAGTTTTATATAAATTAATTTCTTGAAAAATATTTTTAGTAATTTTTTTAATCACTACCCCGTTGTTTAGTTGGCCTTTGATTCTAAAGTTGTTAGCATTGTTTATAATTCCTCACTATTATATCGAATATAGAGGGAAATTTTAGGATTCGAACAGGCACAAACACTCTGATGAGCAATGCATCCCTTTTTTAAACATCTATGATAATCAAAAATAAGATTTACTTTCCACAGAAAATATAACTAAAGAACATATAATTAGAACAGATTTTGCAAACATTACGATCATACTTTTCTAATTTATTTGCAAACTCTACAATCTTAACCTATTCATAAAGAACTAGGATGCTGTTTCGACTGGCAATTTCAGAATGAATCATCATTTTAAATTTGTCAAATAACTTAAAAAAGTAATCATCAAATAAACATACCTTAATCCATGATTATTTAGTAAATTTAACTTGATCAGCCATAAGAACAACTTTAGTTAGCAGCCACTCCAATGGGAAACTAACCTATACATAAATTTAAAGTAGAGATTACCTTTTTGAGGTTGCCATCCATACGATATTCAGTTGAAGCACGATCATATTCATCAAGCCATTGTGTTGGTGCAACATTGACAGCTTCACTACAATTGAATCCTATTATTTATATTTAATAAAATACCATGTGAGAATCCTGCATGATAGGTAGCACCTAAAGTGATAATAAGTTCACCTGGATGCTATTCTGTCCTGATAATTGAAATATCTTGTTCAGCCAATTCAATAGGTGAAATCTAACATACTATGTCATACAAAAGACGAGGGTTATGTATTCTTTCTTTCTCATATTTCTTATTGAAATATTGTAAAAACTTTTCACTATGAGATGGAGGTATCGCATACCTAATGTTACAATATATATTCATACCATGTTTTTGGAGCTCCTGCATGCATGTAGTTTAAAGAATTTAAATTCAAGTCTTCCTTATGCCAACAAAAGTTAGCATACTTCATTCCTAAGTAAAGCCAAGGTACAGAAATTCCACTCATCTCACTTTTCTCTTGGAGAACTTAGAAGATAGAATTGCAATTCTTGTTTATAGTACTCAGATTTCCTAACTAACCATCTTAAAAACCCGTGGCATACTTAGTTGCCAACAAATCAGCTGCATATTCCACTTCTACTTCATTATACCTCTCAGGGAAGTCCACTATTGACCAAAATTCTATCTCATTCTATCTGATTTGATTTGAAACTTCCCTTACTCCCTATAACTTGTGGCTACATTCAAACTTGTTGGCATAACTCATATACTCTTGTAAAGTGAATCCTACAGTATTTGATCCAAATATCTATACTAAAATAATGGAAATACCTCCCCTGCCTATAGCGAATTTAATGTTTATACTCTTGTTTCAACTCTCTTACCCTTTAACTTCATCTCCAAATCACTAAAGAACTTTTTTTCAGGTACTATTAACTCAGAAGGCAAAAGCAATTTCACTATTCCAAATTTTTCATACCCTTTGTTATAAAGATCATCTATTGTCTTAAAAGGATTTAAAAAGAAGTCTTAACTAACGTGCAATGTAGGAACTTCTCTAAATTATAGATCTTTTATAGAATATGGGAAACGTTCCAGTAATAGTTTTGTGTGAGACTCAGTAATATCATCAGAATTCTTAGACTTTTTAGATTATTTTTTCTATTTTAATGATCGTATCATATACTTTTGAATGTTATTTTATATAATAAATTTATCTAACCTTAAAAATGTTCTGCTTAAATGATGATTTTTAAAAGATACTTCTGTTTTAAATCCCCAAAAATTATATATTTATATAATTATAACATACCCGTGCATAATTCAAAAACTGATGAATTCTATTAAGAAATACATAAAATTATATAATTCATTCAGAAGTCTATTTAGAATCTTCCTTTTTAATTTCTAAGTATACCTTATAATTAGATCGAGGAGGAAAAGGTCGTTCTCCTAAAACCTCTATGATTTTCTATAAATCCAAAGTTTCCTTCTCTAATAATCTTGTTGCCAAACTATAATTACTTATTAAATTTACTTATCAACAAATTCTTTCTTCTCTCTCAACAAAGATCTAGTTCTCTAAGTTTAATCCTCTATAATCTACTTTATTTCATCATCTATCTTTTTATTGGTGTTATCACTATAAGACTTTAGAAACTCACCTTCCTAAAATCCAATATAACCAATACTCTCACTCATACCAAATTTGGTTACAATATTATGAGTGATTTCATAAGCTTTCTTTAAATCATCATAAGCACCAGTTGTTATTTATCCAAAAAATATCTCTTCTGCAATTCTTCCTCCTAAAATACAACAGATTCTATCCAATAATTCTTCTTTTGATTCTAAATTTGATTCATTTGGTAAATATTATGCATATCCCAAAGTGCCTTTACTTCTGGGAATTATTGTAAGTTTAAGTAAAGGATGTCCTCCTTATAAAAACCAACTGACAACAGCATGTCCAGATTCATGATATGCAACAATCTTTCTTTCTTCTTCACTTATGGTTCTTTTCTTTTCTAAACCAGCCATCACTCTTTCTGATGCCATTTCAAAATCATCAGAATCAACATATATTTTATTAGCTCTAGCTGCCATGATAGCAGCTTCATTACAAAGATTAGCAATTTCAGCTCCACTAAATCCTGGAGTCAAAGTGGCTAATCTTCTTGCATAATCTTCCATAGTTTTTCTTGGATCTAATTTTAAAGGTGCCAAATGAACCATAAATATCTATTTTCTACCTTCAATATCTGGTAATGATATATCTACTGATCTATCAAATCTACCAGGTCTTGTTAATGCTGGATCAAGTAATTCTTTTCTATTAGTAGCAGCTAAAACAATAACATTAGTATCAGTTCCAAATCCATCCATTTCTACTAATAATTAATTTAATGTATTATCTCTTTCATCATTACCTCCAAATTTAGCATCTCTTTTTCTACCAACAGCATCAATTTCATCAATGAATATGATACTTGGAGATTTAGCTTTTGCTTATTTAAATAAATCTCTAACTCTACTTGCTCCTACTCCAACAAACATTTCAACAAAATCTGAACCACTTACAAAAAAAAATGGAACTCCTGCTTCTCCAGCACATGCCTTTGCCACCATTGTCTTACCTGTTCCTGGAGGACCTGCTAATAATGCACCTCTTGGTAATTTTGCTCCCATTTCCTTATATTTACGAGGTTTCTTTAAAAAATCTACAAATTCTTTGATTTCTAATTTAGCTTCATCTAATCCAGCAACATCCTTAAACTTTACTTTTACATTTTATTCAAATCCAAATTATTTTACATTAGATTTACCAAATCCAAATACATCATTTCCTCCAGCTCCACCACTTCCTTTATTGATACCTCCCATACTACTTTTAAGTGATTAAAATAGAACTATTACTAATGTAACAGTGACACCAAAATATAAAACATTTAATACTCTATCCATTAATTTACCTTTATCTAATTATGCTTCAAAATTAACAGGTATGAATTATTCAGGACTCAATCCTTTTTCAGTCTAAAATCTTTCCAGATTTTCTAGAAAATTATCCACATTCATAATCATTAATCTTTTTGATGGTCCTCTTAATGTCATAATAGATGCCTAATTCACTCTACTTGTTTCATTCTTATAAATAGTAATCGAACTCACTTAATTAACCTCTAGATAGTTTTTTAGAAAATCTGTATACGTGATTTCTTCTTCTTAATTTGTAATTTAATATAATGCAGCTAAACCACTAACTCCTAAGAACATATAAATATAATTTCGATTTTTAGGATTGTTGAAGTATTCATAAACTTTTTCAAAATTAATATTAGCTAATGGAGATATNATCAACATATATTTTATTAGCTCTAGCTGCCATGATAGCAGCTTCATTACAAAGATTAGCAATTTCAGCTCCACTAAATCCTGGAGTCAAAGTGGCTAATCTTCTTGCATAATCTTCCATAGTTTTTCTTGGATCTAATTTTAAAGGTGCCAAATGAACCATAAATATCTATTTTCTACCTTCAATATCTGGTAATGATATATCTACTGATCTATCAAATCTACCAGGTCTTGTTAATGCTGGATCAAGTAATTCTTTTCTATTAGTAGCAGCTAAAACAATAACATTAGTATCAGTTCCAAATCCATCCATTTCTACTAATAATTAATTTAATGTATTATCTCTTTCATCATTACCTCCAAATTTAGCATCTCTTTTTCTACCAACAGCATCAATTTCATCAATGAATATGATACTTGGAGATTTAGCTTTTGCTTATTTAAATAAATCTCTAACTCTACTTGCTCCTACTCCAACAAACATTTCAACAAAATCTGAACCACTTACAAAAAAAAATGGAACTCCTGCTTCTCCGGCACATGCCTTTGCCACCATTGTTTTACCAGTTCCAGGAGGTCCTGTTAATAATGCTCCTCTTGGTAATTTTGCACCCATTTCCTTATATTTACGAGGTTTCTTTAAAAAATCAACAAATTCCTTGATTTCTAATTTAGCTACATCTAATCCAGCAACATCCTTAAATTTGACTTTCACATTTTATTCAAATCCAAATTACTTTACATTAGATTTACCAAATCCAAATACATCATTTCCTCCAGCTCCACCACTTCCTTTATTTATATTTCCCATACTACCTTTAAGTGATTAAAATAAGACTATTACTAATGTAACTGTGACACCAAAGTATAAGATATTCAATACTCTGTCCAACAATTTACCTTTATCTAATTATGCCTCAAAAGTAACAGGTATGAATTATCCAGGACTCAATCCTTTTTCAGTCTAAAATCTTTCTAAATTTTCTAAAAAGTTATCCACATTCATTATCATCAATCTCTTTGATGTTCCACTTTATGTGCTGATCGATGCCTAATTAACTCTACTAATTTCATTCTTAAATATAGTTATCTAATTCACTTGACTAGTTTCTAAATAGTTTTTCAAGAAATCTGTATAAGTGATTTCCTCATCCTAATTTAAATACAAATATAAAGCAGCTAAACCACCAACTCCAAGGAACATATAAACATATTTTCGATTTTTAAGATTGTTGAAATATTCAAGCAATTTTTAATAATTTAAATTAGAAAATGGAGATTTCTTCTAAGATTACTACTTTTATTGCTACTCTTCTTTTATTTCTTCCTCATTTACCTTTTATTTCTCTTACTATTACTCTTATTTTTCTTATTTCTCTTAATTATCTTCCTTCTTGTTCCCATCTTATAAATTAAATGTTTTTGGATCATATGTGAACTGATACTTCTTTTTTTAAGGTTTTTCGACTAAAATTAATTTAATTCACTCAATACTTTCTTATTATTATTCTTTGTCCTCTTAATTTTCCTTAATCACTTCTTGCTCTTCTTTAATCACCTCTTCATTTTATTCTTTTTTCTCTTCTAATTCGTGTTTTTGTTCCTTCTCATCCTGGTTTTTTTGTTCTTATTAAATTTTAGATTTCCTCTAAAATTTTTAAAATCCTACATTTATGATTAAGCAAAAATACCTTTTGGAGGTTCTTTATCGGTTGAGAATGGCATAAATGGCATAGAAAATTGAAATACATTTCTTCTCATAAAGGTTAAACTTAATCGTAACATCACAAATAAAATAATTAAGAAAACAGAAATATTTTAGAAAGTAATATTTTTATTTATAAATAATTTTTTAATATATTTTAAAATAACAATTTAATTTCATTTTTATTTCCTAGATTCTGTTAGTCTTTTTTTAAATTTATATCTTTAATTAATATAATTGTAAACCTCCCCTTAAAAATTTGAATATAAAAATTTAATTTATAAATTTAAATTTCACCTTTATACTATAAATTCTAACATCAAATATATGTTATCATCAGATAGGATATTTTCTTAAATTATTAAATAGGATATTTTTATTATTATTAAATTAAATAAATATTCAGTAGAATAAAATTACTCATTATTATAGAGATGAAAGAATATAAAAGTAGAGGAATGTTTTCATATATTTATAACAATATCTGAATAAATTTAAGATCATTAAATTTAATATATAAAAATATTTTATAAATTTATGTTGCAATGTTAATAAATTAATTTTTTGATTATGTAAATGTAATAAATAAATGAAAATGAAATTTAAATATTTTTTAGTAAATAATAATAGAGTCACTGCAATTATTTAAACATATTTACTCCAACTTTATGCACTTATTCATATTTTTTATCAAGTTCTCCATTATGATTATGATGAATACTACGTGAAGAAATGATTGTATTCTGTCCTATAGTATTATCATTCAGACATGAATAATTTGTACTTGTAGTAAAATTCATATTTTTTTATATTAATTATTTATTAAGATCTCCTAAATGAGCTGTTGATTAAGATTAAAAAATAGGAACTTTAACTTTTTGAATCATTGTGTCTCCTAAGGATGGTCTCTTAGAATCAAATTAAAATATTCTATTCACAATAACATTGGAATTAACAGTTGTAAGAGTATTAGTAGGTGTATTAATTTATTCATAATAAAGATCTGTAGGATTAATCTGCAATTTTGTTATAGTTTTGAAACTCTTACTTTTGGCAATGAGAGTCATAATTTAAGAAACTGAAGATGATATTTTCTATGCACCATATCCAGTTAAACTTTATAATTATTATGACCAAATATTTAATAAACCAGCCTTCTTTCTTAGATAAGCAACACATGATAATGCTAATATAGTTTAATCAGTTTAAAAATAGAGTTATTCATCTAAAATTAACATTATAATTCAATACCTCTAATAACTTACAAAGCTATTTCAACATATTTACTTTCCACTTCTTTAACAAAATATAATATCTAATTTTCTTATAAGTCTCTCAATTTAATATGTTATTGATGTATAGAATCCTTATTTTCTTTTTATTATTATTATTAACCTAAACTATCATCATCATCAATAACTCCAAAAGATAATAAAGCTTCTATTCTATCTAATAATGTGTTTCTTTATAATTTCCATTCTAATTTTTGTATTAATTATCGTTCTGCTGATTTGAAATCTTAAGTGGTAAACTAACTAATTTCAGGATGATTAGTTATGGAGGCATATCTTTTAAGCTTGCTTATAAATGGAACTCTCTCATCAAGTTCTTATGCTTTAGCAGCTAACATAAGAGCTGTAGAAACAAATAGATAAGTTTAATTTTCATTGACATTAACTTTATTGAAATATTCATCAATATAATTAATAGCCAGAAAGGATGTATTGATTGAAAGATTAAGTCTTTCTGACACTTACAAAATGAATTCTATGAATTATTATCGTTATTTAACAGGTCCATTTGGCTAACTATCCAACATCATCCCTTATAATACTTTAATTGGATTAAAAAATGCATTATATTTCATTTTGAGTGTTTTATAGACTTTGGTGTTGGGCTATAATCTAATGATGAATTTTTACATTATTTAAGAAAATGCCACAATCTATGCAAATCATTTTCTCTGAATAGATATGACGATTCTTATGAGAACATCCAAATACTTCAAAGTATTAATTACTATAATGATGTTCAAATGGTTCTAATTAACTCATATATATACGTTAAATTTTATTTATAATTTATTAATAAAATATGAAATTAATTCTGAAAATAAAATTTATTATTTAAATGACTAGTTCTATTTTAATAAATAAAATAATATTATACTAATAAATTATAAATAAATATGTATTTTTATATTCAAACAAATTGTCTCATCATTGTAGTTCTTCTTTATTTAAGTTTATCTTTATTTTATTTTTTATATTTCTTTATCACTTTTTCTGGATTTTCTTCTTAAAAGTAAGCATCAAAATTAGCCATATGATCAATACTAAATTAACTATCAACATCAGAATGAGTTTCCATTTATTAAAAATTATTATTATTATTAGTATTATTATTATTGATCTTTTCAACCTTTAATGCAGAACCAATTTCTTTAGAAATACTACCTTATAAATTCTAACTATTTTAAATATAATTTCTATAATAATAAATTTATAGATTACTTAAGTTCATCTATTATAGATTATATTTCTTTATTTTTAGGCTATGCTATTTAAAGAAATTTCATTTTTCTAAGGAGTTCAGACTTTTTTGATTCAGTATAAATATTTCTATCAGGTGATTGTACTTTGTCCAATTTATCATTTTATTAATGAAGTTATTAAGACTTATCAAAACTTTGAATTTCATTTTATAATAATAATTTACTCTTTTTCCTTTATGCTTATAAATTATTTGGTAATAAAGCACTCATACCTTTATCTTTTTTAATAGGAAAAGGCTTCTTTACTTATTCTTAAATTGGTGTTAGACTAGACATAGATGATGTTCTAACATTTCTAAATTTTTCTAATTTTATAAAACTTTAAAATTTCTTTTTTTTATTTACATTTGATTTTTTTTTAATTTCCTCATCAGAATGTTTAATTAAATGTTATGACTTTTTAAATCCATCTGATAATTCTATACTATGATTATCCTTACTTTCATCAATCTTCATTTCATAATCATCATCAGCTATCCATTATCCTCTTCTTCTTAATTATGCCTTTTCTTTCTCTTTTTCAACTATCTTTTTAATATCCTCCATTTCCTCTTCATAATCATCTACATCTGAACTATATTCTATATCTTCATCACTTGAATTTTAAGTAAATGTAATATTTTAGAAGTACTTTTTAATAGCAACTGCATTAAACTAAACCTCTCTTATGTGAGACAAAGCTTTAAACTATTATTTAACTACTCTTCTTTAATAGATTGAATCTCTTTAATTTTATAAATGGTAAGTCTCTAAAATAATTGGCATTTTTTCAGGTATATACAGAGTCTTTTTACAATTAATAGCTAAATGTTTCTTACTTTCACAAATATAACATTTTAATTAATATTTAACATAATTATTATTAAATAGAACTTGATGTCTGATTTCAAAGAATTTCTATTTTTCTATTGAATATTTCTCTATTCTTTTTAAAAATTGAATTCTAGATAATTTATATATAACTGAATATGTTAAACAACGAGCTGAAGCAGTTCTCTTATAACCAGTAATAAATGCTACAATTCCAAATATTCCTTATTTCATAATATGTAATTTTATTGGCTTTTCACTATCTAAATATATTTCTACAGAACCCTTGGTTAAAAAAAAGACTGGAAAATCATCTATTTCTTCTCTCTCTTGAAATATAACTTCTTCTTAAGAATAGTATTATTATTAAATATCTTATGCTAATTCAATTAATAGATCTTACTAGAAATAACTGAAGAATTGATTATGATTAAGCATCTTACCTAAAGTTTAATAAATTAATTCTTCTTTAAGAGCAGGAGCTAATTTTAATATCATGGCTTATTCTAATTCATGATCTCTTGCTTTTTCTGATTCCCATAGATGATAAAAGTAGGCTTCTATTCTTGCTTTTAATTTTCTATCTACATTGTGTTCTCTCATAAATCTTTCAATTGCATTAACATATTTTCTAGAATAAATAATGTTTTAAGAAATACTGAAATTTCTATTTATTTTCATTCTATTAATTAATCATTTCCCAAATTGCATTAACAGAATAAGCAAAAACAATACAAGAGATAAATTATGTCACTACAGTAACAACAACTTCCCAAGCATTTTTTGGAGTCACATCTCCATATCCAACTGATATCATAGTAGTAACTGCCCAATAAAATGAATATAAATGTAATTCAAATATATGTTCTTATAATGTAGTATATCCACCATGCTTTGTTATTAAATCACTTTCACTTAACCAAGATACACTGTCATTTCCTTTATTTAATTCCCTTCTTCCTACAAAAAAGAATACACATGCAAATAAATGACATAACCATGTGATAGTCAACATAACCGTTAATAATCTATATTTTGCCAATTTTGAAGGTTCTAATTGTAAATATTCTTATATCATGTTACTAGTTTTAAAGACTTCATAAATCTTAAGAATAAATAAAAATATTTCAATCCCAAATTACTGATTTTTTTAATGAAGAAATATTCTAAATTCTATTAAACAGAATAAAGGTATCAAATCTAAAATTAGATATGTTTTGATATAATTTATAGCTATTTGTTTTCTACCACTTACTAAATATCCTTATTTATAATAAGCAATATTGAAAGTTAGAGCAATATCAATGACAAATATAGCAATTGCAAAATTAAGGGCAAATGTTTCAAAAAATTAATAATCAATTGATTTATTTTTTTATATAAGGGGTTAATAAGCAAAAATGAAAGGAATTTAAAAGAAAAATAGAATCACTAAAATACTATTTAACACCTACCAAAATATGTAAAATTAAGAATCTGGTTCAAGAACTTTAACTTTATGAATGTACTTTTAGACATCTTTTAGAAATCCATCCTTCTCAGTCTCATATACATAATCATTAAATAATTCTTTTTATCTAAGATCAATGATCTCAGCCATTGTTACCTTATTGGAGGATTTCTTACCTCCAAAGCATCTTTAAAATATATTTGGTTGTTATCTCTTCATTTCTATTGTATTTCTGTATATAATGGTTTGATTAGCTATTGTAGGAATGACCTTGGGTCTAGAGTATTGATCATCATCGATCATGGATTGATACAAGAAGTCATCATCGTTTACAATTTACTCCATAAGGATTTCACTATAGGTTCGATCTGCAATTTCTGTTTGATTTTTGATTTAAAGAGGCTATGGAAAGTTTGAACCAGAATCCTAGTCACTCATTAATAAATTTATAAAAATATAAGGAATGGGTCCAACTTAAGGTAAAGAGGTATAGAATTATAAATGATTCAGTTATCTCCATAAATGAGAGAGAGAGTATTAAAGTTATTTGCAAGATTTGATGTAGATGGATCAAAGTCGATTGAGAAGTCAGAAACAATAAAATATTGGTATATATATAAATGTCAATGGTAATGAAGGAAGAGTAATTTTGCAAAATTGAATACAGAGGAATTATTTAAGTCAGTAGATACTGATAATAGTGGTACAATATCAGAAGAAGAGTGGTTAAACTTTTGGACATAAGTATTACGTAGTGGACATACAGAAGAAGAAATAGCAGATGAAGTAAGTTATGTCTAAATATCTGCATTATAGTTAGAAAGTATTGAATCTGGATCTTCATGGGTAAAATTCGAGAATTTGGAAAACAAGAAGGGTTGATATTGATCATCAATATATAAATATAAAAATATTATATAATTATATGTTATAATTTAGAAGAACTATTTTTGATTAAAATGAAGACACAGTCATGTGGAAATCAGATAATTAACCTCCTCCACTTCCTTTATAATAACAAGGTACAATTCAATTGTGCTTTATCCAGGAAATGTATTGATGAAATCATATGACAAATATATTACAGTCTATTTAGAAATATGTCCTGAGAGATTATATAAAAGACTTTCATCAAACCAACTTGTATATTGTACATTGGATAAATGCAGGTTGAAAAAATTTTCATTTTATGATTAAGTATTACCCCATCATAAATATGGCATAACACTCTAATTAAGAGATTAATAAGAGACCTTCCTTATAGACTCACCAGATGAATTTAGAAAATGGTTTCTTTTATTTAAAAGATATTGCGTTTTGGATAAATTCAAATAAAAATTTAAAGTTCTCAATAAATCAAAGATGGAAGATCCTTTATTTGGATAATGTTATTATAATTGCATTCATAGCAATAATTATAAATTAGTTAAAATAATTGATAAGGCAAATATAACTAATTATTAATTGTAATGTTTAAGTAAAGAGATTAGTAGTCTTCGTAAATTGAAGTAATATTTAAATAACTTAGTTCTCCTTTGATAATATTCTTTAATGAACTTTATGAAGATGATTCAAATATTTATATTGTATACAATCATTATTAGGGTTTGGATATGAGGAATTGGATAAAAGAGAATTCTCAAAATTTGGAAGAGAGATTAGTAGCTTAAATCATGTTTAATCTTTTAACTGCAATATCTCATATGCATTCTAGAGGAGTGTTTCATAGAGATATCAAATTGGATAGTATTTTAATTTAAAGTTAATTACCCTCTGTATTATTGACAAATTTCTGTTATTCAGAAACTTATATCCCTTAAACTACATATAAGAAGTGTGGAACTCCAGGATTTATAGCCCCTGAAATCTTCAAAACAAAACTATACACTCCTAAAGCAGATATGTTTAGTTTAGGCTGTTTATTTTATGTTCTTTATTTTGGTAAAATCCCTTTTAGTGGATCTACATAAGAAGAGATATTATAGAAGAATGAAGCTGCAGTTATTGATTATCAAATTTAGTATTTTCTTATAGTTAAAAAAGGAAGTAACTTTGTAGGAAAGTGTCTTCTTCAGGGATAAATTTATTGAAAGCTCTTTTGATTTCTGATCCAGAATAGAGATTATCTGCTTAATAAGCTCTTCAACATCATTGGTTTATTAAGATGGGTACTAAACAATAAGCAAAGTTCCACAAAAATATTATAAAAGGGAAATCTCTGTCAACAATAATAGAGAATTCTGTTGATATTACTCATAGGTAGAATAAGATTTTAATTATGTAGTATTTAATGTTAGATTCCATCAAGTACATTTATTGAGGATAAGGTGGATAAGGAGTTCACAGCAGATAATTTGAAAGATAGATTGCAGAAATTTAATTCAATTTAGTTAAAACCTTCAAAACATAGACACTAGTATTATTAATGAATATATATATTAAAATAGAATTATGAATTGATTTATTTATACTTATATTTGTTATATTTAAATCATGTTGTTTTATTGAATACTATTTAATCTCTATGTTTTTCAACATGATCAAGTAATTCTTCTAAATCAGCTCCACTTACTTCCATATCCTGAGCTATATTTTTAAGATGAACTTTAAATTTATCAAATTACTAATTTGTTATATTCAAGCCTTTATGAACTTCTATTAGATCTCTAATGATTTGAAATATTATACATACTTGCCAGTGTATTAAGTATTCTTGTCACCCATCATTTGAGAAAAGAATCTCTTCTATTGATATCTAACACGACTCATATCAGCTTTCAAAAACTTATCCCTTAACAATTTATCAAACAAAACTTTGTAATAGAATTAATCAATTAATTCAGATACTTGTTGATCACCTCCAAATCTTTCGTATAGTGATTTCTTATTGTCCATTTCTTTAAAATCTTTTTATTTATTTTATATATATATATATATTTATACTAATATTAAATATTATATAATTTAAAATGTCTTTAGGTGTTCCTCTTAAAATTATGCATGAAGCAGTTCATCATATAGTAACAGTTGAACTTAAAACAGGTGAGATGTTTACTGGATATATGGCAGAAGCAGAAGTAACTTTAAATATGATTAATAGGATACAATGAATGTCAGATTGGATGAAGTATAAATGGTTACTAGAGATGGAAGACCTATGTCATTGGAATAAGTTTATTTGAGAGGCAGTTAGATTAGATTTGTTGTGATTCCAGATGTGTTTAAATATGCACCTATGTTTAAGAAGATTAGAGCCAATGCTAAAAGCAAGAATATGTAATAAATAAGAGAGAAGGCAAGATAAGTTAGAGGTATGAAATTATCATTATTTAATAATAGAGGAATTGGTACCACGTATTAAGTAAGGTTTGGAATAGTAGAAGAAATGATAAATAAATATTTTATTGTAATTCTAAATTTAAATAATAAATTTTTTATGCCAAATTCATTAAAGTACTTAGCTATTTATCGTCATGAAACTGAAAAATTGATTGCTTCATATTTAATTGAAGCTGGAAGTGAGGAACCATTAAAAAGTGAGTCTTCAAAAGTTTGTTTTGAGTTAAAGAGAAATTAACTTAGAATAGATGAAAGATAAAAAATTGATTCTACAAATGGTAGTTGGTTTTGTAAAATTGATGATAAAGGTCTTTTCTATTTAGTTTTGGGAAGTATGTGTATTAATAATTATTTTAGTTTCTACTTATCCTGAAAGACATGCTTATACTTTGATTCAGGAAATTTAAAATGAATTCAACAGATTGGGTAATGATTTATTAAAAGATGATGCCAGTCTTAAATTACATATTAAGAAACCTCTCAAAGATTTGGGATTGAAGTATAACGATTTGGTTTCTTTGGACAAAATCTATTAAGCATAATAAAATGTTTCCATATGATTTTATTCTATAATTAGGTAGATTAAACTAAAATCGTGATGGAAGACAATATTAAACAAATGATTAATAATGGACAGTAATTAGATGTACTTTCAATTAAGGCAGAAGATCTAAATAAGAATGCTAAGTCTTTCGCTAAGAATTCTGCTGAATTAGTAAGATTTTTCAAATAAAAATTAGGCTTCTATTATGTATTGGAGAAATATGAAATTAAAGATAATAATTGGATTAATAATATTAGCAGGACTTTTATATATTATTGTACCAATAATAATAAAAGTAAGTGCATCAAATTGATTTATTGCAAATTATGTAATTCGTTTTTAATATTATATATATATATAAATATGCGTGCATCTCATATTTTATTGCTCATTGTAGCTATCAAAGCAGTCAAATTTTTAGACGAACCCACAGTATTATTAGAGGATGATGAAAAACCATACATGTAATTCACAACCTTTGCCTAATAATCATCATTGTTTACAGAAGAAGAATTGGCTAGAAACTCAGAGCCTGCTAAACAATATGCATCTGGATTCAATTATGAAGATGAAAATTAATCATCTTTAAATAATGCTGATTAATCTTAAGTCTTTTTAGCTGCTTAATATGAAAAAGATTTACCAGCTACTGGAGATTGTGTTGTACTTTACTCTGCATGCGATTTCAAAGGCACATCAGGAAAAGTATGCAAAGCTGAGGATGCTATGAATTTCTAAATTCCAGTCTTTTCAATCTATGTTCCAATTGGGTAACATTATCTATTTTTATTTAGATAATAATTCACTACATTAGATTCTATTAACAATGAATAAGTAGCTTTCTTGACAAGTGAAAAATGTTTAACAGAACCATTAATTATGGCTGACACATAAAAGGATGTGTTCATTGCAAAACCATCATAATCATTGGCTGGATCTGATAATGCATCAAGTATTAATATCTATTTTAAATTATAAGGTGATGATATAACTGGACCATAACCATAATTAATATAAGAAACATAAGAATAATTTGATGCACCTTAAATAGAAGAAGATTAATAAGTTAACGTTGAATAAGTATAAGAATAAGTTTAATAAACAGAATAAGTTTAAGAATAAGTATAAGAATAAGTTTAAGAATAAGAATAAGTTTAATAAACAGAATAAGTATAAGAATAAGTTTAAGAATAATAATAATAAGTAGAAGCTGAAGTTTAATAATAAGAATAATAATCATAAGAATAATCATAAGAATAATAATAATAAGAATAATAATAAGATTAATAATCTGAAACTCCTTAAATTCAATAAAATGATACATAAAGTTAAGAATAATAAGCTTCTGTAGATGATGTGCCTTAAACTGCTGAAGCACTTGTTGGACAAACTTAATGAGACCGATTATAGAACAAATATAAATTTAATATATAATAATTATTTTCTAACTTTAATATTAATGAGTAATGACATTAAGAAACAAATGAATGATTTTCGTATGGCTCATTTTTCAGTTGGATTTGATAAATGTATAATCAATTACATTTGATATTAGCTTCTGGTAGTACAAATTATTTAGATGATTACACTGCCAAAAAACCGGATAAAGAATTACCAACTACTGAAGAAGCTAAACATTTTGAAGCATACATAGCAAATCCTCGAAAAGCTCATTTTGAATTAGGAGAAGACAATGTTAATTATTAATCTATTGCAAAATTATCATTTAATCCAAAATAATCAGAAAAAGCACAACTGTCTGAAGAAACTTAAAAAGATTTACGTAATCATCATTTTAAATTGGGATTTCACAGTGTGCCTAGTGAAACTGAATATTCATAATATAAGAATTAACCATTAGATATTCATTAAAAACAATAAGTAAATATTCGTAAACATCATCATGATTTTGGAGATTTAAAAACTTATTTTACAACTACATATCAAGATACAAATAAAGAATATAAAGTTGAAAAAGAAGAATATCATGCAACTGATATTCGTAAGACTAATATCAATATAGGAAATGTATTATATATCAATCATTATAGAATCAAATAGATTACACTACACATTACACTCGATATCATGATGGTTAATAGAATCCAAAAACTAATGGAAAAGGAAATTTAGAGAAATTTTTAAAAGAATCACATCTTGTTTTGGGTGAAGATCCTACTGTCAAAAGTTCATAAAATAAAGATGCTTTCTAAGGATAATAAAATAAAGAAGTCATAAGAGTTAATAAAGATGTTTTATTAGATTTAAGAACAGCACATTTTGATTTTGCTTATCAAAAATCTGATATGCCATAAACAACCAAATAATCAATGTTTTAAAAAACTGCCATTGCTGTATCATAACCAAATTTACCAACCTGTTCATTGACTATAGGTACTCATGGATTCTTAAATGATCGATATTATCAAACAAGTTATAATACTAACTATCCAAATCCAAATACTTAGAAACCTGAATTAGCTAAAGATCCTAGAATTACAGCTGTCAAATTTGGAGATGAACAAGTAGATTATAATACTGAAAATAATAGAAAGTTAAATCTATTAATATTTTAGTTATTAAATACCAGAAAAAGTAGATTAATTCAAATTAGATAAAAATCAAATTAGAGATTTAAGATAACATCATTTTTAATTGGGAACTGATCCTATTGAATACCCATAAAAAATTAGTCAAATTACACCACATCCTAATACTTTGTCTGAAGATCAACTCAAAGACTTAAGAAGATAGCATTTTGTTTATGGAAGTTAAATAGGCACATATAATACACACAATTCATAATATGGCACCAGTTAAGGTCCTCCAAATAAGTTGGATCCATAATTATAGAAGGATTTGAGAATGCATCATTTTGAAGAAGATGGAGAAAGAGTTTTTTAAACTTCCTACAGGGCCATGTAGCCAATATAATGATTAATTATAATGTTCATTTCTAATAAATAAAAATAAATAAAAAAGGATATTATACTAGATTTATCTAGAGAAAATTACAAAATATATATCTAATTAGATACACGACCTATATTTGTAATTAAATCTAGTTCTTCTATTATGTATATTGATAATTATAATTTAAGAAATTGAAAAAATTTTGAATAAATCATTTTTTATTAATAAATATAGGAATTGAAAGTCTCATAAATTCTAATCTTTATTTGCTTAGTTGTTTCTGTTATGGTACTTTAACGGATGTTTAAGTAAATGATTATATGAAATATATATACATTAGTCTTTTATCATATATTAATTAATGGCAAGAATTTAAAAACCCAAATTTTTTATTTAAAAAAATATCTTAAAGAAATGACATCCGTTCCTTTAGTATCAGTTTTTTCAGCCGATGACTCATCTAAGGTCACAGCCAAACACATCCCACTCCCAGCTGTGTTCTAAACACCAATTAGACCAGATATTGTCTCATTTGTTCATACTAACATTGCTAAGAACAGAAGACAAGGTATTTGAATTATGATAATCTTCTATTATAGCTCATGCTGTCAACCCATAAGCTGGTATGTAACACAGTGCTGAATCCTGGGGTACTGGTAGAGCCGTAGCTCGTATTCCAAGAGTATCTGGATCAGGAACACATAGATCTGGTCAAGCTGCCTTTGGTAACTAATGTAGAAAGGGAAGAATGAGTTTACCAATCAAAGTATGGAGAAGATGGCATAGAAGAGTCAATATCAAATAAAAGAGACATGCAGCTGCTACAGCTGTTGCCGCCACAGGAATTGTTCCATTAGTTTTGGCTAGAGGACATAGAATCAGTTAAGTCCCATAAATTCCACTTGTTGTTGAAGACAAGATTGAATCATATGAAAAGACTACTGATGCTCTCAATTTCTTGAAGAGATTCGGTGCTTTTGAAGATGTTTAAAAAGTTGTTTCCACTAAAGTTGTTAGAGCTGGAATCAGTAAATAAAGAGGAAAGAAATACAGAGTTAGAAAGGGACCATTAGTTGTTTATTTCAATGAGAATGCCAAATTATTGAAAGCTTTCAGAAGTAATCATTTACATTAATAAATCCATTAGATGTTCCAGGAGTTGAAGTAGTCAATGTTACAAGATTAAATCTCCTCTAACTTGCCCCAGGAGGTTAATTAGGAAGATTTGTCATTTGGACTTAAAGTGCCTTTGCTCACCTCGATAAATTATTTGGAACATACAGATATTCATCAATTATCAAGGACGGATATTAATTGTTGAGACCACTCATCACCAATCCAGATTTGGCTAGAATCATCAATTCCAACTAAGTCTAAGAAAAGGTCTAACCAGCCAAGACAACCAAAGTTCTTCATGAAGTTTAAAAGAAAAATCCATTGAAAAACACTAAAGCTATGGATAGATTGAACCCATATGCTAAAAAATAAAGAGCTGCTGCTGCTGCTGCAATCAAAGCTAATACCAAGGGAACCAAGAAGATCAAGAAGGTATTCTTTAATTTTTATATCTTTTATAGAATAAAGCACTCAAGAAGGCTTCAAGAGCTGCATACAACAAAGTTGCTGCTTCCTTAAACGATGCTACTAAAGCTGCTGTTTAAGAGGAATAAGATATCAAAGTTAAATATTTCTCAGTTCAAAAGGGAGCTGCTTAAACAGAATGATGAGCTTAAACATATTAATTGTATAATAAAAACATATACAATATTTCCCCCATTATTATTTATAAATTAATATTATTTTATGGGTAAAAAAAAAGAGTAAAAGGAAATCTCTAATAAAGACATTAATGACATTTTTAAACCTATACAAAAACAAGATAAGCAAAAGGTGAAAAAATCTGATTAAACTTCAAATGAATAATAGAATTAGGAGCAAAAATAAACACAATAAGAAAAAACTAAAATAAAGAAAAATCAATAAGTCAAGAGATCCTAAAACTCTATGTAAGAGTAAAGCAAAAAGAAATATACAGAGGAAGGATATAAAGTATATAGTACAGAAGAATTAAAAATTGGAAAAGGAGGTAATACTAATTTATGTCCTTTCGATTGCGAATGTTGTTTTTGATCAAATATTAATTGAAAATTTTATTAAGCTATCTGTTTTTTTTCCATTATTCTTTTATTTATTTTATTAAATAATTTCTATAAATTAAAAGCTATAAAAATTCATTTGATTTTGCAAACTTATAGAATTATTGTTATTTTAATAGTTATTCCATATAATAAATTAATAAAACTTAAACAGTAAACTAACAGATTGCTTTTAAGACAAAAACGATATTGCTTGATTATTACTAATTAAAATGAAGTTCTTAATTTGTTTAGCTTTGATAGCATTTACATAAGCAGTAGTGATTAAACATGCTTCAAATCCACATGCTGCAGTATTTGCTTAGCTTGAGAACCTTGAGGATAATCCTTTAGGAAAAAAGATTCTTGATACAATTGCAATCCAGATGAGAAATCAATCTCCATTATCTGATATTGCTAAAATGCTTTAAGATTTAAGAGAGAATTTGGTTCTTTAATAATAAGATGCTGAATTAGTTCATGTTGCTTAAGAGGCTGATTGTGAAGCTGAAATCTATGGATACAATAGAAGAATTGAATTTGCATCCAATGAAATCACTGAGGCTACTATGGATATTAATAAATATACTTCTGAGATTGAACTTTTATAATAAGAAATTGAGAATCAAGTAATTTAATTAAGAATTCTTAATGAATAAGAAGAATAGTTGAGAGAACAAAGAGCTGAAGATCATGCTGCTTATTAAGAAAGAGAAATTTAAACACCTAAAGTAGTTGAAGCTCTTGATGTTATAGCTGCAAAATTGAGTGCCATTTAACCTGAAGCTGATGCTGAAGTTGTACTTGCTGAATTAGAAAGAGTAGGTGGAGAGAATCCAATTCTTGCTCTTGTTTAATTGGCTTCAACATTTTCAGCAGAAAAATTATAAAGCGTTTAAGCTAAAATTGGAGAATTGAGAGCTTCTTTAGAATAAGCCTTAATTGATGACAGAGAATAAGAAATTCAATCATAACTCAATTTTGAAGCTTAAATATATTCAATTGAAGAATAGAGAGAGGCTATTCAATCTGCTAAGGCTGAAGCAGAAACTAAGATTGTATAGGTTGAACATATGTTGGCTGCTGCTAAAAAGAGAAAGTATGATGCAGGAAGAGAATTAGAATCTGCTACTAATGGTAAGAAAATGAAAGAAGCTCAATGTGATAATTGGAGAAGTTTATATGCTAGAGATACTGAATAAAGAACTACTGAAATTAGTATTATCAGATAAGTTGAATCAATTTTGGCTACCAAATTAGAAGGTGCATCCAACTATATCAAAGGAAGAATCAACTGAGTATAAATTTTAATTTTTAAACTCTTTTTTTAAATATTAAATTTTAATAATTATTAAGCTATGTCTTTTTTGAAAAATTACATATATAAAATATAGATATATTAGTACTTTAATAAATTCCTTTTATTTTTTCATAATAATTAGGATTTAGTATTAAATTAAAATAAAGAATAAAAAAAATAAAATTGTTCTCATATTTTTTAATGGTGGATAAATTAATAGAAAAATTAATAATTTGAAAAAGGAAGAAAAAAAAAATTAAATATTTTTTATTCTTTGGTGTTTGTGCTTTGATAAATGTTGGCAATCTGATTGAATATTATAATAAATTCAAAGGAAAAAATAAATAATTTTTAATTCTTAAATAAATCCATAAAACATTATAATTTATTAACAATCATCAAATCTAAATTAGAAAAAAAATTTATATGGTTTAGAATAAAGATTCCCAATAAATAATTAGTATAATATATTTCCCATTCCCAATGTAACAACAAGTTGAACAATTCCGTAATTAGTCTCTTTAATCGACTTTTGAAGCGAGTAAACCTAAAAGACCTTATCAAAAAATTTCTCAAGAAACACGATCTCAAATTCTTCATGCCTTGACCATAGAAAAGTTGTCTTTATGTAATGTAAATAAATATTTCTATAAGAATAGGTGGCTGAAATGTTTAAAACTAAGGCCTGCACTTGTAAATCAATTTTACAAACTTATGAACAAGAAGGTAGAAGAGAGAAGAAGACAAGTAGAAGAGAAAGAGTAGAAATAGATTCACACCTTAAAATAATTGTTATAGACCCTTTAGGACGATCAAACTAAGAATACATTAATATTAAACATTCTAAAGTATATAAAATAAACTTATTAAAATATTTTAGATGTACACCGAAGAAAAAGATCTAAGTAGAAAGGAAGAAAAATAACTTAAAAGAAGATTGTAATAAGAAATCTTAAGTTAATTGGAAGAACTATAAACAGGATGTTATAATGTTTAATAGACAATATCTAAAGAGAATAATCCTGATGAAAAAGCTCCTGAAAATATTGCTCGAGGGGTCAATATGAGTTTATAATTAATTTAATAGAAGTTAAAAATGGATGGAGTTAGTCTGAGTAAGTAGGAAACAAAAAAGTTAAAGGAACTAAAAAAAAATTAGTAATAAACTAAATTGGAAGATTTGGTAAAAGTTGAAGAAGGAAAGAGCAATTAGAATTCTTATATTTAGTAAGAGAAAAAATTTGATATCCCAAAATCAAATGCTATATATGAATTAGGATAGAATTATAGTAATATTAAGCAATTTATAGAGAGTGTTAATTAAAAATCATAACTAAATCCATAAATTATTGATAAATTAAACTACTTAACAAATGAAACTATTTTCTAAATGAGTCTGAAATAAAGATTGTCAGATAAAGACTTTTAAGTATAGATTTTAAAACACAATGTTTCTAGATATTTAAAATAATTTTTTTTAAATAATTGATAATTATAAATTTACTCACTAAATATTATATATCTTATAATCATATTAAACTTATATCCAAATAAATTCATCAATTATATATTTACTATAAACTTCAATTTTATGCTAATAATTCTTTAAATGCTATTTGGACTTTTATTAAATTTTCACTGAATTCCCACAAAATATTATAATACTATTATTATAATAAATAATGAATCTTTTGAGTTTTAGATTGTTAATTTAGTATATTAGATTCTAAAATTGAATGAACAATAAACGAAATTATTCTTAGGTATATTTGAAATTGATTACTTTTTCATATTTTTTAAAATAATTAGTATGTTAATTAATTAAAACTAAATATTCTAGATACTAAAATGTAATAATTATATTAATATAAAGGAGAAATAATATATCAAAGAGAATTTAAAATTATATATTGTTAATTGTTATAAATTTTATTAATTGAAACATTAAATAACTTAAACAAAAAAATTTAGAATCACTAATCAATATTTAGAATTTGTATTTGGCATTTTGGTAGGTTTAAAACTTTGCAAATGACTAAAATCATATATCGAATTATTATTATCCTTCTTTTATTATTCTTATAATTGACTTGATTGTAAATTTCTTTGTTGTCTATTTTAAGGAATAGATGGAACATATTCACCATATTCTAAACTTTTAGAAGACTAAGTAGATTATTTTGAAGGCAAAGGTTTATTTTCAGTTGTAATAAAATCCAAAATATCATCTAAATCATTACTATCATCTTCTATAGGTTATTATGCCTAAAATTATTTTTATTTGAATTGATTTTATGGTTCTTCTTTTTGACTATAAGATTTCTATTTTTTCTCCATTTCTGGAAATTTTAATTCATCTTTAGATTTGATTTACTCTTCAAAAATGATAGGAGGTGCAATCTTTTCAATGTTATAGAAAAATGGATGAGTTAACATTTAAGTGGCAGTGATTCTTTTATTTGGATCCCATCTAATCATTTAAGTTAATAAGTTTAAGGCTTCTGTACTAGCATTTGGTATTATCTATTGTAATTAAAGAGGTTAAAATTATGCTAATGCTAATCCCATTTAAGAGACTAGTCTGCATCCTTCAGGCCATTCAGATTAAGTGAAAGTACTAAAATAAGAAGATAAGTTATAAAATTACCCAAGAGTAGAAAGGATCTTATTGAACTATTCTAATTCAGAATTACCTTGAAATAGTGGTCTATTTAAAAATAATTCAGCCATGATACAACCTAAAGCAAATATATCAACTGGACTATTGTAATTGGCTTATTTCAATAGAATCTCTGGAGCCTTGAATTGAATTAAAATAGAGTATATACCCTATACCATCTAGTAGCAATATAATCAGTATATGGTGGTCTTGATCTGATTTCTCTTGCACATCCAAGATCTATAATCTTAACAACACCATTGTTAGACACCAATAGATTTTCAGGCTTCAGATCTCGATGAAAATACCCATGTTTATGCATGTAACTGAGTCCATTGGCTACTTGGTAAATGAGGGATTTGATTTGATCTTCTGGAATGAATTTACCCTAAGCTCCATCTTATATTTGGTTACCATTTCTTTTTGCTGTATGTACATTTAATAAATGCTTTTGTCTACAAATTCAAAGACTAGACATAGAGTTTCATTATCAAGAAATACTAAATTGAATCAATTTATACATTCTTTAAGTTTGACAATATTTGGATGATTTTAAAGTTTCATTAAAGCCTTAACTTCTCTTAAGTTAGTACATTCTTCAAAATTGTGGTACTTTTATTTCATCTTTTTGATGGCTACCAAATCATGAGTTTATATGTTTTCAGCCTTAATCACAACTCCAAATGTTCCATCCCCGGTCTTTTTTAATTCTCTGAACTTTTTCATATTACCTGAAGTAATAATTTAATTATATAAATAAATATACTAATACATATATATGTATATAAAAATTGATTTAATAAATAGTACTTGAATATCAAATATAATCAAATTTCTACATTTATTATTAGTCTATTATTTAGCATAAATATTCAAATGAAGAATAATTTAGGTGACATGGTCAATATTGAGATAATTTTTAATGATTGACTGTCGCATATAGGAAGTGCAACTGATTGCAAATCAGAGGGTTTTGGTTCGATTCCATACAGTCACTATTTTTTTATTAGTCTAATATTCAAATAAAGAATAATTTAGGTGATATAGTCAATATTGAGATAATTTTCAATGATTGACTGTCGCACAAAAGGAAGTGCAACTGATCGCAAATCAGAGGGTTGTGGTTCGATTCCACATAGTCAATATTATTTTAATGATTTTTTAGTAATATATTTTATAAATATAAACTTTATTAATTGAAAAAAAACAAATATCATTTTATGTATCTTGAAAACTATTTAATTTTTTTAATACATAATAAAATTATTTAAATGTTGATGATATAATACGAATTGTAATCTTGATATGTGTAATGATATTTGATTTTATTTAATTAAATTAACATTAAAAAATCATTATGATATTTTATCTGCAGCTATTTTATCAAATAGGTCTTTTATTATGTATCTATTGTATAAAATTCATCAATTTCATAATATGGTATAATTTATTAATATGTTTTGGTTAGACACTAATTTTTAGAAAGATTAATAATTTTTTCTTAAATATTTCTAATTCTTGATGAAAGCATACACTAATAATTGAACAAATTTTATAGATGCATTAATTTATATTATAAAACTTCATCTATATACATATATGATTATTTTATATAATACTTTTTCATTTTATTAACAGTAGTTCTAATAATATATATATTGTTGAAGAATTGATTGTTTTTGATATTTTTAAGGAATAGAAAACTATTAATTAATTCTAACAGTTCCAGATAATTAAACATATTATTATTTAATTTTTAATGAAGGTTTTTAATAAACTTTATACTTAGCCTCTTCTTTAATTAAGAACTCCATCTTCATTAATTTTCTATATGAATCCAGCAGTAGAAATATATTTATTCTTCACATTAAATATATTAAATTATTTCATCCAATATCATTCAGAAACTAAAGATCGTTTTTGCTATACCCGTTTTAAATAGTTAACTAACATAGAGTCTAAATTACTTAAAAAATTAAAAATAATGAGTGAAGAGAAGAGTTTGGCTTCTGCATCCAAAACAATCACAAAGAAACCTTGTTCTTGGAAATAAATGTTTCGAAAGAAGAATTCTGAACAACAAAAGAAGAAAGAAGAATTAAGAAAGTTAGGAGAAGAAATAGCCAAAACTGAAGAGTTTCTCTAAAATGCTTGGGCTATTGTTGCTAAAATCATAAATAACAAATCTCATCTTAACTAAAAGAAATCATGATTTAACATCATTATATTGTATTGTTAAAATATCTTTACTTGTTCACAACATTTTATATTTATTTGTTATATCATTTCCTTTATATTATTTACATTAGTTATCCTTTAAGTCTTAGGATAGAACCACTAATTCATTTATAAATCTAAATGATAGTCATTAAATTAAGATAAGGTAATTCATTTTTATAATATGATTCTCAAACTTGTTTCTATTTGACGTTATATCTATATTTTCTCTAAAAGATGGTATATAATTTATATCCACTTTAATTTCTTACTTTTGTAAACTAAATAATATTCTTACATAATCTCTAAAAGGGAAAATGAGAATCCAACTATTACTTTAAATTTACAATCAAATTCTTTAAGCTAATATCAATTATATATCTAAGTTTATTTTATAATAATCGGTTGTCGAATTGGAATTTGAATAATTTAATAAATAGTTATGAAAGTTTATAGATCACCTTGTTAATCTTTTCATACTGTAAGAACTTCATAATGTAATTTCACTACTCCAGAAAGATTAGTAAAGGTTTAAGCTAATTCAGGAATTAAATGTAGTCCCTTTTAAAAAAATGAAAATCAATTCAAAAATTACTAATCTAACACTATTTCAAAGAGAAAGGATAGTACAAATTTATATGATTATATTAATGAATTAGAATAAAGTAGATATGTTATATTAGCTAAATAGAAATCAATAAATTAGAGTAAAGTTAATGTAGGAGTATAAACAATAATTATCCTGAAATTTTATAATTAGAAAAAAGAATGTTAATATTATTAAATGAAAATTGTGAATTGAAGAGTGAAGCCCTTATGAATTAGAAATTGGCATATGAAAATGAATAATTAAAATAATTGGTTTAAGAATAATAAATGAAAATCCTTGAATTTGGAGAATAATACAATTTGCTCTTTGATTCTCATTAAAAAGTATGTGAAGAATACAGAATATTAGAATCTAAAATCTAAACATATGAATTAACAATGTCAATAAGAAAACATTCAAGTTTTAGTGAATATTTCAAGACTTCTGAATGAGAATTTAATTCATTTGTTTTTAATCTTATTAGTATATAAATTAATAATTTGATTGAATTCTTCATTATATTGTAATTAATAAAGTCAAAATTTGACAATATAATTTTATTTAATGAATAAATATTGCAATAATAGTAATAATATATATTAACATTGATTAGATCCTACTGGAGAATGGAGTAGATTAATTCAATAATAAAATTCTTAGTCTGATTAATAATAATAATTACTTAAATATGAGGATTACCAACGTAAATTATAATATAGGTAACTTAATATAGAAATCACATATATAGACAAGAACTACAAACTGCTATGTAAGAAAGAAAAAAAAAGAATTCTGAATCCTTTGATACTTATTAATATACTGATTAAGTTTAATAAAGTTTATAAAGACAAGATATAGAATAATTCTAAAAATTGCAATCATTAAAATAAAAGGAGACAGAATTTGCTAAATATAGTTTGGAATAATAAGAAATTAAGAAGATATTATAAAAATAATAGAATTTAAATGAAAAATAATAGATTAGTGAATAAATGATTAGAAATTAATAAATTTTTAAAGAAGAACTTATAGAGAAATAAAATAAAAAAAATAAAGTTATTTATGAGTTAAATTAATCTTATAAAGATATGGAAGATAAAAAAAAATATGAATTAATTAAAATAAAATTATTAGAAAAGTAAAGTATGTAAGAAGAACTAAATAAATTATAATAGGATGAAGAATAAAGAAGAAATGTATATTAGTTTACTATTCATATTAGTTCTTGAATAAATTAAAAAATAATTATCATCAAAATGAAGGATTATTAGAGAGATATAATTAAATCTATATATAAAAAGAAAGAGAAAAAAGTGATATAGAAAATAAAATTATAAAAGAAGCTGCTGAATAAAAGAAATAATAGGATGAATAAAGATAAATTATAGAAAGAGCTATAAGATAAAAGAAGAATTAAGAAACCTATAATTCTATTTTGGAATAAATAGAATAAAAGCGATAATCAAAAGAGAGAGAATAATAATAGAAATCATAAGAATTGGATTATTATGGAGTTGTGAATGAATAATATAAAAGAAAAGATTAAGATGATCTTTATAGAAAGATAGAGAAATAAAAATAATATAGATAAGATTTAATAATGTAAATAGAAGAATAATAAACTAAGAAAAAAAGGGATTAATCAATGAGTGCTATTGAAATGAAAATTAATTAAAATTATTATAATAATGAAGCATTAAATGTTGGAATTGTTCCAGGAATATTTGTTGATCACAATAGACTTAAATAACAGTAAGTTATTAATATAATTTAGAAAATATTTTGATAGTAATTAAAGTAAAAGATAAAATAGTTAATTTTAACGATAGAGAAACTTAAGTGCTTATTTTGCTTCAAATTAAATCAATTGATAATTATTAAATAATTAGATATATTATTTAATATATTTTACTATTTATAAATGTTTTATATTAATTATCAAATACTAAAAGATGTCTGAAAAATAATAAGAATTTGATTATAATATAAGAATTCTATTGGTTGGTGAAATTGGAATTGGTAAGACTACTCTTCTAATTAAATATACAGAATAAAAATTTTAATTAAATCAATTAACAACTATTGGTATAGATTATAAGTCCAAGCTCATTGATTATTAGGGAAAAAGGATTAAAATTTAACTTTGGGATACTGCAGGTTAAGAGAGATTTAGAACAATTAGTAAAAATTACTATAGAGGAGCTCATGCTATTTTTTTCATTTATGATATCACTAATATAGTTTCATTTAAGAGAATTGAATAATGGATTAATGATGTTGAGTAGAATCTACCTTCTGATAAAATCAAAGTTCTAATTGGCAATAAATGTGATTTAAATAATAATAGATAAGTTTGTTATGATGATGGTAAAAAATTCGCAGCATAGTAAGGACTTGAATTCTTTGAATCATCAGCATTAGAAAACCATAATATAGAAGGGCCTATAAATTATGTTATTGAACATTTTATTAAGCAGAAGTAATCAGAATAATAACAAAAAGTTGAAAAAAATCTTGTCTTGTCCAATTAGATAGTACCTAATTAGTAGAACAATTAAATTCAACTATGTTAATGCTGATTTTATGATAAATTTATCTTTATTTTATAAAGATTATTCAAATTTATATTAAAGTTATTATTTAGGATCTTTTATATAAAAAAATATTATTTTGAATAGATTTAATTAATTTAAAATATAATATTTAGATTCTGTAATATATTAGTAATATTGGATGTATCAATGTTTCATACTGAATTATAACAACTATACATTACTATAAGATTTTAATTATACAATTTATTAATGTATATTTCATTATTAAAATACTATTATATAATAATAATAATAAATCTTAAGAATACTAATTTGATATTTAAAAATAATATAAGCTTAATAATTATTTATACTTTACAAAAAAATGAATATCATTTTTTATATACAAAATTATAAGAAATTTATTAGAATTTCCAATATTTATTAATATGTAATGTCATTTGTTTAATTAAAAAAAATGAATTGAATAATATGAATAATATAAATGCTTTATTAAATGCCACTTCAGATTTTATATCAAAATATATATAAATTTTTTAATAATTGTTTTAAAGTTTATGAGTTCTTTCAATATACTAAACAATAAATTTATGCAATCAGCAATGGAGAGAAAATCACAAAGATCTATTTAACTCAGTTAAAAAAATCTTGATGGATCTACTAAATCAATTTCTTATGAAATATGGGATAGGAATGATGGTTTAGATTCTCCAATGACTCCTTCAATCATACTTCCACATACTTATTAACCAAAATTTATAAATTAAGTAAGAAATCAAATTAAAAGACCTTGAAAAACATATTGACATGACTTTTTTAACATGACAATATAATCTATAATCATTAAATATGTTATAATTGTATTCAAAGAATTCATTAAATTATAAATAAAGAATAGAATATCTTCACTTCCTTGTTTTGTAATAAAAAAAGGAAATTAAATATTCAAGAAATCCTTTTTAATTATTATATATGAATTATACTATCTTCAATAATTATAATAGTTTTTTGTGATTAAATGTTTAGTTAATATATTGTTTGATTATTTATATATATATATAATTATAGAAAATAAAGTAAAATGGGAAATGATGCTAAATCAAAATTTACAAATTAAGAATTCGATGAAGATTGGGAGATTATAGAAGCTCCTATACCAAAGAAAATCTTAAATTTAAGATAATCAACTTTAAATAAATCAATTTTTACAGTGATAGATTATTAGTAGTAACCAGAGAATAAATAGTAAAAAGGAAAAGCTTTGTTTTCTGGAAATCATCCTGAAAAATAAACAAAAAAATATTATATTTCAAAGCGAATATAAGAACTTTAACATTAAATAGGAGGTGAAACACTTTTTGGTGTAAAAAGAGGACATGGACCAATTTAATTAGGAGAGGAACATTAATAATCAGTATAAGATTATTTATTTTAATAGTTACATCTTGAAGATAGACCTAAATTTCCTAGAAAACATACTAGAGCTCCTGTGAATGTAATGAATCTTCAATTAGATTGATTTAAAATCATATTATTACTATAGATAATATTAATAAATAAATTATCATTATAAATAATTTAAATTCTATAGAGTTAAAAGTTCATTAGAATAAATTAATTATAAAAACAAAAATGATCATAAATCAATACATAAAGTTGCTTCCTGAATATCTCATAATCTATCTTTATTAACTAAATGAATCTAAATAAATAAGTAAATTTAATACTTTTTTATATTCCTGAATTAACAAAGGAAATAGAATCAATACGTCCTCTATCAGGTTTAGATGTGTTTTTAACAATAAATCTTGTAGCTGATTGTGATGAAGACTTTTAGATATATCTTGTAGGTGTTTAGCTTAATTATTCTTCCTTTTTCTTTTATTTTCCAATTTATATCAACCATTATCTATACATCCAATCATCTGTTTAACAACACTTATCAACCATAATTGGTTATTATTATTCTCTAATTGGTTCAATTTAACGTAATTTAACAGGAATTCTATAATTGATATTTTTAGGTTTTAAACTACTTGATGGAAGTTTATTATCCTATTGTTATTGATAGTTTTTAGATGGTGATTCCTATAATATACTATTTTTTTAATTAACTAAAGTTTATTTAGTAATAATTTATTTCTTTTTAGAATCTAATTATTTTAGAAAGTTCTTCTATTTTAAGGAATAAGTTTTAGGTTAGAATAATTATACAATTTCATCATCAGATAATTCAGCTTCAGATTAACTAGTATCAGATCCTTAATCTTAATCATCTGTTTAAGGCATCTTTCCTAATTCTTCCAAAATTTATTATTAAATATCTGGGATATTGGTTTAATTTGTGAATTCTTTTGAAGTATCCTTTACAATTTAAGATAAGGAATCACATATACTTACACCACAATTAATATAATCTTTAATTTAAAAATGTTTCTTTTTTTACCCATAAAAACTGCATTCATAAGTATATACCCAATTAATTTTCAATTCTCTCCAAATCTAAATTCTTGCAGTCTTATCTTTTGAACTCTCAACTTTAAATGTACAAGAAGGATAATCCATTAAAGGATTCATTTTTGCCATAAGTAAAGCGAAAACTCTTTCTATAGTCTTAACCTAAGATGAGTAAGCACATCCATAAACAAATGATGATTCCTTTCTAGAATGTCCATGTAAATCAATCACTAATATAATTTACCTTTCTTTACTAAATCCTTTAATATATTTCTTTGTATAATATACAGTAGGATGAAGATATTTATTTGGTTTTTTCCATCTTCTATTGAAATCACTACCTTCTAAACCACATCTATAATTCCCATTTACAACTCCATCGCTATTCATCATTGGAAATATTTTAAAGATACAATTTTATCTTAAATACTCTGCTTATGGATTATTAGAAGTCAAATACTCTATAATACCTTACATTACATATGATCCTTAAGGTTCTCCAGGATGTTATCTTGCCATAAAGACTACTCCTTTTCTATATGCTCTACGTTACATTGAATTAGAGGTTATAGTTAATACTTCACATGTGTTTCCACCTAAGGTTGTACATAATGATTTTCTGGACATATATTAATTCTTTTCAGGATTATCTAGAATAGAATTCAAAAATTCTAATAAATTAGTGTATGTATAGGGATATGAATGAGCAAAATAAACCTTATCATTATTATGTTTGAAAGTGTAACTGAATTACAATTAATAATATTTAGCTCTTATTGTTTAAGGATATTCTTTAAGGAAGGGACTCTTAAAATAATTAATGTTGAATCCACCTCTAAACCATTCTTATTTATTGATTTCATTCTCTTTGATTGAATAAATGGCTGGTTGCAATCCTTCATTAAATAAACTGCTGCTTTTAAGCTAATACTATTACTTTATAATACATGATTAAGTAAATTAAATTATATAGTTTAACCTGCTTTTACTCCAGTTACACTAAAAAAAAACCATTATGTATTTCCTCTAGTATTAATATCATTTTAGAGTATTAGATCATATACATCATTAGCTCTTTTGAAAGCACAAAACAAATTACCAGATTCAAAATTTGAATCAAATTTCAATTAATCTGTTTGACAAGGTATTAGTTTCTAATCAAATAGGGGATCTCCTCGAAAATATACTCGTGGATATTATCTATTAATTGTAATGCTAAATGAACTTCTTGAAATTAACAAATAGAGTAGAAAAATAAGTTCTATCATTTGGACTTCGTTTGGATAGATCAATTTGATCAAATCGTTTGTATATCAAGTTTTATTTATTCTATTCAAAATATTCAAGTAACGTTCTCTCTTCCTACTACGTAATTTCGACTTAATTTAGTGATGATGTCTATATTTCTTCATTGAATGTGGAATAAAACTGATTGAATTAAGGCAAAGGTCTTGACTTTTCGAAAAATAAATTCTCACTTTAAGGGATATAAGGATTTCACATCAATATCAATGGTCAATTTCCGTGGCATTAATTCATTAGCTGGATATAATTTTGTAAGAGTCTCATAAACCTTAGCATCATCTTCACTTGAACTATCGTTATTAATATTTTTGGAATTCATATTATTATAAAAAAAAATGAAAAATATTACACAACCTTTATCAAAAATACATATATATTCTTTTCCATTAATTGTTAATATTAATAGAAAAGAATATTTATCATTATTTATACTCATAGTAAATAATTCATAATAATGATAATAAAATTTGTTTCATTATTTAAGTTTAGATATTGATTTCCGATAAGATCTATTTTATAGTACTGCATTTTCATATTCCATAGCCAATTCTGCATATTATATACTTATTTTTGCTGTCAATTATTCAGCATAATCTTATTCTTACTAAGCATGAATAGAATCTTATTTAAACTATTCAATAGATGTTTCCAATTCTCTAATTTTTATAGTATGACTCAACTTTAAATTTCCTAATTCATTTTATAAATCTAATATTTCTTTCCTCAATAATCTATCCTTTTCATTCAAAGAATTTATTTCTTATTATAAATGTATAGTATCATCTTAAATTTAGATTTATTAAGGAGGATTTTTATTGTTTTTCTTATCTTTCAATTCAATAATTTATTCTTCTAATTATTTAATTTTAACTATGATATTTATTAATATATTATACTCTTTAATTATTAGATAATATTTTCCTTTTCTACTTCAATATCATTTTACTTCTTTTAAAATTGATTTGCTTATTGTTCTAATTTTTATTCTAATTTATTCATTTTAGTTGAGAATTCATTTTTTTATAATGATACAATTCTATTATTTTATTCATTAATTTAATCTAATTCACTTTAATGATCTAATTTAAGATTATTAATTTCTTAATGTAAACTTTCTACTTCTTATTCTAATTATCTTTAAACAACAGTGAAATTAAGTCTTTCATTACCTATTTCATTTTATAAATCAACTAATTCTTTTTTTAATGCTCTTTCTTTTTCATTTAATCTATTAATTTCAGCTTATAATTCTATATCTCCTTTTGATTACAATTATTCTATTTAAGCTTTTAATACTTCAATTTCAAATGTTTTATTAATATCTGAACTTGAAATAGACATTCTCTAATCAAATATAGAATGTCTATGCTAATCTTATTTGTTTACTTGATTTGTTATTTAAATCTCTTTAATTTTATTATCATATTATTCAATCATTTTATTACTTTTTTCAGTTATAATTTATAATTATTCTTCAACAAATCTTTTTCCTTCTTTTTCTTCTGCAATTTCTCTATCTTTCTTTTTTAAAACAATTTCCATCTTTCTTATTTTACCAAGTTCTCCTTCATATTATTTTGTAACCTCTTATATTTTTTATTCTAATTATTTCTCTTTTTTATAGTTTTCTTATTTAATTTCATTTATTTATTTATTACTTTCTTCTCTAATTTTATGTGTATCATCTTATAATTATTTTTATAATTATGATATTTATTATTATTTCTATTAAATCAATTAATTATTATTTTCTTCTGATTATTTAATTTCATTTTTATATTTTTATTCTTACTTTTTCAATAATTATTCTTATTAACTTAATTTCTCCTCTGTTTATTCAATTTAATGTATTAATTCCTATTCTCTTCTTTAATATTATTCTTCTTAAATCATCATCATTTTTTAATACTTCTATTCTACATCATTAACAGCATCATCAATATTAGTATTATGTTCACTCAATTCTTTAATTTTATGTAAAAATTCTGATTATTAATGTTCTTTCTCTTATTTTAATTGTTCAACATAATGTTATAATTCTTATGAAACTTATCTTTCATTAACTTATTATTCTTCTAAAACCTTAATTAATCTTAAATTATCTTAATACTAAATTTATACCTATATAAATTACCTTTCTATCTTGCAACTAAAATTTTTCAATATATTAACTTAACTCTTCTTATAATTCAAAAGAATGTGTATTTTTTAATTGCAATTCCTCTTCTAAATTTTTCAATTCTTATTGATAAGTAATCTCATTAACTTAAAATTTCTAAATCAAATCAACCAATTCTTAATATGAAGGTTTATCCTAAGAAATCTCTTCAACTTATACTCTATTGAGACCTTCCTCATTTAACCTTTCAATTTCTTATTATTTTTGTTTTGTTTCTTCAATCAAAAGTAAATTCTTTTATTCTAATTCAGATATCTTTAAAATATTTAAATTATATATAATACCTTAATTTCCAATTCTCTTAATGAATTCTCTTATCTATCAATTTTTTATTAAAGTAAATTAGACTTAGCTTATTCACTTTCTATCAAAGTCTTTTATTCAGTAAGTTATTTATTTAACTTAAAAACATCAAACTTAGATTTCTTAGTCACTTCTTATAATTATTTATCTTTTTCGCTTAATTAACTTTGATATTATTTTTCTAATTCTTAAATCTTTTGATCACTATTATCACTTGTTTATTGAACTACATTCTTCAATTCATTCTCTCTCTCATCAAGACTCTATTTTAATTATTTAATTCTTTCTTCTTATTATTCCACTTATTTTGTTAAATCAGATTACTACAATAGAAATTGTCAATATATATACTTTAACATCAAACTATTGTGTAAGATCTTTAATCTCTTCTTTTAAAGAATTGATTTATTCATCTTTATTTTAACAAGCCTCTGTGTAGTATTCATATAATTTAGCAAGTTCAGGTTGATAATTCCCTTGATTTGTTTGTATTATTCCTAGAATCTATTGGAGAGAAGGAAAATCTCCTTGATATTCTTTTTTTGGTTAAAAGTCTTCATCTGTTGAACCTGAGGCTCTTCTTTTTTTCAAGGTACTTATTTCCTCTATTAATTACAAATTTTTTTTTTCAGTTTCATTAAGCTTAAATATGAATTTCATAGCTACCTTTTATTTAAGATCATTTATTTGTAATTCAAAACGATTGATTTAATCAGCATTATTTTGGGCAATGGATTTCTCATTTTCTATTTTTGCATTTAGTTCATTCTATTGCTTTTTCACTCTAAATTACTCTAATCTTAATTTTTTTTCAAGGTCACTTATCTGTTAGTCTTTCTCATTAATAGTTTTTTTTAGTAATTAAATATCATCTCCTAAATTACTCATAATATGGATTATTAATAAAAGATAATTAAATTATTTTTTAACAACCTATTTTCTATTTAAACACAAAATCAAATTTTCATAAACTAAATCTATTGATAAATCATTTTTATACATCAACTCTATTTTAAATCATATTACTTTAACATAATTTAATGAGAGTCTCTCTATTATAAATATTACCAATAAATAATTTATATCATACTTATCAAATGAATCAATCTCAAAAAAAGAAAGTTCAATTACACTTTTTTTATATACTTAAGTAAGATATATTAAAATTAAATCTAAAATTGTTTATAAATGATAATTTATAATTATTAATAAGATATATTTTTGTATTAGTAAAATTCTTTATGTTATTAGAAGGACTTACTAGAATGAGTATAAGTTTATGTATATTAAAAATATTATTAAGTAGAATCATGAAATATAACAAAAACATATTAATAAAAAATGTGTTTATTTATATTTTTAACAAATAATTGAAAAACGGGTTTTTTTTTTAATGTCTCTTCTGTGTCTGATGTGATTATATTTCATTATTAATTTTAATATGGCAAGAATCATTCCTGTATTGGCACTTATATTGGCAGTGGCTACTGCAAGAGTAACAAGAAGTGAGAGTCCAAAAGAAGTGTTAGCTTAAATCAATAAGGATTCATTTGGAAACTCAATATTGTCAGTCCTTTAACTTTAATTGGCAACAGGAGGACCAGTAGGAGAAATCTAAATTCTTTTAAACAACATTGCTTCATAACTAAATGGAGATTAAAAGAAAGCTGACAAGGTTCATGAAAGTGACACAGTTGCCTTTGAAAAGGTATTGAAAAATAATATAAATTTTTTAATAGATCATTGCTGATTTAGAATAAGAGATTGCTTATCATTAAAGCTAAATTGTTGCTCTTTCTAATTTGAGAGATTCAACAACTGAGGCATTAGGAGAAGCTGAAGCTGAAGTCAGAGTTGTCACATCTGATATTGCCAACAATGAAAAGAGCTTTGCTGATGAATAAGCTACAAGAAATTCATAACACGAAACATGGGTTAGAAAGGATGCTGAACATGTTGATTAAATGGATGCTATTGATGAAGCTTCAAAGATTGTTTAACATTTGTAAGCAGGTGTTGCATTTGCTCAACTCAAGAGCAGATTTGAAAAAGTCTAAGCTAAATTAATGGAAAGCAAACATGCTCTTTTCAAAGTATAAAATATCATTCTAGACTATAGCCACTCATCAATGCTTTGACATAATTAGCCTCAAAGGTTGATAATAAGAGCATCATCAAGATTTTAGAACTTTTGGCTTAAATCAGATAATAATTGGTTGCCAGTAGAGCATCTCTCCTTGCAACAGAAGAGAGATAAGCTGCTAATTGGGAAGTTTAAAGTGGTCACTTATAAGAAGAACACAAGAGATTAGTTGAGAGAAAAGCTTTCTTAGAAAACTCAATTGTTCAATTCAAAGTAACCATCTAAGAGGCCGTTGAAGATTTAGAAGATTAAACTGTAATGATTAAGATTAATTTTTATTAGTTATTCCTTGAAGATGCTGAAGATTCATTGGCTATCTAAGAAAGATGGGCTGCAGAATAAGAAGCTTAATATGAAGCCTAAACTTTTGAAAGAGAATAATAATTGGAAGTTGTTGAAAGATTATAAGAAGTCCTTACTTAGAAAGTTAGTGCTGCCTCTGAATTCCTTTAAATCAGAGAAGAGGTCTTTTGATTAATGAATTATCAAAAATATTAATATCAATATATAATAATTCATTTTAGAGTAAAATTATCTGTTAATAATTTAAATTAAAATAAATGGAGAACATATAAGTAGTAGTTCGAATAAGACCTTCAAATGGTGCTGAAAAAGATAACAATGATTTGGAAATCTGGTCTGTTTAAAATTAAGACACAATAACTATATCAAATGATAGATTTAATGATTTAGTAAGAATGAGAAAATTTGTACCAGGATAGAGAGTGGAATTTACATTTAGTATAGTTTTTATAATTAATTATGAATAGACTAATGTTTTGATTCCAAACACACCACAAAATTTATTTACTAATAATAAATATAGAGAATTACATTATCATCTTTATAAGGAATAAATGGCACAGTATTTATGTATGGTTAGACTGGAAGTGGTAAAACATATACTATGATGGGTTATGATTAAGAAGAAGGAATTCTTAAATAAGGATTAAAAGATTTATTTGGTGAAATAGCAAAACAATAAGATAGATAATATTTTTTAAGATGCAGTTATGTTGAAATTTATACTGATTAAGTATATGATTTATTGGCTACTCAAGAAAGATTGAGTGAAACTTTATTAATAAATGAAGATTTCAATAAAGAATTTGTTATTAAAGGAGCAATTGAAGAAGTAGTAACTAATATTAATGAAATTATGGATATACTTCAATTTGGAGAAAGTAATAGACATTATGCTTCAACAGTCATGAATCATTGTAGCAGTCGATCTCATACTATATTTAGATTGTATGTAAGATGTGTTCCAAATTATATTGGACCTAATTCAGTAATTACAGAATCAATTTTGAATTTTGTAGATTTGGCAGGATCAGAAAAGATAAATATTCATGATTCAATGCTTAAAAAGAGAGGTACATCAGCTGGTGGAAGTGGAGGAACACAATATAAAGATAGATAAAATGAATCAAAACATATTAATAAAAGTTTATTCTTTTTAACTTAAGTAATTTCATTAAGAGCCTAAGATAAAAAGTAATAATCATAAATGATATTATTTTTAGCGATTAACATATTCCATACAGAAATTCACCATTAACAAAAATATTACGATCTTCTTTAGGTGGTAATTCTAGAACTGCCATAATACTTTGTGTTAATCCATGTTATAGTTAATTTGAATAAACATTATCTACTTTGAGATTTGGTACTAATGCTAAGAAAATAGAAAATAATGTATCTAAAAATATTGTAGGATTTGATAATGATGAAAGTCTTAATAGAGTTATAAAAGATTATGAGATTAAAATTAATGAATTATAAAAAGCTAGAGTTGATGATAAGTAATAATAAGAAATGATGTTAAAGATTATTGAAAAATTAGAAGAATAAAGAAAAATATTTAGATAATAATTTACAGCCTCTGATCATATTTAAGCTATGATTAATAAAGAACTCAATTATTAATGGACACATTTACATTATCATGGAGTTGGTGTTTTATGGGTGCCTGAAAAAGGAAATAGAGAATTAGAAGTTAAATAAGATGTAATAGATTCTTTTGGAACTATTAAAAAATATTAAGAATTATAAGAAGAATTTATTATTTTAAAATCAGAAAAATAAAGTTTGGAAAATTAAGTCACGGATTTAAAGTAGAAGTAATAAGAAACAATAATTTAAACTAAAAAGAGATATGCAAATTAAAAAGCAAAAACTAGAAAATATAAATAATTAAGTAAGGATTTATAAGATGAAAAAAATAAATTATAAAAAATAGCACTTTGTTATCATAATATGATAGAAATGGATGAAATGATGTTGTTGAATAATGATATTTTAGATTAAATGACTGAAAATCTATAAATTCTTATGTAGAATATATATAAAGTTAAGTTAAAGAAAGAAATCAAATTAAAAGGGGAATACTCAGAAACACTCAAATTAGTTACTTCAAAACCAATAAAGTATCCAAAATATTTATTTGATACATCTGCTATTAATGTTTTATTTTGGGATGCTACTGATAACAAAAAAAATGAAGAATAAAATAAAAGTGAAATTGAGTCTTTTTAAAGTTACTTTTAATCTCAACTCAATATGAGTACTCCATCTTATATTGAATTATAGGGAGGTAGTAGTTAATAAGTGAAAGAGCCTTTAAAACATATATGTTCTCATGAAAAGAGTAGTTAAAGTAAGATAGGGAAAGAGAATTATGAACCAATATTAAAAAGAAATTTGAGTATGGAAGTATCTGATGAATTAAATTTTCGTAGTTATTTTAGATGAATAATAATTATTAATAATTATTAATAATTAATATACTATATAAATTAAAATGAGTGATGAATTTCCTGTACCTAAACCTAAATAAAGAATGGAAAGTAATGTATTACCTGAAGAGGAATACTTAAGAAGATTAGAAATTATAATCAAAAGAGACTATTATCCTGAATTATATAAACTAGATAAAATGAAAAATGAGGATGGGTAGTATTTTTAAATAATCAGAAATTAGAAATCCAGATGAAAATATGTCATTAAGTCAATTTTTAAGTAACTATACTTCAGATGAAAATGTTACCTTAAATGAAATTATTAAAAAGGGTGATGATTAATGGTATTAGAAACATGCATGGATGTTTTAAGTTGAAGAATAACATAAATTAAAATAAGCAGCACTTTAATCTGATAAATTATAGCATATGATAGAAGGAAACAGAGAAAATAACATTCAATTAAATGAATATAAGGCTTTGAATCCATTATTTTTTAGAATGGATCCTAAAAATGAAAGGTAAGAATATAATCTATTTAGACTATAACCAGCAATCTAAGAACTCAAAGAAACAGATAATTCTTTGAATTTATAAAAAGTGGAAATATAAAATACAAGATTTTCTGATCATCATATACCTTTGGAATTTGCAATGAATTAAATAGACTAGAAACTTCAAAAGAGAAAACTTTAAGAATGTTTAAATGCATAGGGAGTAAATGTTTTCTATGGAAGTACTCCAAATTTAGTTGGAGCCTAAAGGTTTGAAGATGATGATATGCTTGGTCTCTTTTCACCTGCTCCCTAAAATATGAAAACTCCCTTGATGACTTGGGGAGAATTGGGTGAAACTCCAGTCTAATTAGATAGATCATATATGATTCCTCCTAGTTCTTAAAGAGATAAAGTTGGTTCAAATCTAACATAATAATTAAATGTAAAGAAAAGGAATGAATAAAAATAATAAGAAGAGTAAAAATATTAACTAAAATTTTAGATGGCTAAAAAGAAGGTTGAGTTCAATTACTCCTTATAGAGTTGGCAGTTCAATATCTTCTAGAGTTAGTTCAGAATTGATTAAGAACTTCCTTGATAGAAGAGGTTCCACCAATCATTTTACTCCTTTGGGTCCTAAGAGCAAGAATATTAAAAAGTAATAATGAAAAATATATATATATATATATGGTTTACCTTTTATAAACTAAAATTTAATTTGATTTAAATAAATATAAAATATTATTTTACAATAACATATTCAACAAATATATCTATAATCAAAGTTAATAACCTAGAATTCCAAAGTATTCTTTAATTATAAATTCTTTATCAGAATATTTTATGATTAATTAAGTAGCTACCTTACTCATGAAATCATTAAAATCTTCAATGTCAATTTAAGGTTTGAAATACAACTTCTTTAAGGAATTGATATCAGATTCATTTAAGAAATATCCAATTATATCAACAAATAAGTCAATTGCTGTAGGCGAATCAGCCAGATCATATACTTTGTCTTCATTCAAGGCCTAAATTTTTATTATTAATTTACCTTTTAAGTAGCCTTTTTGACAATTTCTTCTTTAGCTTCTATTTTACTTAACAATTCAAAAACCATTTGAGCTCTTTCAATATTTTATTTCATTAATTTATCTATATAATAAATTAATTTTATTACATGAGAGAAGAGATTCGAAAAATACTTCAAAGAATTTTTAAATAGCTTCATCTGAAACACCAATTCTTTTCAATTCTTCTAAAAGTTTAGTTTCTTATTATTATGGTTCCATATTGAAAGTTCCTTAAACAAAGATTGCCAATTCATTTTAATCAAATAATTATTATTGTTATTGAACAGATGTTGTAGTTGATGATGAACTTGAATTTTTTTCAACATAAAGCACTTATTAAGCTTAATACTTTTTGTTCTTGTTCTTACTTTGATTATAATTTTATTCAATTATTTCTTTTTCTTATTCTTATTAAATGATTTTAGCACTCTAAGCTTAATCTTATCTACTATAATGATCTTTCCAACCTTAATTTCTTCTTTCTTAAACATTTTCTATCAACATAGAAATTCTTTAAGAAAGTTTATACTTACAAATAAATATATTAAATCTATTAATATTAATTAAATTTAATACATTTCCATTATAATTTCAATAGAAAGATTTTTTTCAAGTGTTTTTTATAAGAATCCTTTTGCTTCTTCTAGATTTTTTGTTGTACCATCAAAGAAATTTTTGAGTTCTTTCCTTAAAATATCTAAATCAGTAGTGTTCTAAGTCTTGTATGATCCACCAACTAAAAATGTTTATACATATATTATTACTTTGGTCTAATAATTCAATCAAACCCTCAATGGATTCTTCACTATTTTCTGTATTTGGTTAATATTAAGATACAAAATCAGAAATTAATTCTCTTATTGCATATTCTACAGCTAAGATTGGTAGTACTTTTGATAAAAATAAGTCTCCAATAAAACGTACATCTTAAATATTTATTAATATTATATACTTCCCATAATTTTTGACTTTCTTATTAAATGATATTATTCTCTTTCTTCTGGTTTCATATGAGATAGATCTTCTTTCTTATTCTTTCTTTCATCAAATACTTATTGAACTTAATTTAATAGTTGATTTTTAAATAGAGAGATACTCTTAGCCTTACCATCCTATTTTTCTTTTTAAATAGTAAGTTAAGGTTCTTTTATTAAGAGTTAACAAAGTTTTGTATATAGTTTTCTATATTTTGGTTCTGTTTAAGACTTTTCAATGATTTTTTATGCCAAATACTCCAAATAAGGTGAATCATTTTCGTTTTTACTATTATTTAATATAAAAATAAAATTACTTTTCTATTACAAGTTTGATTATATTCTAAGAAGTCATATCAAAATTGTCTGGTGCCAATTAATTTAATCTGTATCTAATTTCCTTAAAAATAATCTCCCTTTATTCAGGTGTTTAATTTAAAGTTTAAAAGAAGTCTTCAGCTTAAGATTTCATTTTATCTTTTAATTATTTAGTTTAGATATCTTCAACAACTCTAACTATGATAATCTTTGGTTGAGTTTCAGTTGCTGATTAGATTTGTGCTCTATCAAATGGTTGTACTGTAACAGTTGGTTTATTAGAATTTCTTTATTAATTTTAATTTGGTGTCTTTGTATAAGTATTACTCTTTCCTTCTTTTCTTGGTTAATTTTTAATTTATATTTCTTTAATATTAAAGTGCTTTCTTTCCTATAATATTTTCCATTCATCTTAATTAAAATACTCATTGAAATCCTAAATGATAATTTTTTAAATTACATTGATAGCCTCTACTAGTTTCTTAAGATCTTCTTTAGAATAAGGTTTTGGTTTTTTAAGCTCTAGTAATCTTTGTTATTCTTCTTCATTTTTTTTTCTTTCATCTTCTAATTTTTTTTATTCTACTAATTTTCTTTGATCTTCATCAGCCTATATTATTAATTTAATGAAAATACTTTCTTTTCTACATTTTGATCTAAAATAAAACTTTATTGAACGGTACTTTTTAAAACTAATTTTTTTTTTGGCTTTTAAACAATTTATTGTGGCTATTATCCATTAATTTTATTATCTGTAGTTGAATTGTTTTAGATTAGATTATGATTACCATTTAAAGATAAAGAATTTATAGTATTTCCTTATTTATATATACCTGGTTGATTTTATGTATTAGGGACATATATTTAAGAGTATGGATTTTAATCATTTTATATTGTTGTTGGAATATAATTTTATCCATATTATTGACGAATTTGAGGCTCAAAAGGAGTACTCAACTTTAATTCTCTTTTAATTATAGGATTTTGAAACATATTTAAATTGTTAATGATATTTTCTTAAATTATTCAAATTTATTCTTTAATAATAATTTTTTTTTTTAGTTGTTTTATCAGAAATGATATAAGTAAGTTTAAATCAATTCAAATAATAAATTATATTGAATGCCATTAATAAACATATTAATTTTGAATTTTGTAAATGAAATATTTGTAATAAATTCAATAGTTGTTAAATAAATATTATACTATAAAATTAATTAAAGATGAATTAAAAATCACACTCTTTAATTTTATTAATTTATATTTATTAATCCATTTTTGTTTGACAAGAATTAAATATTTCTCATATTGTTGTTCATATTACAATGATCATTTTCTATATTTTCATCTTTTAATTTCATTACTTAAATGATGTAAAATTATAATGAAAACACACATATTTCAATATTGAAATTATCACTTCAAGTAATTAATATTCTTAAGTAAATAAAAGAAGTAGTTAATTCATTTAAATATAATATTGAAAATTTCAAGAATCAGAAAATAATATTCAAATATTTATAAAAACATTAAAAAAGTATTTGAATTATATTAAGATTCATAATAATCATAATAATCATAATAAACATATAAATATATTATTTAATATTAGTAGATGATTATAGACTTATTAAATGATTAACAATTATATATATAATAATATGTATTCAAAATATATTATAATTCCGACAAAATTTTTAATGCAAAAATTAAACTTAGACAATATAGAATATCTTGGATATTATTATAAAATGATGAGTACATATTTATATAGTTTAAATAGTCGTATGTTAGATGTTCAAGCATCTTAGGGATATTAGTCAAATTATATAATTTAAAGCCCAGAGAATTGAGGTACACAGGATTTTCTTCTCTACCTTGGACTCTTTGGACTTGTATTTAATGCAGGCTCTTTGGGAATATTAATAATAGTTCCTATCTTTTAAGCACTAAATTCTTTTTAGTAATTCTGAAATATCCATTAATCTATGGTTTCAACTGTTAAACTGTGCATAACTTTAGCAACAAGATAAATTATTAACACAATCGAAATTACTCCCAATAAAGTAATAGCTGCTGCTAAACCAACATTTTAAAAGCCAACTAATACTCCCAATATTGCAGCCCCAGCTATCTATAATAAAATTATAAAGATTAGTATAAGCCAACATGCTTTTTAATGCTTAGGTACCTCTTAAATTATTGATGAATGAACTTCTTCTTAAAAGTGAACCTTCATAGATATCTTATGTTAGCAAACTTCACATTTAATCTGATACATTATTATCATAAATTGCTTACATCATTTTTATAAACCTTTTCAACACCATTCTTTAAAAGAATCCAATTTTTAAAGCATTCTTCATGTACATATTTTGCTGTACCACTACACATACATGGATATATGAATCTTGATGTTTCTTCTTCCATTGAACAAATACGACATTACTCTAAAACAAGTATTTTAATTTTCATACTTCCTTTTTTTGACCTAGCCAATTAGATTGGATCCATTTCATTAACATATATATTACACCATACCATCTTCTTTCTTTCATTATCCTAATTTGTGAATTAGTAATAACAGTTACTTTCATTTTATAAGTTTTCTTTATTCCTTTTTTATAAACATCTCTTCTAGGTGAAGGATTGAGACTTTAAAGAGTTGGAGGAAGACATTCTTCAGGAATTAATTATTAAGATTGGTTTAACTTCGAGAATTTTTGAGGTGGTGATTAACCAACTGTTCTAGCATCAGAAATATTCATTTATACCTATATATTATTATTTTAAATTCTCTATACTAACTACATATGAATTTATTTATTATAATCTGCTAAAATCTTAATTTAATTTAATGATAATGGAATATTGCACATTGTATACATAATTTCCAAAATGTAAATGTGTACTCTAAATCAAGATACGACAAATCAATATCCATAATAACATCATATATAATCTTAATCCAAATTTATTTCTTCATTATTCAATCTTTTTAGATGTGTATATTTTTTAAAATGCATCTAATTATAATTTTTGTTTAAATATCTCAAATTAATATAAAATTAATAATTTTTTTCCTGATTACTAGATTAATATAGATTCTACATTTCTATCAGAAATCAATAGGAATTTTTATTATTATAATATTTATTTTGGCCTTGCATAATTAAATATCTTTAATTAACAATATCCTCAATAATAATTAATCACATTACAAATCCAAAAATTAAGTAAAAATTAAAGTCAAAATCACTAAAAATATTCAAAATATTACTTAAAAATATGTTTAAATTAAAAATGGTTGATTTAATATGTAATCATATTATATAAATATTTAAATATCCAAAAAATGTTTATACTTTTAAAACCTTAAATTGAATTTATGTCAGTTGACAATTGAATATATATTATTTAATTCATATATTATTAAAATAATAATGTAATTAAACTTTAATGATTCATAGATGCATAAAAGTCCTGATTAAGTATCTATAATTAGTTGATTAGTTAAGAAGGGAAAAATTAGATATCAAAATAAAGACAATTAAAGCAGATTTAGCTCCTGGAGTTGTCAAATATATGATGAAGACCAAGAATGATGAAAAATTACAAACTCCTTTACATAAAGTTGAATATCATCATCCTTACTCTAAACCATAACTTAGTTACTTAAGAAATTTGTAAAAGATAGACCCAGAACCTCCAGTATAATTAGATGAGATAAGAGAAGAAAAATGGAGCATTTTATCAAAAAATTGTAGGAACATTTTAGAGAAATCTAGAATTAGTTTGGGTAAACCAAATGAATCTCAATATTTAAGACAATCTTCTATTGAATTATTTACTAGTCCATAAAAATAAAAAAAAAATAATAATAAATTTTTAACTCGAAGATAATCTATAGATTAAAGAATTGAGGATATTAAATCTCCATTATAATCTCCTTTAGATTCTTCACCAAAAACAATAGGAATTAAAATTGATCCTTTTTATATTAGATTCAAAAAATACTATAAAAAAATTGGTATTCCTTAAGATGTATAGACTAATCCTCAATAGAACAAACTTCACAAAAATTCTTATTCTTAAGATAAGATGTATAAAATCAACTCTCCATAAAGATAAAATTAAAGTTTTATTTAGTTTCCATAAGTTTAATTGTCTCCATATTAGAAATCTGGAATTAAAAACAAAAAAAGTTAATAATAATATTTGTAAGATATTTTGGCTTTGTGTAATATGGCTTAACATTTTTAGGCAGAAATAAAAAAAGATGAAACTGAAAATTATAATGAATTAAATCAAAAAGTAGAATTCATCAAATCTGAATTCAATAAATATCATAATATGATAAATAATGATTAAGATTCAAATGATAATCTTGATATTAAATGATACATAATATTAACCAACATAATTATTAGATCATTCTAATTCTTACATCATGTCTTAACGTATTTACACTTCCATATTTTATTTATTTTTATCTTATAATTTGAAGATTTTTTCAATCACAGTGATTTCTGTAGATGTTGTATCCAAACCTATAAAATTTAAATTCAATATATACCACAAAATGCAGCAACATCATTAACAACAAGACCAGATGCTATGATATCACTACCTCTGTTTACAGTACCAGCACATAATGGTATTTATAATAGATTAGCTAATTCATCTAATTCTTCTACTGTTGTCAAAGGATGTACTAATCCTCCTTAATTATTAAAGCAACAATAAGTTCCAACTAATACTTATTATGCTACAGTAGTTCTAAAAACTTCAACTCCCAAAGTATCTGCAATGATTTCCTCTGTCTCTTTATCTAAATCTGAATGTATCAAAGCCACATAATCATTACAAGCCACACAATTTCCTAATGCAGATAATTTCTCTTCAACTCTTTTAACCTATAATATTAATTTACATATTTACTTTAACTTCATCTGGTAATGAATTTCTAATTTATTTTAATTCTTAGTCAGTACATGTATTTGGTACTAATAATCCATTTTTATTTCCTGTTTTTATTTAATAAATATTATATACCTGCTGTCAATCTACCGATAATTCTTGTACCTCCAATTGAACAATGAATGACTGGCATACTTAATCCAAGTTCAGATTCAAACACAGAATAGAAATTTTCACTTCCTCCAAGTGCAACAAGACAATATGCATTTGTAAGTTTAGAAAAAACTCCAATATCGTTGGAGTTTTCAAATTAACATCTATTTGCCATGAATGAGTTTTATAAAAATTCTTTATTAAATTAATAATCCAAAAATGACAACTAATTATTTCTTTTTATAATAATTTTCTTATTAAAATACTTGAATGATTAATTCAAATATACCATTCAATTCATATTATTATATCTAATAATTGATTTAAATAATTTATAAGAAAGAAATCAAAATTATACTTCAAATAAACTATAATGATCTAAAAATGAAATCATTATAATAATCTATTGATTATTTCTATTTTAAAGTAAAATATATTGGTTATAGACAATAAATTTAGTAGAGAGTTTAAATGATAAAAAATTCTATAGAAAAAAAATCAGAATAAATATTTGAAACCTCCATTTTTACTAATAATGAAAATTTTAAAATGATGTCAGATATAATTATGAAAAGTTATTAGTAAAATTGTAAGATTATTGGGTTATTAATTAATTTTTTTACTATTATATTTAAAATAGAGAATAGAAATACTCAGTATACCAGTGCTATAAATATTCCAAGATTAGTTATATTTTTTATTAATATTAATATGGTGAACTAATGCACTTAAGATAATAAAAAGAAAAGAAAGCCTTGGGTGATCTAAGTAATTTCAAAAAATTATTAGAAGGAAGACAAGCTTTTAAAAAAATTAGTCAAAAAATTCCAAAATGAAAGACTTGCATGGAAGACAATTTCTTAAAATTTAAAAAAGCATGGTTTTAATCGTGATACAAAGGCATGTAGAGAAAGATTTTCGAATCATCTTGATAAAAACTTTAATAAAGCTGATTTGACAGATAAAGAAATAGATTAACTTTTTGATTTAATTGAACTTCATGGCAATAAATGGGTATCCATATGAATATCATTATAGACACATATAGCTGAATAATTAAATAATAGAACTGATTAAGACATTAAGAATAAATTTTATGCTCATGTTAAGAAGATCATTCGTAGATTAATTAAAGCTGCTTATTAAACAACAGAAAGTATTTAATTTGATTAAAGAAGGCTCCTTAATAATTGCAAGAATATAACCTCTCTTAATTTCTAGTATATATTGTCATGATGAAGAAGATAATGATAAAATATTAAAAATTGATGAATAAATAAAGGTTCTCTTTAAATAGTTAATTCGAAACAATAAAAAGATTGAAGTTGGAGTTTAAATTGATGAATAAACAATAGGTTAAGTGAAAATAGTTATGAATTACCTTGGTGAACAAAAGTACATTTATATTATAAATTTAGTGATATTTACTTAAAAAAAAAAATTTGTAAATAGGAATAGAAAATTTTACTTAAAAAATTGTAATAAAAGAGATCACTTAAATTATAATAAGGATTAAATAGATAATCAAAAATTATCGATAAGATTTTAAATAAAAAACCTATTTTTACAACTAAGAATATCAAAATAGAAAATTTTATGGTGTTTAATACTCCTGGATAAATAGATCAAATATCTATACCTTTTTAAGAACATAAATCAATAGAAAATATGTATTAATTTTAACCATACATTAATCCTTTAATTTCTACTGCTTCCTTTATTTGGAGTCAATCTTAAAATATATTTTCAATTGATCCAATTATATCTAATGTATAGATACTCAGTATTTATAGAATTTCTTATTTGGATTTTAAGGCAATTAAAATTAGTATAGAATGTGGTCTGAAAAATATCGAGTCACTCCTGATTGATAAAACATAAATATCTATATAATTATGCTTTTTTTAATATCTATTTAGAATGTCTATCATTCTTTTATACACAAATTAAAAAAAAAGTCAATTATAAAAAAAATTGAAACGTTTATCATTCATAGCCATTTATGGACTTTTGAAAGAGTGAAAACTCTTTTCACTTGGAATGAAACTAGGATGAACAGTCAATTAATGAGGATTTTTTTTCTATGATAATCCTCTACTTGATTCAAAACTATAAGAGGATTGTCTTTCTTTTGATAAAGTAGGATGTCTTTCTTTTGAATGTGTTGTAGTATGTCTATCATTTTTAGTTAATATTTTTTCCACTTTGAAAAACTAAGGCTCTCTAGATTTAGCTTAGGCATTAGTAGTAGTAAAGTAGGATGGTTTTGGAATAATAGCCTATTAATAGAATATGATTATACTTTATTAGTGTTAGGTTTGGAATAATTTTTTAGATGTGAGAAATCAAAGTAATATTACTATTTAATTTAACTAGTAGGAGTAATGAAAGACATATTTTTAGTAATTGTATTAAGATCTTCAATTAAATCTTCAGGTAATTTATGTCTCTTTTTTATATCATCCTTTTCATTACTTTAATCATTTTTCTTAAACCATGGATAATTGAGTAATTCAATTACAGTAGGTCGTTCATCAGGATCAGTTGTTAGCATTCCATAGAGTAATGCAATAGCTTCTTTAGAGATATCATGAATGATTGTAAATTCTCCTGATTAAATTTTAGAATAAAGTTCAGCATCAGTTTCTCCTTTGAAAGGAAAGACACCTTGTAACATAGTGAATAGGACAACTCCTAAGGCCCAAACATCTGATTTATCTCCTCGATATTCTTATCTAGTAACTATTTCTGGAGCCATATAACTAGGAGTACCACAGAACATTTTGACTTTCTTATCTATAGGAAAGGAAGTGGAAAAGCCAAAATCTATTAATTTTGGTGTTTAGCCTTCTAATAAAATGTTTTCTAATTTGAGATCTCTATGAGCTATATTTTTGGAATGACAATATTAAACAGCATCAAGTATTTATTTAAATATAGTTTTAGCAGTGTCTTCATCTAGTCTACGTTCCTAATTATATTATTATATAGGTTATACTTATTATTTTCGAACAAAATGATGTAGTGAACTTCCACTCACATATTCTATAATAATATTAACATGATTATTGGATTCCAAAGTGTCAATAATCTTTACAATATTTGGATGATCCAATTTTTCAAGAATTTCTATTTCTCTACGTACTCCTTTACGACGCTATAAATAGCGTATTTTAGATTTCTCATAGATTTTTATAGCCACTTTAGTACCAGTTTCAATTTAAATAGCCACTCTAACAGAAGCATAAGCACCTTGACCAATACGACTACCAACTTTATATTGAGCTTTAAATATTTCAGTTTTATTGATATCATCATCTGGTTAATTAGTAAGAAACTTAACTCTATCACAGATATTCTGTTATTTGAAATCGAATTTAAAGTATTCAACATTATCACGTTTTTCAACTTTACAAATTTTAGATTATAAAATTTAACTGATGGCATCAAGATTTCTGAGTTGTTAATTCTTTAGGTTCATCAGTAAATCTTATTATAAAGGAGGTCTTGATTTGTATGAATATTGATTGCCTATGCATTTTTCATTCTCTTTCTGATTTAGACTATTCGCCGCTGCTCTATGCTTCATTGGAATTTAAAATAATTAACAGTCTCAATATTATTATATAATGAATAGATATACCACATTGACGATAATCGTAACTGGTTGTGTTTTCCTCCTAGTAACCCTTGTTAGTCTAGAGTAGACTCCTAGTTTCCTTACATATCGACCAAAGGAATATGATGTGACGTATAGATTTGAAGCACTCTAGTCTTATAACCCAGATTGACAATTGTGATTAAACAGTGTTCCTTGAAGTATTTATATTACTTTATATTAGGGTCTTTGCCAAGGAGGTAATTGGGCTCACATATTTACATAAACCCTATACTTGAGTAATTGTCTTAGATCGTCATCCAAATAACCTCGTCTTTCAGCAGAAGAATTGTTATAATGTACAAAGTGGGATGAAGATAAATGTTCTGCTACACCAAAATCTATGAAAATTGTTAATAGTATTAAGAAGTATCACTAAAATAAACAAACTAAAATAGTTTTTTGATAGAGAATGGTCTTAGTACTAATAAATGTCTTTCATATAAGTAAACAGTCAATTTCAACTTAAAAAATAAATGTCCAATTAGATGTGATGATTTGAGTTTCAAGAAATCAGAATTAAGAGCTAAAGATCTCTTGGAACTTACATCAACATAAGACATACAAGATCATATTATAAATAAAGGTCCTGTTGTAATGGCATTGAAATGTAATAATAATTATCTTTTATAATAATAGATGGTTCAAGTTTGAATGAATATTCAAGTGGACTTTATACTATAAAAAATGATGATTAAGATTTCGGCATAAGATTTCTTATGATTGTAGGTTGGCATACAGAAATAGATGGTAAAATAACATGGAAATCATTGAATTCTTTTGGCACTTAATATGGAGTAGATGGTAGAGTCAATGTAGGAGAGAAGAACCAATATATATTGGGATACTTTGGATTTGATGTCTGAATTAATAAATTATGAAATAATTAAATAATAAATACAAACAATAACTCTTACCCTTAAAATTAACAAATCATATCACTCCATAATTTAAGTTGAATCCATATTAAAATTCATTATCACCTATAACACTAAGAAAACCACTCTTTAGTTTACATGAAAAAGCTTCAGCTAGATCAATCAAAAAATAGTAACATCATTCTCCTCCTATTACACAGAAAAACACTTTATAGATAGAAAAATATGGTTTGGATTCTAATTTTGAATATATTCTTAAATTTGCAGTCAGAACAAGATAAGGAATTTAAATTGGGAATCCAAATAAATAGAATTAAGATTCCTTTATAATATTTCCTAACATAGCTAATAAATCATATATGCATTTTTTTTTCATTTGTGATGGTCATGGAATAAATGGACATCATATCTCAAATTTCCTTAAATAATAATTCCCAATTTATATCACTAAATTCAAGAATCAATTAGAAATCAAGTATATATATATTAAACATAACTTAAATTAGTCCTTATGCTACAATATACACAATATTTGCTTAAGTAATTAAAGCTTTAGATTAATCATCTATTGATCAATAATATTCTGGATCTACTGTTGTTGGTTTATTCATGTTACATAATAAAGTATATTAATAATTTAATAAAGATTTATTGTCCAAATTTAGGTGATTCAAGAGCAGTTATGTTATGTAGAACAAATAAATGGTTTCTTAAGAATCTATCACGAGATCATAAACCAGATTGTTAAGATGAATGTGAACGTATAATAAATCATGGTGGCAGAATTGATCCTTATAAAGATTAAAATGGTTAAGCATATGGACCATTAAGAGTATGGAATAATGCAAATGTACCAGGATTGGCTATGACAAGATCTATAGGTGATTAAGTGGCTAAAACAGTTGGAGTCATTGATAAACCAGAAATCTTCAATTTTATTCTAGAAAAAATGGATAGAGTTATCCTATTAGGATCTGATGGAGTGTTTGAATTTCTTTCTTAATAAGACATTTTAGATTCTGTTACTCCTTATGTTGATAGAATGGATGTTGAAACAGCTTGTAATCACTTATTAGAAATGGCTCATGTAAGTTGGGTACAAAGAGGAAATAAAGTGATTGATGATATTACTTTTATATTGATATTTATGTAATATTGAATGAGTTTAGTTTAAAATATATTAAATGTAATAATTTTGTTTTCCAATATCTGAAAATATACTTATACCTTCTATCATTTTTATTGCTCTTATTACTCTAATATCTATAAGATGTCTTATATAAATTTATAACTAAAGGAAATGGAATCCTATTTAAGAATTATCACCATTATTGACAATATTTCAAGGATTATCACTTTATCTATTTATACTCATAACCTTATTTGTAATATTATATGATGATAGTCAGAGTAATTTTCATACCATTAAAATTTTGATGATCTTTTAAAACTTTTTTAGAGGACTCTTTGTATATATAACAGTATTAAAATCATTAAGAGTGGCTCTAGCATTTCATGTAAATTTCAAGTCATCTTTCTTCTTAAAATATTTATGTACAAAACTACTTAGAGATTAGTTTCGTATTTTAATTATAGCAGTTTTCATAACCTCTGCATTTTGGTCAGGAATTTATTATATTGTAAAACTTTATAATAATAATGTAACTCATATTTACTAAGACTATATTAGTGATCTCATTCAATATGAAGAAATAAATATAGTAGAAGCAATTAATAATACATTAGAAGTAACATTATGCATGTTGATTATATATTGGAATTCCAAAATTTATATACCATAATTTGATACACTACAAAAATTTGTCAATAAACCATTAATTCTTTATGCTATATGGTTATACATTAATACTTTTATCAGTTATTTTATAAATGAAAAAGATTGTAAAATTTACAGTGGATCTACTAGTTTTTCACTTCCTTTAATCATAATGCTTATATCATAAATATTAAGAAGCATAGTAGAATTTTATTTAATTATATATGTACCCATATAATAAAGTACATTAATTAGATTACCATTAATACCATCTATTATTTTAGATAATTTTCAATTATTTATGAGAATTCCACTTTGTAGTACTATATTTTATAAATACTTATAAAAATTATCATAGAATAACATTATTAATTCTAAAGAGAAATGTATGGAATACTAAGATAATTTATAGGTACTTAAGGTATGGATGGTTTATTAAATGAAATTAGAAAATGGAATTGGAGATGATCATTTCACACTTTTAATGAATTTGGACAAATAATAGAATGAAACTTAATTTGATTTTAATTATTAACCATAAATATAAGTTAGATTAGAAAAGCATTTGATGTAATTGTTTGAAGAGTATAAGAATACATAATCATATTTTAAATTGAAGAAATTATTTCATTGTCTTGATAATGCTACTAAGAATTTTTATGAAATGAATATAATCTAAAATTTTTTAAACTGAATTATTAAAAAGTTAAATCAATAATTTGAATATATTAAATAAACTATTATTAAATTTAGTATAGATCTAATATAATATCATCTTTCTAATAAATAATGCTTATAACAAAAGAAAATGAAAAAAATATTGAGAATTTAATCATCTTGAGAGTCGCTTCTACAAATAAAATATATTAAATTTATAAATACTATTAATTAATATAGACAACATCAGTGTAATATTTTTTAAGTTTTATTCATATATATATAATATAACCATATCATTTTAATTAGAAATTAATTGATGATCATTTAATATAAAGTTGTTTTATTGTACATTTCAATTAACCCAGTTATTATGATTTAATAGGTAATTAATATAATAATGAAAAAAACTTAGGGAAATGGCTTTAGAGTGACTAATAGCTCATCAAAAATAAAAAAGGCAGGAGAGATATTAGCATCCTTATAGAATAGTATCAAGTGTAAGTCTTATACTCCGTAACACAGAACAATAAAATAAATGACTCACTATCCTTTAAGGACTTAAGTTAATTAAAATACAAATCCTCTTGTTTAAGCTCGAAATGTATTTAATCGTTAGACCAGTATAAATTGTTAATAAAGACCTTCATTATTATCAGTGATTACTTCAGAGAGTAACGTAAGTGCTGATGAGGAATATGAAATTTGGGATAATAATTAAGATTTGCGAATAAAGAAAATGACAATGGAAGAATCTAAACCTTCTGTTGGATAATTTTTATAATTATACAAAGCGAGATTTGGGTATGATATATAGAAAATAAAAGAGGTTTCCCAGGACAATAATAATCAATAAAAAATGAAGAAGTAATCAAAGTCGCTGTTGGATACGCTTCAAGTAATAAATAACTTTTTAAAAAATACTTCCCTAAGAAATAAATAGTATTTGAAGATGACATAGATTATTCACAACCATATAATATAGAGGATGATCATCATTTTTAGAGTTTCAATAGTTTTTTTTAAAATAAGAAGTCCAATACAATTCTTAAAATTAATTCCTCACGTATTTGAATTATATTATACTTATATATATATTTCAAACTTTGTCAATTAGACTTTATATTTGTTCTGGTGTTCTTTATGTATATCTTTTTTCTACAGTTGTAATTACAGCCAATTCAACATTTGTATTATTAATCTAAGATATAATAAAATATATATAATTACTTTTTCTTCCATAACATTTTTAAGACATAAAATAGCCAATCTTTCAGCTTACTCTAAGGTCAAATCCTACCTTAATTAATTATCTTTACTTATTTATATTATTCTTTAAGTATGCTTTGAATTCCTTCATCTGCTGCACCTATTCCTTTAGCTTAATATTCAATCATTGTTCCAGTTGGATCTATAATGATTTAATATAATACCAGTTTAATAAATTTATGGACCATGATCTGATACACCAGCAATTAATAATGCTACTCCATAAGGTCTAGACATTTTTGTTTTATTTTTGGAATCACTCTCTCCAAAATCAAGAGCCAAATCACATACAATTTATGTAAGTGCTCTTACATTAATAGGTTCACCATAATTGAATTTATGATTTTGAGATTCTACTCTTGCATGTTCAACTAAAGTTCTGGCATCAGGAATGAAACCAGAAGCAGTACATGCAATATGTGTATCAATTTCATATATCTTTTCAATACTCTTAGGCTCTAAAAGAGTTGAATTCAATTTTCTTTCTCCTGCCAATACTACTCCTTCATTTACTTTTATAGCCAAAGCACTTGCTCCTAATTTTATTGCTTATAATGCATATTCAACTTAGAATAGACGACCTTCTGGTGAAAATGTATTCACTCCTCTATCATAATCTGTTCTAATGAAATTAATACACTTATGTACTTATTTTGAAACATTAATCCCAATCTCAATTATTTATTTAATATAATTATAATCATTATATAAATATGGACTATTTGTATCATAATCTCTCACTCATATTTTGGTTAATCTTTTAAGTTATTATTATCCTTTCCAATCAAATTTTGTTATTCAATATAATTTCATATGTCTGATTCCTAAAAAATAGTTGGCATTGTATTTTCTAAATTAGAAAGCAAACGTTCTCATCCCACTTATATAGTTGAAACCAAGGCTGGCAATCTCATTTATAGATAAGCTGTTAATCTACCCTCTGAATAAATTGAAAAATTTAACCTTATTTTTAGTAAGCAAATTGCAGATAAATTATATCCCTCTTAAGATAAAAGACTCTTTTATAAAGGTACTGAATTAGATATCCCTGATGTTGAATTTGATGATGAAAATGATCAAGAGGATTCCAAATCTACTAAATAATAATGTAATTGTTTATCAAAATAAACATCAAAATCACCAAATGTTTAATCATTATAACAACCATTACAACTTCCTTCTAAATCAACTATTAAATTATCCTCCAATACTATATTAACATATGATAAAATTGATGAAGAATTTAAACAAGCTAGTAGAATTGATTGTAATCTTATTAAAGACATTAAAAATTGGGAACAAGCTAAAATTAGTAAGAAAAAATAAGTAATGCTTTGTATTTCCAATAATTGCTTTGTAAAATTAGCTGATTTAAGATTTAAGAATCCATCATTGGTCCTTGATTTTGTTTTGAATAACTGCATACTCGTTAAATGAATAACTATTAATCATTTTTATAATATGAAAAAGAAATTAAATATTCCTCTTAGAAACATTTAGCCTGACACGTATCTCTGAATCTTAATTAATAGAGTACCATTTTCTGAGGGAGATGGCTTAAAGTATTGGAAGAGCTTTCGTCATGCCATCACAACCATAAGGTTACTACAAAATCCAAAAACGAAGAGATTGAACTCTCCAGTAATTTATTTATTTTAATCTAAGGATGAACTAACAATAAGTGGATACAAACCAGATGTTCAATCAAAACAAAGATCAGAAAGCAGTCGTAACTTTAATGAAGCTTTAAAAAATATTCAAATGTAATAAGTTCTTTTTACATTCATTGAAAAAGGATATCCACCTAACAGAATAGAAGAAATATTAAATAAAGATCCAAAAAAGTATACATCTAATTAATTTATCAAGATATTTCTATGATTAAAAGAGTGAATACAGTTTAGTTAATAAAAAAAATTAGAAAGGCTTAACACCATTATATGTAGCTGCTAAATAGGGTCATCTAGAAATATGTCAAATTTTAATTGAAAAAGGAGCCAACCCATAAATATCTGTAACAATCAATGGCATAGAAGAAACTCCATTAGAAGTTGCTTAGAGATGGAGACATTTAAAAATTGTTCACTTTTTATAACAATATAATTGATATTAATATCGTTTTAATAATATTAACTTCCGTTAAATCAAATTTAATTATTAATTTAATACAATCTTTAAAGACTCAAATGATAAATGTAATCGATAGTAAATCTAAATATCATTCTGTAATTAAATGAATAGATTAAATTAATTCTGCATTATATTAATAAATAACACAATATTAAATTTGATATCTCATAACAAAATTAATTAATTTTTCAAATATTAAGTAATCAATGAAAATTTTATTTAAAATCTTTTTTTAATCTAAATATTATATTTTATTATATAGTTGAAAAAAGATCCAAATAATAGATTAGATTATAATATTAAAATTTATGCTTAACAATATTTTAATAGTACTAGTATTATCAAAGGATTAAAAGATAAATTTCTATTTAACAATTGGTTTAGATTTTTCAGTCAATATCTATTTGGATTTTTGTAATAGTTTTTCACATTATGATGAATATCATAAGAATAGATGTATAATAATGATATTCTTTTTATCATTATTAATTTGAATAGTATTTTATAACTTAAACATATAGAGACTTCATTACATGAATTCCTATATATGATTTGGTAATTACATTTTAATTTTAGTAGAGGAAGTATAATTTTTAGTGCAATTTACAATTTAAAATGATAAACTGCCAATAAAATCAACGAGGTAGATCACTGAAATAATGATATCAAATAGAATTATTATAAGGGTTTGCAATTAGGAAAATTCAGCTACAATGCATTGAAAATTATTCATATGAAATTATAGAGATAGAGAATGTGAAGATAATCATTTGAAACAAAAACAGAAATGGAGGAAGATCATCTACCATAAGTATAATATCCAATTAAACCTCTAATTCCATATTGAACAATATTTAGTAATAATAAAGAAAATTTAATTGAAAAGCCATTTAATTTAGCAAAATAATACTAGTTTTAAAAATTGTATTAAATGAAAAGAAGAAGATTATCTTAAATAATAAAGATTAAATAGATTTAACCTATAATAGATTTTAGTTAATGGGAGAATTAAGATAATGTTGATTTTGATTGATAAACATAGAAATGTTATGTAACAATGTATTCATAATAATTTAGTATTAGATAGTTTTTATTCATTGACTTTAATTATTTAAGTAGTTAAGGATTGCACTTTTTAGAATTGTCTAATTCTTTTAACAAACTTTTCAGATTTTGTATTTAGAATCATATTTTACAAATCAGTGCTTCTTTTATAAAGATTATCTATATTGATTTCAAGCATAGAGTTGAATGAAGAATCTTCNAACTTCCGTTAAATCAAATTTAATTATTAATTTAATACAATCTTTAAAGACTCAAATGATAAATGTAATCGATAGTAAATCTAAATATCATTCTGTAATTAAATGAATAGATTAAATTAATTCTGCATTATATTAATAAATAACACAATATTAAATTTGATATCTCATAACAAAATTAATTAATTTTTCAAATATTAAGTAATCAATGAAAATTTTATTTAAAATCTTTTTTTAATCTAAATATTATATTTTATTATATAGTTGAAAAAAGATCCAAATAATAGATTAGATTATAATATTAAAATTTATGCTTAACAATATTTTAATAGTACTAGTATTATCAAAGGATTAAAAGATAAATTTCTATTTAACAATTGGTTTAGATTTTTCAGTCAATATCTATTTGGATTTTTGTAATAGTTTTTCACATTATGATGAATATCATAAGAATAGATGTATAATAATGATATTCTTTTTATCATTATTAATTTGAATAGTATTTTATAACTTAAACATATAGAGACTTCATTACATGAATTCCTATATATGATTTGGTAATTACATTTTAATTTTAGTAGAGGAAGTATAATTTTTAGTGCAATTTACAATTTAAAATGATAAACTGCCAATAAAATCAACGAGGTAGATCACTGAAATAATGATATCAAATAGAATTATTATAAGGGTTTGCAATTAGGAAAATTCAGCTACAATGCATTGAAAATTATTCATATGAAATTATAGAGATAGAGAATGTGAAGATAATCATTTGAAACAAAAACAGAAATGGAGGAAGATCATCTACCATAAGTATAATATCCAATTAAACCTCTAATTCCATATTGAACAATATTTAGTAATAATAAAGAAAATTTAATTGAAAAGCCATTTAATTTAGCAAAATAATACTAGTTTTAAAAATTGTATTAAATGAAAAGAAGAAGATTATCTTAAATAATAAAGATTAAATAGATTTAACCTATAATAGATTTTAGTTAATGGGAGAATTAAGATAATGTTGATTTTGATTGATAAACATAGAAATGTTATGTAACAATGTATTCATAATAATTTAGTATTAGATAGTTTTTATTCATTGACTTTAATTATTTAAGTAGTTAAGGATTGCACTTTTTAGAATTGTCTAATTCTTTTAACAAACTTTTCAGATTTTGTATTTAGAATCATATTTTACAAATCAGTGCTTCTTTTATAAAGATTATCTATATTGATTTCAAGCATAGAGTTGAATGAAGAATCTTCCTCTAAGCTTTCATCTCTAGAATTAGATTACATTTTATCAAAATTGGCTAAGTAATGTCTCTAAGTATTTTTTTGAACTCTAGCAGTTTTACATAAGAATTTAAACTTTTAATCCTTTTTCTATAATATATCTTCATTTTTAGGTTTCATGAACATATAAGCATAAAATTTTACATCTTTACTTAATGGATCTGTAATATTATATCTATTAGGTTCAAATTAATGAAATTTTTAATTACCATTCTTTAATTCTCTAACTAAATTTTTTTTAGCTTTAAGAAGTAGATTTTTTTCTTAATTTTAATTATGTTCTAGAAATTCAATTAATTTTGCATTCATTTTCTCTCTTTCCTTCTTTCTAGTTAAATGTATTGTTTATTAATCTGGTAAAGTTTTACTCCTTAAATTATGATTAGATTAATTTTAATTGTCTTCAGTGTTTAGACGTACTCTTAATGATCCTTATGGATTCTTAGAATATTTAATTTAATCAAATTCTCTAACTCCATCAGCTTTTTCTGATAATAGATTCTTTGATTTAATTTTATTAACATTCTTTTCACAAGTTTCAAATAAATGTTTAAATAATTAAACATCTCTAAGTGAATCTTTTTTATTTTTTGATTACATTCTTTATTATATCAATGTTTGAATTTTATGAAATCTTTCTTAGATTTTAATTTTTCTTTAAAGAAGATCATCTGTCTATGAATTATTTTAGATCATAGATAATCTAACAGAGGATCTTTATTTTAATTAACTTCGAAATTTATGTATATTTGAAAATAATTTTAGTTAATCCATCTTATGTGATTAACTTATGATATGATTACATTCATTTACTAAATTTAATGCTGTCTTTTAACCTTCCAAGTAGTCCCTAAAACTATGTTTTAATTATTCATTAAATAAAAATGGATTCGGTTATTATAAAGGACATTCATTTTCGAGTGGATCTCTTGCAATTCTTATTTTAGATTTTCTTGGTGAATCTTTTGATCTTTATAAATTTTCCCATAAAGATAAAGTTTCAGTAGTTTAATAAGTTGACGGAGTACTATCTAATGTTACTCTAATTTTATATTAATTGTTTTTCATAAAAATTAATATATATAAATTTTTAGTTATATTATAATTTTAAACTATCATTTCAGTGCATTAGTTATGGCCTAAGCTAATTTTACTAATTCACTCACATAACTAATATTAAATCAAATTAATTACTTTGTTCCCAATAAACTTCTACTAGCCTAAGATGATTCAATCTTATTTCTCATAGAAACTATTTCATTTAATTGTAAATTATCACTCAAATTTCTTCTCTATTATGACCTATAACTTAATTCAATAGGTCTGCTTTAATATGCTGGTGATTATTATTATCGAGAACTTTAATAATTAGTATTATTCCTACTACCTAAAGAACTATTAATCCTTGAATTTATATAATTTAAAATTACTTCTTTTATAAACCCACTGCTTTTTATGGTGAGTAAGTGATAGATTTATCAGTAATCTAATTCCTTTATTAAAATGATTAAGCCTGATTGAGTTTAGTATATGAGAAATCCCTAATTTTGGCTTATAAGTTTTCAAATGATGGTACTGTAGGTAAACTTTCTTTTCTGAGATATTTCATTTTATTACCTATAAGAATTGAATGATTTTTATGCAGAGTCTGTTTAATATTATAGAACTGGTACACATCTATCTTTAACCTAATTTCTAATTGATTTAATATCAAAATTGATATCCAAAGTTCTTTAGGGTTACTCTAACCAGGATCTTTGCATTTTTTTATTTTAACGATTAATTTATTTTATGATATTATATATTAATATAGTGTGAATAATATGTCATTTGGTACACCCTACTAATTTAAATGTTCCTTCTAATTCTTAATATACTTTCATCTCATACACTTCATCATCACTCAATTCAACTTCTAACTTAAGTATATAATAAATATTATACCCACCACATTACACCTGCTACTATTTGGAAACCAACCTTATCAACTCTAATCCAAGTAACATCAATTGATAAATGACAAATATGATGAAATTCATGTCTTGCTTAATTAATTGCTTTTTAATAATCTTCATCATTATGGAAGCTTTCTGGAGACTCCCATTTGATACCTCCATCTAATTCTTGTTTGTTATGAATTTTATTTTCAATGAAGTGTCTTTTTCCATGTGTAATAAGGATTATAGTTATTAATACTATTATTATTTTGTTATTCATTTATTTTATTATTGATTTCATTCATTTTATAAATTTAATAATCAAAATCATACTATTATATAGATTATATATATCTTATAAAGTTAAAAGCATATGAAATTATTTAAAACTATATATATATATGATATTAATTGTATTTATTATATAATAATTAAAATTGTTTGATTTTAAGAATATATAAAAGTTATCTTAAAATTAAACATAATAATTTATTAAATAACTTCACAAATAATTATATATAATATGATGCATTTATTATAGACTAGCAATTTTTTATTAAATTATGGATTTCAATATATATTGTTTTTTTTAATTCATTTGAAATTAGTGTAGTATTTAAGAGAGTGTTTAATTTAATAATGTATTAAAATTCAAATAAAATTACATGTATATCCAATTTCTAATTATCTATAATAATTTATTGTGTTATTATTTGTATAAAGATAATTTGTTTTAATAATAAATTGAATGCATTAGGAACATATTAAAATGAATATTTTGAAATAAATCAAAGTTGATACAAATGACATTTATCATGTGGATGCAGAAAAGTATTTTAAGAAATAATGCACATCCTTAGAAATAATACTTATATCTCGAATGATTACAAAAATCAATAAGAGGAATAATGAATAGTTAAGAATGATAGCAATTTCTAATGAGTTTGTTTATAATATAGATAAGAAGTCAATTAAAAGAAAGATTGCAATTAACAAAATATTTGGAGTCACAATTTCAAAAGTGAGTAAAGAATTTATTATACATGTACCTACAGAATCTGATTTATTATATAAATCATAAGAGAATAGAGATGTAATAATATTTTATTTAGCAATTGCATTGAAAATGCACAATATAGATGGAATAAAAATATATTTTATAGAAGATGAAATCTTATAACCTTATTGTATGCATCATTAAACACCTGATAAATAAAAATAAACTAGTTTACATCCCAAATGTTAAATTAATATATTACATCCTGAGAATTTCTAATTAAATTATATCAATATTATGAATAAAAGTAAAGCAAATGCAAATGAATTATTGGTATTATTTGCTAATGATCCATTAAGATTAAGAGTTAAATTAGATGAATATTAGAAATCAGTAGTCTTAGCTTAAGGATCTTTAAGTAAGATATACTTATTACATAATAAATATGAAAAATAATAACAATTCTCAGTACTTAAATGTGTTCCAATGAATTCAGTTGATATAGATCTTTTAGAGCTTTTTCTCAAGAATTATGAGAAATTGCCATTTATAGAAGAACTTGAATTGTGCTTACTTTATAATGGTAATGTAAATTTAATTTTCAAATTTGTGAAAGGAGGAGACCTATATTAACATTTAAAGGATATTAATAATTTTCCAGAATAATAAGTAAAATAAATAGTTGCATAAGTAGCAATAGCATTATCAGATCTACATGAGAGAGGAATTATATTTGGAGATTTGAAACCTGAGAATATTTTGATAGACGAAAGAGGTTATGTATATTTAACTGATTTTGGATATGGTAAATTAAGAATGTATTAGGAATATAAAAAAACATAAGCAATCAATTTTACTATTGAATATTCATCACCAGAATATATAAAAAATGGAGAACTTACTAGAATGTCTGATTGGTATAGTTTAGGCATTCTTATTTATGAATTATTGGTAGGTATAACTCCATTCTATCACAATAATTTTGAAATATCTTTGAAATTAATTCTCAAAGGTGAAATTCATTTTCCAAAAAATATAGTTTGTTCTTCATAATGTAAGGATATTATTTAAAAATTAATAAAACATGATAGTACATAGAGATTGGGATTTTTAATGGATTTTAAGGAAATATAAAGTCATCCTTGGTTTCATGATATTTCTTGGGAGGATTTAGCATAAAAGAAATATGATACTCTTGCATATATACCATAATTTAATGAAATATCTTAAATATCAGATAGATATTTTACTATGGAATAATTAAATGAAGATGAAAGAATTTGGTGATTGATTCTTTATATTAAATAAATATGTTTATTATAATAATTATATAAGTTAAAAATTTAAATTGAATGTTCAAAAATTTTATGTATGTTGAATATGGACAAGAATTATAATGTCATGAAAAACTTTATTAAAATGCATTAAAAAAGTAATAGAAATAAAAAGAAATTGATTACTAAAAATAATTATAAATGTTAATTGATAAAGTAAATGAAATTGAAGATGAACCACCTTAATAAATAACTAAAGATTTTTATGATTATTCAATGAAATGGAAAAATCTAGTAAATCAAAAACGATTTTAAGAATAATATTAAAATGAAATGAGTCTATAATAGAAATCATAATAACATTAAATATAAAAATTACCTTAAAATTATTTATCACCTATTGATGGTTGGAAATATCATGCTCAATAATATTTTGATAAAAAAGGAAGTAGATAATAAAATGAATCTAGTTTTTAACCAAGTATAAATGAAAAGTCTAAATTAATGGAATTTGATGAACCTGTTGAAGATAGATTAATTAAATATGGTTAATAAAGAGAATAGAAATATCTATTTGAAAAATAGTTTGAAAAGTTTTATGAATAAGTCCAAAATGATTAAAGACCTACAAAACCAAATGAAGAAGTATTTTCTAGATTATATAATTATGGTACATATAATGTGATTAGCAAGAACGTAAATAACCATAACCTGAAGTATATTAATTGAATATCAACAAATTACCACCTGAATTTGAAGAAAGAGTTAAAAAGCGTAGAGAACAATACTCTCTTTTTGAAAATAGATAAACTAGAGCTTAAACTGAAATAACAGATCATGAAATAAAAGTATTATCATAAAATTAGTTTGATGAATTTCTTAAACGAAATTTTTGCAATAATTTTAGAACTTAATCTTTTAAAGAAGAATCAATTGAATCATATCCATTTCAACCTGAATTGAATAAAAAATCATTAGAATTAGCATCCAAAAATACAGATACATTAATTGAAAGATAAGAGAAGTTTTTAATTAAAAAATAACAAACTTTATAATAATATTAAGAAGAATAATAATTGGAAAAATAAAGATAATTTGAAAATGAATTTAAATAGATTAATAAACCAAGTTCAAAAATAAGAGTTAACAAACCTAGTAAATCACCAATTCGTCAATAAAATGTCTATAATTTATCAACATTAATAAACAAATAAGTACCTTAATTATTTTGAATAATCAAAAATATATTATATATGTTTTCCAATATATATTAATTTATATAATAATAATAATAAATAAATGAAAAAGAGCAATAATACAGAATTAACACATCATTTTATTGAAACAAGAAATATGTTAGCATAAGCAGAAGAATAAATTAATTCAGTTGCTACTCCAATTAGTATATATTAATTAATATTTATATTAGTCAATACTAGTTAATAATTTTAAAAAACAAGTTAAATCTATTCAGGATAAAAATCTACATTATAAAAAAGTGATTTCTTTTTAAATAGATTAACTAAATAACATAAGTTTAACATTGCAATTGTTTATGGATCATTTTTCTTTTTTCTTATGGTTGTTGGATTTATAGTATTGAGAAGATTATTTTATAGAAATTTCTATTCTGATATTTCTTAAGTCATAAGACAAAATATACAAAATATTTTCTCTTCAGGTATTAATTAATAATAAGATTTATGAAGAATCATTTAATTTATGTATTTTATTATATTTATATATAAATTCATCTAAAAATGCCACCTAAAAACAATCCTATTACAATAACAATCATCAATTAACCTACAGTAAATCCTTCTTAAAATTAATTAAAGTAATTAATATCAACTCCAGATTTCTAAACCTAAATATATTATTATTTAATATTTTATAATTCTTTTTGTAATGTTTATGATTTAACCTATAATTCAGCTAAGATAGCTTCTTTTTATTATTATTATACATCTAAAACTTCAATAGTAATAATGACATGATCTAAACTTTTTCTAGATTTCCAAAAATCTTTCAAATCTTATAAAGGATCTATAAATTCTGCATATTAAATTTCTAATTAATCTCCAAATAATTTAATATCCTAATTTAATTTTAAATTAGATTACAGCAGCTTCAATATTTTAAATGCAATTCTCAAAATCTTAATGACTATGAATAAGTCCCATATAATGATCTAATTTATAATTTGTATTGTTATTGCATCTAATTCTGAATGTAATTGGTACATCACTTACATTTCTAATCTTGAATCTTAATCTATTTAATAGACCTTATTGGAATTGCAAGCTTTTATGAGATACTTCAATCATAAATTAATATTTTATATTTTTTTTTTATCAATAAATATATTTATAAAATATAATAAATAGATATCCATATATTCCATTCTCATTTGATTTAGATATATCTTTTAATATATAACTCTAACTTAATCAAATTTAAGTGACAGTGATATTTTAATATTATTATAATATTTATATTAAAAAATGTCATAAGATGAATACGAAGATTATGAAGAGTATTATTGTGATAGAGAATAATAAATAGAAGAAGAAGAATATATAGAACCATAATTATAAAAAGTAGAATCAAGTAAATCACTTTTTAATATTCAAAGCTACTTAAACACAATAATATGTTTAGATTGTAGATCCAAATAAAAAAGAGGATCCTGAATTCTTAACATTATTATAGGAAAATAATATCCCTTAATTAGAAGATATCCTACTTTCAGATTTCTCGATGTTCTTTGAAAGATAAGCAAAATTGTTCAATTATTGTGCCAACATAATTCAATTTACTTTGAATTCTTAAAGTAATAGTTTTTTCATATTATGAATAGAAATAGAAAATGATTAAGTAGAATAATTAAGTAAAATTCTGAAGTTGTTCTTCCAAATTTAAGAAATAGGTTTATAATCATAATTTTCATAATAATAATCAACATAAAATTTAGGATATTCTGCTTAAAAAATAGGTTATTCTATCAATAGTGACTAATAAATTGTATTAACGTTATTGAAACTCATATTAAAAGAGGATGATTAATTATAATCTATTAGAGTATATTTACCTAGATTTTTAATATTTGCCATAAATCCTCCATAACCATTTACATGTGCAACATCCCCTAGAATATTTTAGACAATAATTGTTAACAGAATAAATGATGAATTATTTAATAATTCATTTGAGAAACCATAAAAATTAGATATTTTGGCATTATCATATTTCTCATAATAGACATAAAATATATCTATATATAAAGAAATCATAACAATTTTATCATCAATATTTGAAAGGTAATATTATTTATTTATGATATTAGTTTACTTGATTAGAAGTCTTCTTAGAATTTGAATTGTTAATTAATAAATCTATTACAATTTTTTCTAGCTTTCACTACCAATTAAACAATACTTAATATATTTTTTAACAATAAATTTCACAGAATTCTATATAATTCTATTAGATTTTCATAGCCTATATTTGGATCTTTAAATCCACCTTAATGGTCAAAAGAGCCTTAAATAATTGATGCTATGGTAAATTTAATTGTTAGGATTGTGAGTATAGATTAAGTTGATAAGATTTTTATTGATATTTTATAGGATGATTTCACATTATTATTAGAGAAATAGAAATTTGATTATATATATAGAGTTATATTACCAATTCTTAATAGTGAATAAGTTAGATTGATACCTGTTTGTTTTCATTAAAAATTAAGTGTTTAAGAGTGTAAGTAATAAGTTGAAAAGGTTTTAAATTCACAAAAGAAAAATATATTATCTTCATCTTAATTAGTGACTGATATATTAACTAAGAAATAATCTGAAAAGATTAATTAACTTGTTTAAGATCATTTAAGTACATAAAATTAATAAAAACAATAAGAAAATGAATAATTATAATAGAAATAATAAATAAATGAGAATCCATATAGAATTAAAGGATAATGGGTTAATCTACATTAATTTAATTTATAAAATCCACATTTAGATTCATATATTTTATTAAATATTTTAGATAATAGAAATAATGTATTATTTATTTTTGATTTGATGGCAGGCAATGAAAATATTAGATTGGCATGTTTTATTAACAATATTATTTAAGATAAGAAATAACATACTTATATTTAAGCTAAATCTAATTATCAATCATTTTATGTGATGATGATTTAAGATGATCATTTTTGGTATGTAAATTCATTAGATAAGAAACCTCATGTGATATTAGATATTTAATAGAGTATGTTATAAATTAGTCATCATAATTAACCTATTGCTTGTATGGATTTTATCAATTTTTAATCTTCTAAATTTGGATTTCCTTTTGAAAAAATCTAATAAAGAATGTTATTAATTGATTAAATAACAGCTTCTATGATAGATTAAGATTGTAGTTTGATATAAATTGAAATATGGACATTTGATGAATCTAAAGATATGTTATTATCAACTGATATCTAAGAATTAATTGATCATAAAAGTTATACATAATAATTAAACTATTATCTTTCATAATTTAGATTTTAACCAATTCATTTCATTTCACATAATTTAACTATTTAAGAATTATCAGAATAATTAAAAGAAAAAATTAATATAGAAGAATTTAAAGAGAATGAAATTAATGATATTTTAGTTAATAAGTCAATTTAATAAATTAATTTAAAAAATTCATCATAAAAACCTCTATTAAATTACTTTTAAACATATATTGGTGGAATTGAGAAAATATTAGAATAAATTAATAAACATTTATATACAGTAAAAGCAGATTAAGTCTATAAATAATTATTTATTGAATTACATTTCTTATCTTAAATTGATGGATTTTATTACTCTATTATTTAAACTAATGGATTTTTATAATTATTATTAGCAGTAGCATTTTTAAATGATAAAAAAGAAGGCAAAGAAGCATATAATAAAGTTATTCAATTAATGTATGAATCATTGGCCACATTATTAGATTAAAGTCCAGATTTGAAAGAGTAAGCATTAGTTATAAATAAAATATAAATAAGGATTGTAAATAGAATTGATTCTTACTTAAATTTATTAAATAGAAATATTTAATCTCAATTTTAACCCAATTTTGAATCAAACAAATCAAATAATCCAAAATTATTAGATAATTAAAAAGGTAAACCAAAAGGAATTGGTTATGGTGATATTGGTTATAAAACATAAATATTTGATTTTTAAAAAATCTAAGAAAAATAATAATAATAAGATTAACCTAAAAAATAAATTGAAATTTAATAAAATTAATAAGAAATTAATTTAGAAACTTTAATGAGATGTCTTAGAATATTACTTGATCAAAATTATAAAGAATATTAAGTTATTGAATGTTTATAATAATCAAACATTTTAAATTTTTTAATTAAATACTTTTAAAATATCAATATAACTTAAATAGAAGGTTCAAAAGCATTTAATGAAATATTAAAAATAATTGAAAATTTTGCAAAACATTAAGTTACTTTAGAATTATTTTTAATTAATGATAATTTTAGTTTATTTAGATAATTAGAAACCTTTAATTAATGGGCTATAATGTTTATTAAAACATTCAACTCCAAAATTGAAGAAGTAAATAAATTTATGGAAGTATATAATTATGTTGAATCTTGTTTATATGCATCAAATATGATTAAAATTAAATATTTAAATTAAGATTAATAAAGTGGATATTAATAATAAATCAGTATGCATTAATTTTATAAGCCATTTATGAAGAAATTAGCAGTTGGTAAATGTGAAATCAAAAGTGATCCAGAATATTTAAGTGTTATGAAAGATTATTATTAAAATAATAATAATCCTAATTAAGTTAAAATGTAAAAATTGATATAAGAAATATCAAATATTGAAGACAATCTTCCTATGGAATCAACAAATTCCATATTTTTAAGATATGATTAAGATAGAATGGATTGTATGAGAACTATTATCTTTGGTTCAAGTGGTACTCCATATGCTCATGGTGCATTTTTATATGATATGTATTTTGGGGATGATTATCCATAAAGACCTCCAAAAATGAAACTATCAACTACTGGACATGGAAAAGTAAGATTTAATCCAAATCTATATAATTGTGGAAAAGTATGTTTGAGTCTATTGGGAACTTGGGGTGATAGTTGGATAGTTAATTTTTCAACTATTTTATAAATTTTAATATCAGTATAATCAATGGTTATGTGGGAGAATGTAATGTTTAATGAACCAGGTTGGGAATCATAAATGGGTACACCAAATGGAGAATAGGCTAATAGAGGTTATTGTAATTTTATAAAAGTTTAAAATATCAGATATGCAATGATTGAATAATTACAGAAGCCTCCAAAAGGATTTGAGGAAATTATTCACAAAAGTTTTTATTTAAGGAAAGATTTAATTAAAAAAGAGATAGAATCTTGGATTGAATAAGCTAATCTACCTGCTACTTATGGATAAACATAAAATTAATGTAATTATGGTTCAACACCTGGTTTATACAAATAAGAATTGATTAAAGTTTATGATGAATTAAAAGTAGAATTAGAGAAATTAAAATTTAATATAGGCACAGATTTTTACACTATTACAGATGAAAAGAAAAAGTCAATAAGTATAAATTAAGAATTTATTAATAAAATTGAATAGTAAGATATAAATAATATGGAAATGCCTTAAGGATTAGATATGAATAATATTGATATTAGTTATGAAGATAATTTATAGTAAAGATAATTTGATTCAAATGATTAAAATTTATAAAATTTAATGAGTAGATATATTGGAGTAGTTGGATTGGATGCAGTCAAGAAATAAAGTGAATCAACTATTTTCATTCATAATCTTAATGGATTAGGTATAGAAATAGCTAAGAATATTGTTTTATCTGGTGTGAAGAGATTAATTATATTTGATCCTACTATAGTTTAATTATCTGATTTAGGAACTAATTTTTATTTAAATAATGAAGATATAAATTATCGTAGAGATGAAAGAGTATTAAATAAATTAAAATATTTAAATCCTTATGTTAAAATTGATGTACTATAGAATAATATCTAAGAATTAAATTTAAATGAAATTTAAGTATTTATAACATAAGATCCAAAATTATCAATTGAAATATCAAATTAAAATAAAGTAGCTGTCATTTTAGCTTAAACTAGAAATGTATTTGCTAGGATAGTAACAGATTTTGGAAATGAATTCAATATTATAGATAAAGATGGAGAATAATTATCAGAAGTTATGATTGAAAGTATTTAGAATAATTTAGTTATTTTATTTAAGAATTAGAATCATAATTTAAATGAAAATGATATTATTTTAATTTAAGAAGTAAGATAAAAAGAAGGATAAATGGAATCATATAATTAGAAATTTTAAATTAGAAATGTAAAAAGAAATTCATTTGAATTAATTACTGATAAAATATTTTGTGAATATATTAGTCATGGAGTAGTTTATTAATAAAAATAAACATATAAATTAACATTTTAAAGAATTCAAAATATTTAAAATTCATTATCTAATTTCTGTGAGAATATGGGTATGTTGGATAGAATCGGTGAAATTAAAAGAGGTTTGATTCATTTTTGTTTAAATAATACAAATTAATTAAATGATGATTGGAATTTAGATAAAATTAAATTATTTATAAATGAAATTCAATAATAAGAAATTGATAAAAAACTCAATTAATATTTTAATGAAGATGTATTTAATAATTATAAAAATGAATTAATGCCACTTATGATATTATTATCAATTAATACTTAATTCTAACCATTATGTGCAATTATAGGAGGTATGACAGCTTAAGAAGCAATGAAAGCTATAAATAGAAAATATACTCCAATTTATTAAGTATATGTCTAATCATTTGAAGATGTATTACCTTTTAAATTAAGAGAATTAAATAATTTATATTCAGAATATAAATAATTTCTATAAAAATATGGAATTAATTAAAATGTAAATTCTAGATATAAAGATTTAATTAATACTATTGGGTGTTTATAAAATATACATTAATCAAATGTATTTGTAGTTGGAGCAGGTGCAATAGGTTGTGAATTATTAAAGAATTATGCTCTTTTAGGTGTTGGTAAAAATGGTGCAATATATGTTACTGATCCAGATATTATAGAAAATTCAAATCTTAGTAGATAATTCTTATTTAGAGAAAAACATATAAGGAAACCTAAAAGTTTGACTGCTGCTGCAGTAGTAAAATCTATGAATCCTGATATTAATATTATAGCTAGATTAGATAAGGTATCTTAAGAGACATAGGACATATATCATAATTAATTTTATAAATAAATGAATTGTGTTACTAATGCTTTAGATAATGTTTAAGCTAGATTATATATAGATTCAAAATGTGTTGAAAATGATATTTGTTTAATTGAGAGTGGAACATTAGGAACAAAGGGACATGTATAAACAATCATTCCTAATTTAACTGAAAGTTATGCAAGTAAATAAGATCCTGAATAAAATAATGATATTCCATATTGTACTTTGAGAATGTTTCCAGAAAATAATATCCATTGTTTAGAATGGGCAAGAGATAAATTTGAATAATATTTCTATCGTAAACCATCTGCTTTAGTTTAATTGATGTAAGAAGTATCTCCATAATAATAAACTGTAGATTTAGCATTAAGAATTCTTAAAAAATATCCAAAATCATTTTAATAATGTTTAGAATTAGGAAGATAGAAATTTTAGAAATTATTTGTCTTTGATATTTAAGCTTTATTAAATGCATATCCTTTAGATTCATTGACAAAGGAAGGTAAATTGTTTTGGTCACCTCCAAAAAGAGCCCCATAAGTTATTGAATTTAAAGGTGCATTTGCATATAAATTTGTTGAATATTATGCTATTTTAACTGCTCAAATTTATGGTATAGAAATACCATAATAATATGATTTAAATTAAATAAATATAGAAATATTAAGTAAATAATAAATTAAAAAGAATAAGATTTAAGATTTAGTAGAGAAATAATAAAATAATTAAATTGAATAAGAAGAAGAAGTTAAGAATTATAATTAATTATTAGAAGAAGCAAGGAATTTATTAAATTAAATTAAACCTAATATACCATAACCTTAATAATTTGAGAAAGATGATGATTTGAATCATCATGTATCATTTATTACTTCAGCTACTAATGGAAGAGCTCTTAATTATGGTATATAATAGGTAGATTGGATGTGGACCAAATTAAAAGCAGGCAGAGTATTATTATTCAATATATCATAGATTATACCAGCCATGGCTACAACAACTTCATGTATTGCAGGATTATAAACAATAGAATTAATTAAAATATTAAAAAAGGGAAATAATTATAGGAATACTTTCATGAATTTAGCTATTCCATTTATTATGTAAAGTGAACCTGGAGAAGTTGAAAAAGTATATATATTTATTTATATATTAGAAAACTTTGGCAAATGGAATGGAAATCAATATATGGTCAAAATATTAATTAAAAATATATAAATATTTGGAACCATTATCTTATATTATAAGATAATTAGAAAATCTATTTAATACATAAGTTATTAGCATTTAATAAGGAGCAAAAGTAATATATGTATCTTAGATGTTACCTAAAGATGAAGTTGAACTCTACAAATTGTTAAATACTCCAATATCTTCGTATGTGTAATTTGTTAATCGTGCATCTTAAATCAATGTATAACTTAAAGGATCTTCATGGGTTGTAGTTATTCTTACGATGGTTTGAGTATAAATTAATAATTATTAATATAATGGGGAATTCAAATTAAAAGTTGTAAGAAGAGAAATATGAAAATGTGATGAAGAAATTCAAATTAAAAGAATCTATTCATCATAATTAGTTAGGTATGATTAGAGTCTACACTCTAAAAGATGATAATGTAATTGATATACGATTAAATAGAATTATTCTATTTTTGAATTTCATAAGACACCTACAACATCAGAAGAAGCCAAATTAATGTTAGCACATTACAAAAATAGAAAGTGTTATAACAATGACAATATCACATAAATATTTTTCATTTCTGAATAACATAGTCAAATTTTATGTTAAGATTAAACTTAATTAACAGTAATAGGTGAATTCTTTTACAATAACTTATAAAATGAAATGAAAATGAATTATTAATCTAAAAATTACTCTAATAATAACAATTAATAATTTCCAGAATTAAGATTATGGTAAATAACACTTTAAATTGTAAATGCTTGTACATTTTTAGAAAAGAATGGAAGATATCATGGAGAAATTAAATCTAAAAATATCTATTTACATCCTGATCAAAGTATAAAATTAACAGTATTCATATAATAATATATTTTATTAGGAATATAATTTTATTTATGGGAGTATGAATGGATATTAAAAAGCATTATTATTAAATGATTTTTAATATCTCTCTCCTGAATTATTGAAAGAATTAAGAGCAAAGAACTCTTAACCAAATGTCGATTTTATTAAAGGTGATGTTTTTGCATTAGGATTAACCCTATTGGAATTGGCTAATCTAAGTTCTTGTGAATAATATTATGATTGGATAAGTAAAGAAGTTCATATTCATAAAATTATTTAAGCCAATGATCTATTAATATAGAAAGGCTATTCAACACTTTTTACTAATTTAATATATTAGATGATATCTGAAGTAGAAATTAGACCTAGATTCAGTGATTTAAAAGAAGTTTTATCTCATTTTGAGAACGAAATCAACAATAATTTAGATTTCTATTCCAGATATCAAATGAAACAGAGTCATTAATATAATATATATAATTCAGTGTACACTTAACCATAATAGAGACCTGGATAAATCAATTAAACATAATCAATATATTTACCAAATGGATCATATTGAATATATATAAAATAAATTATTATATGTTTAGATAAAGGAGATATTGTTGCCAATCTATAACATTTTATTAAAGAGAATAGTATCTAAACAAAGTAATGAAAGATTGTGAAGATTGCTTTAAGTAATTGGATCAACATGGTAAATCAATTAAGAGAGAAACTAAAGATATGTTTATTAAATTCACTTAAGGAAAGGTAGAATAGATTAATCATATTATTTAGTTGTAAGAACAGAAGAAACTTTTGGAAACTGATTCTGTTGGAGTGTTTTCAATGGTTTTAGATATCATTGAGAACCTTATTCATGATAAGCCTTTGATGACTTATATTCTGACAACAATTGAAGCAATTATATCAGGTATATATATATATCATAAATAAATCAAATAGACAATCAAAGATTATTTAAATAATTTATGAGAGCATTGACTCCTTAAGTATTACCAAAATTAAAGTAATTCTTATTTCTTGATGGATATGATCCAATGGCATATGAAGCTGCTGCAAAAATTGCAACAATGATTATAGCTGAAGAAGGAGGAAATGATGCAAATGAATGGGTTATATTATTTTTAGGTGGAATAGGTAATTAAAATATAATATTAAATTTAAAGGTAATAAATTAAAAATTGCAGATTTTATGATTATGCCAATTTGTGTACACTTCTTAAAGCATGAAACACTTGCAATTTAATTTATTAAGAGTGGTGGAATTAGAATGTATTAATACTTGTTCATTTAGAATTAATAATTTATTATCTAAATATTCTACAGATTTACAGATTGCATATTATACAATTTTAGCATTATGGTTGCTTAGTTTTACAACTGAATCTATTCCATTATTTAATGATCCAACAATTGGTTTGATCAGATTGATAATAGAATCAGTATAAAAGATATCAAGAGAAAAGATCTTAAGAGTTTCATTTGCATGTTTTAGGAATTTAGTTGATATATCTCCTTAATGTATTGAATTAATGGTTGATAATGGATTAATTAAAGTAGTTGATTTACTTTTGAAAGGAAATCTAAAAGATTAAGATTTAATAGATGATATAAAATATGTTGGAGAAATATTAGAAAAGAATATGAAAATATTAACGTATAATTAATTCAATTAATATAGTTCTTTTGAGAAGTATGTTAAAGAATTGAATGCATAAAATTTAACATGGAGTCCAGTACATACTGAAAAGTTTTGGAAGGAAAATGTTAAGAAATTTGAAGAAAATGATTTCTTATTGATTAGGTATTATTATAGTGATTGAATTTAGAAAATTAGCAGAAATATTAAAATCAAATAATAATCAAAATATTGCAGTTGCTTGTTATGATTTGGGAGAATTTTGTAGATTCCATCCTTTTGGAAAAGTGTAAATAAATTATATAAGTATAGAGTATTAGAATAATTGAATGCAAAATAAGAAATAATGACATAAGCTAGAAATAATGATTAATAGATTAGAGAACATGCTTTATTATCATTATAAAAGATAATGTTACATAATTGGTAAGTTTGATAGAAGATTAAATATATATATATATATGTATTTGTATATTTGAATATTAAATATTTTAAATTATGTCTGAATAGTAGGTAGGTTAAGTATGAATATATTTTTAATTCATTAGGAATAATTGGATGTAACAGCTATGATGGAAGATTTGTATGAAAAACTAATATTATTGAATTATGAATAAAGTTATGTGAAATAAAAGTAAGTTTAAAATCCAAATAAATAGAGGTGGAAAACCATTAAATAGAGCATACTTTGTCAATTAAACAAATTCAAGTGAATAATTCAGTTAATTCAAAACGTATATTATCTTAATTCTAATTAGATTGGTAAAATGGTTATTTTCTTAGAATGATGTATAAACTACTGATTTTAATAAATTAGATGATCCTGTTACATTATCTTAAAATATATGTATATTTACTTTTTTTAATAGGAATAGTAAATGAAGTCAAAAATATTGGTATAGATGTAGACTTTCCACCACTTAAATTAAAATAAGGTTTTGGGGAATATGTTGTTTATGTTTTATAACAATTAGCTAGCAAAGCTTTATAAAAAAAGAAGTTTCAATTTAAAAAAGCAAAAATTGAATAACAATCTTAGACGTAAGTGTATAATCATTATCTAATAGAAAATAAGAAGAAGAACCTGTTTAAGAGACTGGGAGTGTGTCATCAGATTCTGATCCTGAAGTAGCATCAGATGAAGAACCAGAAGATGTTTTTAATGAGTAGGGATTCCAAAAGGAGTAAATAAGCTATTAATACGAAGTGAAGAGAGGATGGTGATAGAATCTAATGTAAATCCATAAGAATGGGCCAAGGAAGTAGAGAGAGCTTCATAAAAGATGAAGATAGTAATCAAACCTAATGCTGGAGAATGGAGATAACATTTTGATGCAACTAAATAATATTCATCATAAATTAAAGCAATTCTACCAGAAGCTAGGATAAAATTAGAAAGATTGACTGATGAATTATCTGAGATTTTAGACAGAATTAGTAAAAGAGAATATAATATAAATGAAAATATGCATGATATGGTATTATTGAAATTAAATATAAAAGGGAAATGAATACAAAAAGAAAAATGAAGAAGTCAAAAGGATTGAATTATAATGCAAGAATTATACAAATGCTATTAAAGAAATGGGTGATTAATACAAATAAATATCAGAAAAGTATGAAAATGTATAAAATAAATTGAATGAACATGGTAGTATTTCTACTGATTAATCTCCTGTTATTAGAATTAAGTCTGCATTAACTAAAATTAGAGTATAATACTTAATTTTAATTTCTTTTTTAGTTAGAAATTAAATAAATGGATCTAAGAATTGGAGTATTGTCACATACTATTTTATAAAGAACTTATCATGAATCTAAAGCTATGTAAGATAGAGATTTTAATGAAAATGGACTTATATTAAATGATTCAGACGAGTTAACAGATTGATATATTAATATTTATATATATAATTAAAATACCATTTAAATTAATTAATACACTTGTCATTTTATTAATATTAATTATACATGCCTTAATTATCCAAGCAAATTCAATACGGACTTGTTGCAGCATTTGCGTAAGAGCTTATTCATCTATATTTAGAGTTGGTTTGGGTACACTCAAAGTTGCTTAACGACCATTTGAAACATGCATTGGATATGTTCTCTCTTTAGGATCAATTGTGTATATAATTTCTCTATGCAAGTATCTTATTAGGTTGGGACAAATTACCATTTAACTAAACTAATTCAAATGATAATGAAGAATTAACAAAGGATGAATTATATGAAAGAAGAAGATTATTAAAGGAAGAAAAGAAACGATAAAAATAACTTGAAGCTTAAGAATTAAAGAAATAATAAAGATCCCCATCTTCTGAATCTCCAGATAAAAAATCACCTGAAAGAGCATCATCTCCATCAGAAAGTGAAGGAGAAAAAAAAAAAGTATAAGAAACTAAAACCAATTAAAAATAATAATAATAATCAAAAGTAAATTAATAATAAAACTAAAAGTCAAATAAATAATAATAACAATAATAATAATAATAATAATAATAATAATAATAATAATAATAATAATAGAATACAAAATAATAAACTAAAGAAAAAGGAAAATAAACATAAGAAAAATAAAAACCATAACCATAAAAAGTTGAAGATGATGATGATGAATGGGAAGAAGTCTCTTATCCAAGATAAAATAAAAAAGCCAATCTTATTAAATAATAATAATAAGCAGAAGCTTAAAAATAAGCTGAAGCCAAAGCTGCTGCTGCTGCAAAAGCTGCTGAAGATGCAAGAATTGCTGCAGAACTTGCTGTTAAAGCTGCAGAAGAAGCTGCTTAAGCTGCAAAATAATAAAAAGGGTACTTTATTTAATAATCTTATCATAGATCTAAAGGTAAAAATACTACTGCTAAATAACAAAAAATTGAGGAATAAGAAGAGTAATTATTAATAATTATATTATTAGTGATGATGGTTGGGTTAAAATTGATTCACCAAATAAGAAATAAAAAGGAGGAAAGAAAAACAAATGAGCTGTTTTTTTATACATAAATATAAGAATTAATGTTATCTATAATAATATATTTATCTTTATTGTATAAAAATTCCTTTAAAACCAATATATTTATTTTGGTTATAAATAAATATAATATATCATAAATCAAACTTAGACTTTTATTATTCATCACCTTGTTTCTTTCTGAATTGATATTCCAAATATTATTACTAATATTCTTGGGGAATATTGGCTCCTTATTTTGCTTCTTTTGCTAATCCTTCATAAAAGTCATCCTAAGTATCAAACCCAGGTAAATTTTAATCATCATCATCATCTTCAAATTTATACCTTTGTTCCTTTCTTGGCTCTTAAATTGTTACATCCAAATTTATTTTTTTTCCTTCCAAGGCAGCTCTAATATACTAAATAAATAATAAAATTTACAGCATCTTCTTATTCAATCTCTATTTCTTTTAAAGTCTTTGAATTTTATACTTTCTATTTCATCTTATCATATTATCCTTCCATTTTAATTAAAACTCCTGTTGAAAATACTACAAAGACCAACATAGGTAATGTTTCCTTTGAAAATCTTCTATATTAATTGTACTTTTTTCTTATATCTGGTCTAAGCATGAATTATTGCCACCTTTTGTCAATTTTAAATTATAATTTACCATGATAATTTTGGCATAATTTATTGTGAATTTAATCCAATCTATTCTGAATATGCCTTCATTATCTCTGGATCCAATTAGTTTAATTTGACAGGTTTTTTCATATAAGAATTTATTCTTTGTTCATGAGGCTACTAATATTTAGGATCATCTTCTTATTGTTTCATTTCTCAATTTATTACAATATAAATTGATATAGAAAAATTAAAATTGTTATATAAATATCTATTTTTGTATAATTTATCATTCAGAATTAAACTTAAGGCTTTTTCTATTCTTCTTCATTACAATCAATTTATAGCATTATTAAAATAGTATATTAATTAAATTGAATGCAAGTTCAATCTATCTTAACTTGAAACTATAGAGAGGGCCAAACTTAAATTTAAAATATTCTTGTCTCTTCTCAGATACTTCATTCGTAACATAAATGTAATAAAAATCAGATAGTTATTAATTACATTGATTCAATTTCCTTTTTATTAAGTAATTTATTTATAAGCATTCATCCTTTGGTATATCCATCTCCTAATTACAAAAATATTTATCTAGTTTATTCTTAATTCTCTAATTTACAGTGAGATACTAGGGCATGCAAGTACTTTTTAATTCATAGTTCTCATCAATCTTTGTAAGTGACAATTTGTCTTAACGATGATCAATTCTAAATTCTTAAATTGAGAATTGAATAGCAGAAACATCATTTTCACTAGTGTGTTAATCCAATAAGAGGCTGCTTTCCTCTAAACTTTATGAAATTTAATTCAAATCATTAGATTTATTCATTTATTTTAATATTTGGAATTGATTTCTTCAGAATGCTTTCTTTAAATAATAAATAAATTTTAATTATAGATAAAAAAAAAGAATAGAATCTAAATTACTTTACAAAATTAAAAGGAATATTAATTACAATATTTCAAGAATTATATATATTGAAAATTTTAAAAACCTCAACCTTATAAATATTATAGTAAGACATCTAATTGAATTGGCATTATGATGCAGGTTCCTAAAATATCCATTTCCCCATTGGAATTATATATTAGCATAATAATTTTGAAATTACTATTGATTCCAAGAATTCTAGTTATTAAACTAAATATAATGAAATATATTTACTCTCTATAATTAAAATTTGTTAAATGACAATTTATAATTATACATTTATATAATTAACAAGACTGATTCAAACATTATTTTTCTCTTAATCTTAAATTAATATGTTTATATGAGTCTTATTCATTAATATAAGTAACATTGTCTTAAATATGTTGTTTGATAACTCTTTCAAAATCTTAATTTGTATTGATAATTAATTTTTAATTACATTAACAAGATTCATTCTATTTTTATATATTTTTGAATCTTCCTAATTCTTGTAGTTTCATCATTCCAACTAATTTAGTTTATTTTTTATTATTATTGATTTCTATAGGTTTTGCAATCTTCTGAATTTATTACCTATTAATAATTAATGATCTTAGTCCTTTATTAAATCTTTATAAATATTATATTAGATCATCATCTCTGATGTATCTTTCCATAATTTCATTTTCATCTACATCTACATCCATTTCATCTTGAGATATGTTTTCATCTATAATGAATTAAGTTGTGGACTCATCTAATTTTAGATTTCTGATAGAAAAAGATATTGATGTGCCACAATCCTATAAGGATTTAATACTTAATCCTTTATTAGCAATTTAACCTGCAATTTTCTTAGAATTAAATACAGGACCCAAAATTTTTGTTAAATAGTTAACTATTTATAAAGATAATATTTAATTAGAATTAAATTCTTATTAAAAGATTTCTTAATTAATTCCTATACCAGTATCTTCAACCACTATTTATATACAATTCTATATTTTATCATCATCAATAAGTATTTTAATGAATCCCTCTTTTGTATTATTAATACTATTATCTAGTAGTATTTACATAATTTAAATCAATCTTAATTGATCTGTTTTAAATTCACTTTCATTTTATTTCAGGTTATTATAAAATTATAGTTTAATATTAGAATTAATTTGATTTTGATACATTTCTTATAATTAATTTATTAAATAATCTACATTCAACTATTCTTCTTATAAATATTAAGTTTTAGAATACTTGAGAGTGTTTTTGATTTCATTATTTAATAATTTAAGAGGAATCTTAAAGTTTTATTAATAGAACAACATTTATCTGAATTATTAACACATAATTGGAAGATCATCATCTTCATTTTTCTAGTTCAAATTCATATCTTGATATATTTAAGTTATATCTTCTAAAATTAAGAACATTTAAAAATTATCTACTTTAGGAACTTTAATTAAAGTAAATTAAAAGTATTTGAATTTATTATTAGATATATTAAATTTAGATATTCCTTTATATTCTGTTTGTTAATCATTAATTAAATTATTAAGTAATTACTCTAATACTCCATCTGGATTATAATGAATAATTCTTTGAATCTCTTATGGTTACCTTAATATACGTAACTATTAAAGTGCTGGTCCATTCAGAAGGGAATGTAATAATTCTCCTTTTTCATTAGTTCCACAAGTAGATCCAAATTTAGTTAATCTCTTTAATTGAATTAAATTATCTTTTATAGATTGATTTGTTTAATATAATTTTAAGATTTCCATCTTTCTTAATTTAATTTCTGCTGATATTAAATCTATCTTATTAGAATCCTCATCCATTTTTAATTATTTTAATGCTACTCCTGAGATATGAATTAATTCTTTAGTCTAATCAAATAAAATGATAGGAAATTGATTAGTAATAATTTCTAAAATCTATTATTAAGTCTACATTTGAACTTATGGAATCATGAATTGTATTTATTCTTTGTTGTTTTTAAATTACATATTATTTTCGAATTAATATTAAGAGTAATTCTTTAATTCAGTATCTATGATAAAAATAATTTCCAATAATATGTATGCAATTACTTTGATTATATCCTAAAATTATTATTTATCAAATACTTTAAAGAATAGATCACAATCTACTCTAAATACATAATATATGTACAAAAATATTATTAGACCTATTCTAAGTTTGTAATCATAAATAAATAATTGTATTATCTTATTAATATTATTAATAATTACCTTTTACCAAATTATTAATCCAAAAATAGCCCAAAAATAAGATTATGAAAATTAGTTGAAATTTGAAATTCTTTCCTTTTTAATATTAGTAAGATATGATTACAATTAATAATGTTCCTTCAGCAATACTTAAACAAGTGAAAATATAGGATGTTATCCTGCCAAATAATAAAGGATTTTCAATTTTTTTTGGAATAACTTCACAAGCTTTAAGAATCATATACATTATCAAAGTTTAGGCACTTTATAATAAAAGAAACTAAATCAAAGCAGGTAATATTGGTCCTTTTAAATAACTTAATATCAAAATTTACCTTCTTGAATATTTTAAAAAAATAGTAATATTAGTTAAACTGTACCAATAACAAGATTGATAGGAAGGATGAGTATAAGTGGAATAGTTTATCCACAAGCACCTTTTACATTACAATAATCTTAATATTCTCTAGAAGATATTGATAATTTTACTAATTTCTTAGTCCTTTTATAAGAATATGGTACTCATGGAATAATGATTGAAGTACAGTACGAGTAATTTAATTTTGTTATTGAGGAATGAAAGGTTTGTTTTCATTTTTCAGATATTCTTAATTTTACATAATTAATTAAATAATAAATAACAAAAGGAAACTAATATATATTTAAATATTTTCAATTTTAATTAATTATGCTCACCAAAATTTTTCTAAAATGTTAATATAATTGATTTCCATTCTAAGGAGATAAATCTTTTCTTTGAGATTCTTTTACATAAATCTTTTCACTTTTTTTAAAAGGTTCTCTTTACTCAGAAATGTATTTTTAGATATTTTATTATACAGAATCAAGAGAGTAGAATTTGGTTTTCCTATAATTTACTTTTTCTTAAAGTGATAATTTATAAATAGGATTTTCATGAATTTTATGATCAAATATATATTTATCTTTATTTTTGTCATATTTTTACATAATCTCAAGAGCTCTTCTAGGTAATTATGATTTTTTCAAATGTTTTTTTTATGCTTATTCTATATAATGATAATCTAAAAAGTATTCTGTATATTCATAACCATATAGAATTTCATTTATTAAAGGTATTGCTTCACAAGTATTATATTTTAAAGTAGAATTTGAATCAAATGATTATCCAGTTTTAATATTTATAAATGGGATATGAATATATCTTGATATTTTATCATCAAATTCTTTACAAAAAGGTTAGAATTTTTCATATAATAAGATAAACTCTTTGGATGTTATTCTATAATAAGAATCCCTTGGTTCAATTTCACATTTTACCCATTTATTATGAAGATGATTAGCTTTATTAATATCACCCATATAAAAATAACAAATTCCTAATTTATCATAACAATCTATTTCATAGTCATCCATATTATCAGCCCATGCATAAGATAGAGCTTTTAATATGAATTTATGAGCTTTATCATATTATTTCAATCTATTAAATATTGAAATAAATTTACTGTTTTGCTATTGAAAATAATTAAATTAAGATTTTCACTTTTAGCTAATGATTTCTACATAATTCTGATAATTTTAAACAATCTTTAAATAAAAATGTTGATTTATTAAGTTGTAATATTGTATTACCATAATAGGCAATAAAATATAATAATTCACAGAATGTCTCTAACAACTATATATTAATATTAAATGGTTACATTTTATTCTTAAGAATATTGAAAAGGATAATTTAAAAAACTAATCAATTTTTCCATGTCTTTCTTTTTAATGATATCACAAAATACAGTTAAATTGTCATCTAGGTACTTTTAGAGATTATAATTTCTCCTTTATCTAATTGATTCTAACATAGATGGACATTTAAACTTCCTATCATGTCTCAATTACCTTTGTTGTTTAATATGAATGAACTGATGGACAACCCTCAATTGATTTTTCTATCGTATCTGGAATTCTGTCTCGTTAATTTTTTAATGATAACGTTTACTAATTCAAAGCTTTATAACAATAATCTCCTGTAAATTGAATTAAATCAATTCTTGAAGTAATAAATCCAGTAGGTTCATGGTTTAAAGAGAAGATTCTAGAGCGTGGAATTGAATTATTTAAATTTTCTGTTATTGATAATTGAGGGAGAACTCTTTTGAATTTATTTGACTTCTTTTTTGAATTAAACATAAAATGAAGCATATTTGACGTCTTTTGATTGGAATTTGGATCTGAAATTATATCTTTATTCATTTTTGATAGTATTAAATGATAAATATAATAATCAATTTTGAAGTATTTATTAAAATAATAATTTTGATATTATCGTTAATAAAAAAGGAGCAAAATGAGTCATTGATTGGAAATTAAAAATTTTAATTCTATAAAATCAGCAACAGGATTCTTAAGTAATTAAGAAGTTTATTAAATCTACATAATACGATGAATGCCGATGTGATCTTTTCCATTTAATTGAAAAAGGAGGAATTTTATAATTAATAATTTTTCGATATTAGTACTTTCTTTTAATGTATAACTAAGAGTAAATAGATGACTTGAAACCACCTGTTATATAAAAGATATTGAGTATGTGTTCAAATTTCAGTGATTAGGAATTTAAAGGGCATCCTCCAATGCTACAAAAATGGTAAAAGAAATAATAATATATTATAGGAATTCATATTTTGAGCATGAAATAGTTCCTGAAAA